AGACAATAGACTTAAGACCCTAATACCTCCACTTATCTGCCCCTGAGGGATTCTATACTAGAGCAAGAAACTCAAAGCAAAAATAAAGAAAAAAAGGAAAAAAGAACTAACCACCCCAAATCAATATATATGTGTAAGTAAGTCCATTTTCTTTCTTAAGGTTCTTTTTTTTTTTCTTTTTTTTTTCTTTTTTTTTTTTTTTTTTTTGGTTTCTTCAAGTTGCTTAGAGGTAAGTTTCTCTTAGACTGTGACCATTGAAGAACCATGCGCCAATTCTTCCCTGGAGAGGCGTGCGTGGTCGGGTCGGTGTTGAAGTCCGTCGGATGCCGGCCGGCCGGGGTAGGTATCTTGGAGACGATCATTGAAAGCTGTCCTGAAGGTGGGTTGGTTGGTTGGCAGTGATACATACCCTGGTTGAGAAGGCGGGATAGCTTTTATTCGATGTCAACAGCTGGATAGCGGGATTGAAATCTTGATGGAGTTGGGACTGGAGGATCAGACAAGTGGAAGGAGGGAAGCACGTGCAAGCTAGGTAGGTAAGCATCGATTTGAGAGCAAGGTCGCAAGTAGGTACTTAAAGAAAAGTAACAGAAAGTAGAAGGAAAGCAGCAATAGTACAGGTGCCTCAGATAGGTAGTCGCTGAGTGTAGGTAGATTGTATCCCCCAGTTGGGACCTCCACGGCGTCGTTTGCTGTCTGCCGTTTTCATGTCTGCCTGTTCTTTGGCTTGATACAGGTCCCGATGGGATTGAGGATTAACTTTGAATCGATGATCGATCAACTCGACGTCGATCAACGGCTCAATAAACGGCATGACGTTCAAGGACGGTCGACAGCGATCAAAGGAGGATCAATGAACGCCTAACGCCAACCCACCAACTCCATCATCATGATTCCATAACCCAACCCATTCCATCTGTCATATCAATCCCCAAACCATGACTAGAGATAACCGGCCACTAAGCCAAAGCACAAAAAAAAAAAAAAAAAAAAAAAAAAAAAAAAAAAAAAAGCGGCACTGGAAGGGCCTGGAGAACATCTGCTTAGGTAGGTAGCTCTATCAGATCAAACATGGAAGTGGACCAAAAAGCCCAATGTGCCCTGCACGATCTTGAGTCTGTTTCCATTCACGCTTTCTTTGCTTAGGTAGGCAACGAAGCGATATTAACCTTGACCTTGACATTATCCTTTCCCCTAACCTTGACCTTGAACTTTCTCTGACCTTAACCAACCGTCCTCCTAACAACGCCAATAATTCGACCAATACCTACCTAGTTAATCACAACACGGTGCCGGTCATGTACGGAAGTATCTGCCTTTTGGAACCCAAACATGAACTTGACAATTCCGTCCTTCCTCAACCAATACGAGAAGTCCTCGCGACTGGAGAGGATTTGCTAACGTATCGATTCAAGAAAGAAAAAAAGAGGAGGCACCAGGAGGGAGGATTCAAGCCCTGGTTATGTCGAGTCTGGGGTTCTCGAGGCAGGCGATTCCGTGTGATGATCGTATTGTACCCACAAGCTGGAGTTATTGGTGTCGGAAGGTCAACAGCATAACTAAAGACTCTGGTCGGGTTCGAGCTTTGGACTCTGATGGGTCTTGATGGTTGGTAACTGGAGAGTTGTGTTGGGCTGGAGGTAAATCGCTAGAGCTGGGGCAGGAAGTGACACTAGGTAGAGAAGTAGTATCAAGCTTGTCCCTTCACGCATGTTGCTTTAGTACTTAGTCTTTGATGGGTTGATCGGGTGTGGGTTGATTGGTAACGGAGAAATAGGGAGTTCAAGGGAGATGTTTGGTGAAGCGAAGTATCGAGAGTTTCCATGAGAGCCGCCGTTGAGGGATTATAGGTCTTGTTAGCAAGGGGTCCTGTCGAACTAAAGAGCGAGACTTGCGACCTAGAAAGCAAGCCCACCGACAACCATCGACTAAGTCTATAGCTGTGTAACTGGGAACGAAGTAAAGACCACGGAACCAAGAGGACTATTAAGGGAATTATGGTTAACTACCTAGCCATGTACTATTCCCTGCTTCTGAGTTCCGCCGTCTTCACATCATCTCCCTTTGAGCTGCTGGAACCGTAGGAAGGTCGCAGACAAGCAACAACCAAGCAAGCAGACTGCCAGAAACCAGTGACCAAGCAACCCAGTAAGCTCGCAAGCGTACCTAGAGTGAAACTGAACGGAACAAAAATTGTTATCGATCGACGATAGCGATGCAGTACATGTACACGCAGGTGACCTGTCTTTCCTTCCGCTGCTTCCAAGTTCGGACTCTTTCACGCTTGGCTTACTGGATTGATGGTTAATGGCTGATGAGGCGGCAAGGCCGTAAAGGAGCAAATAGGGAGGATAGCCAAGAGAGAAAGGGTCGTTGGAGGGACTAGAGGACTTAGGGGGAGTCGATAGACCATCTCTTATAGATCATGGCACTCCTGCCTTTTCTCTTGGGGTGTCCTCATCTGCTGCTTGTCTCCTCGATGTTGAAACCCGACTCTCGACTCTCGACGACCTCGACGACCTCCATAACCTCCATACATAATCTCCATAACCTCCATAATCTTCATAACCTCCATAACCTCGGACTTCCTCAGCCTACTTCTGCTTTGACCGCCTCGAACTGATCGTGGACAGACAAAAGTAGCGTTGGACCATCTTTCTCAGTTAAATCCTGCATCCGTTGACCATCGGCCGTTGCTCGTGAACGGTTAACCATCGTTATGGACCGCTGGTTAATTATTGATCGTTCATCGTTGATCATCCGATGATACAAGTAAATCCCTCCATCGAGTCATTTCGAAATCGAACCTACCACCAGGCATCGCATAGATGAAGAGACATTGCGTCAGCCGCATCGTCAGAGATGGTGGTGGCGGTTCGAATCGAGATGAAGTGGCAATGTGGTTATTCCATCTTTGGCTTTATCTTTTTTGTTAATTTAATACGAAACGGGTGGGAAGGTAAGCGGACATGCACGAGGGAGGAGTGAAGAAAGGAAAGAGGAGGAGGAGATTAAAAGGCCAGTGCGCAGTAGACAAGCATTTCCTCAGAAAGGAGAACGCATGGAGGTATCACATGAAGTTTTGTAATATGACGGTATCAGATACCCTCGAATGGTGGTGGTGGTGGATATCGTGTTGTTGCTGAGACAGATTGACAGATTGATATGTGCCCAGGGCATATGTCGAGGGTCCGGTGGCGGCCAAGTGACTGTTGATCTTGGAGTGGTTATTGGAAAGTACCTAACCCAGATATATGTGGCGACGGTAGACATGAACGATGTGAAGAGAAGGAGTTCCAAAGGAGACACTTGGGTATGATCATGAACTGGTCGGCTGGAAGGACACACGTAGCTGCGGTAAGGAAGACGTTGGAGGGAGGATGAAACGGATGGAAAAGTGGACAAGAACGGCAATAAGAGTTTGAAGGCTGAGGGTGGCTTTTGTCGATGCTGTTTCATAGAGTCTGGGTGGTGATCACCCGATGTATGGGGGGAGGAGAAGACAAAGAGAGTAGCGAAGACGGAAGCGAGGACGAAGGCGGAGGTATGCTAGACCGAAGATATTGGGTATGATGAATGTGAGGGTGTTGATGTGTTGATGTGGTGTGTTGGTCTGCTGAGATGTTGATGGAAGGCGGTGTTAGGCATCGTGATGAAGTTTGAAGGAGGGATGTGCTTTGGAGAGGGGGAGAGAGAGAGGATGATGGGAAAAAAAGAGATGACCAACATTTGAGAGGGGAAGCTGGTTCTTATATCCCCTCGAGATCCCAGCTGAAGGCGAGAACTCGCCCCGGGATGCAAAGACCACATGGCCTGATTTTAAAACGCATGTACCAAGCGATCGGACATGGATGCAGATGTGGTGCAGTTCTCACGAACAAACCTGGCTTCTGCGCAAAGTAGCCAAGCAGCGAATATGCCTGATTGCCCGTGTACCTGCATACCATAACAGAAACAAAAGGGAAGTGACGAGCTTGGAACTCGTAAAAGTGTGGTGGAAGAGTTAGGAAGCTGGAGGGAGAAAATGCTGGATGATTCTATGAAGAGATCTGCTGAAAGTAATCCATTCGTCAAGTCGGGGAAATGATTGGGAGAAGACAATGCATCTCCGATGGCCGGCCGTCCCGTCCGATTCTTCTGATGGCTTCTTCCGTACCGCAAAGATTCGGGGCATTGATTTTTAGGTTTCCAGGAAATCAGGCATAATCTGTAAGGCTACCTACTGCCCAAATACGTGCATTCTATACACGCCGAAATGAATGGGGGAGACGTGTTGCTACCCCGAAGTACTGTAAATTCGATTTCTCTGATGCCCTACCTTTTCCCACCTATTCTTCCAAGGGCGCTGGAGGGTGGAGATCTTCAAGATCACCGTCTTGCATACAATTTTTGGTGGGCATGAATGTTACAGTATGCTTACAGATTATGCCTGATTTTCTGGAAACCCAAAAGCCAATGCCCCGAATCTTCGCGGTGGTTGACACTCGCGTGCAGAAAAAACCGAGAACCTCGAATACTGTTGACTGCGGGGTGACTGTCATTTTCAAGCAACACACGATTGAATTCGAGGGACCAGGAAATGGAAGGTCACAACATGCGATGCGATGCGATGTAAGGCTGCATGTGGCGAACAAAGCCACTACCAGTAAGGACCAGCTGAGGAGTTGAGAGAAATTGGGGAACGAAAGGACAAGAAAGGGAAGCATGAGACACACGATAGGCAGACAGCAAAACAAGCAAGACAAGAGGGGATTGCGACGTGAAGGTATAAATCAGATTAAGTATCTAAATTGTGGGTATTTAACGAGAGAGAGAGAGAGATCTAAAGGTGCGAGAGCACAAGGTATAAGCGATTGAACCCTGAAGAAAGAACAAGAAGAGAGAAAAAAATGCAGATGCTGCTGCCGACCACCCGAACCAAAGCCCAAACCAGAACGCCGTCGTAGTCCAAAAGACAGAAGTTGAAGGACAAAAAAAACCACCTCCCACCGTGTTCAAACTCCTTTTGATCATCAATAAACAAGATTGAAAGCCCGACTTGACTTGCTCAAGTCTTCCCCCACCGACAAAGGTGAAGAGCTCATCAACAATTCCATCATAAACCATACCCACCCGCCTTCCAATTCTTCAATCAAGCGACAATCTACTCCTCATAAAACCAATAAAAAGCCGTATACGGGACACTCTGCACCCCCGTCCCCGCAACAGCACACCCCTCGGCATTACCTCCCGCCGTCAAAACCCTATAAACCAAATTCACCCCCTTGCTCTCCCCCTTCTTGCTATCCGTCAACCTCAACCACGCCACTGCGCCTGTATCCAACACGCCCTTATCTGCATCCTTGGGCGCATTGACATTGCCGCCCTTGACCACGCTCGCTTTCAGTCCCGACGCATCCAGATCGAACATGGGCGTGCCAGTCGAATCAAAGAAATGGTGGCCCGCGTACTTGAAGGATGGGTAGTCGGCTAGTCCCTTGAGGTCATTGTGCGCAGGGAAGGGGGACGTGGTGTCGGCGGAGTAGGACGAGTTGGAGGGGCGGTTGAGAGGGACAGGGCGGTCCCAGAGGAGGAGGTGGGGGAGGGAGTTGAAGGCGTCTGGTGACAAGGCGGTCTTGGAGAGACCTGGGTAGACGGTGGTGGCGTCGTAGAGGACGGCGAGAGCGCCGGTTGCGGAGGGGGTGGCATCGGAGGCGCTGCAGGTGTAGTTTTGGATGCCGTGGCCGAGGGCGATTTTCTTGAGGCGGGCTGTGGGAGAGGGACCTTGGAGGTTGTCGCCTGGACAAGATGAGTTAGTGGTGGTTGGGAAATAAGGCAGATGGGGGAAGAAAACTAACCGCCAGTGCTGGGGAGAGTTGGGGTTAGGGATTTGCAGGGTCCCTTTGTGGGAGCAGCGTATGCTATTGTTGCGAAGGCAGCAAGCAGAAGGCTCTTTGTGGAGACCATTTTGTCTGATGTGTGTGTGTGAGAGAACTGGAGGAAATCGTGAAGTTGATTGTCGAGTGTTGAAAACTTCTGATAGCGGAGGAAGCGAGTATTAGAGCTGCTGGAAGGCCTGACCAAAGGGATAAGGATCGAGCGGCGTAGAAAAGACAAGACTAAGACCGATGATCACGACTCCAAAAAAGTAGAGACGAAAAAAATGGCAGGCTTCCAAAGTATAAATGGTAACAAGCGAGGCAGAGATTAGACTAGACTGAGTGTGCATGGGTGGTGTGGGCCGGGGCCGGATCTTTGGCCATGGACCGGGGATAATGGCATGGACACGGGTCAGAACGTGGCTGTCAAAACTAGTCTAAGCACGGCCGTTGTCCGCTGACCTGGACAAGGGCGCGGCCCAGGGTCAGGGACCGGGGCAAGATTGAGCAAACATGGAGGTATCTAAGCAAGCAATCTGTAGAACCGGTTGAATGGGTCTGAAGGGGCTCTGACAGTGCTGTTTTGACTTTCTGCAGGAGGAGAACAACCGTGTAGGAGAACACAAAGTCCACTGCACTGGCAAGAGATATCGTGATGGTGATCCGCAGAAGATAGAGGAGAGTTGACGAGGCCCATGCTCATATCTCATGTCCCATGTAGTAGTATTGATACTATGCTAGGTAGCACGAGGGGAGATGGATGAGACAAGACAGAAGAGAAAGGCAATCTTGGGAGACGCTCGCCGCCTTCGTTTGTGAGTTAAGATGAAGGATCACAAAGGTATCCCTTCGCAAAGTGTACGTACCTACTCAACAACAACCTCGAGGACGGGCTTCTTTTTTTTCGCCGAGAGAATGGCGTCTAAAATCCGCAAGGGTGCACGCATCCTACGCTAACCACTACCCTGGCAACCCCCCCCCCCCCCCCCCCCCCAAGACTTTACACGCCGTCGAGGTACCTTGTATCATGCATCCAAGATTGAGGCTTCAATATTGCAACCTATAATTCCCACGGCTGGCATGGGACCAGGGATTTGCACAAAGCAGCACAAGGCGTCTCTCCGGCAAGTATCCGCCGTGGTACGAATACGGGTGCAATGGTTCATTGTTGATATTCGACGCGATGGTGCCGGTGGCCGTTCCTCAGTCCGCTGCTGTGTTTGTTTCGCAGTTTCGGTGGAGGTAGAATGCCTTGGCTGTGTGTCCAAGGGCCAGTGGGAGATGATAGCGCTTGGCCGTGACAATGGGCCTCATGAGGTGGTGTATGTAAATGAGGGACTGTTGGCGGGCAAAATGTCAACCTCGGAGGAAACAACGGCAACTTTGCCGCTTATCTTTGGGCTGCCCGTTGACCAGGTGGAACATGCTCAGAGTGAATCCCGAGACTGGGACGTGAATGCTCTGATGAGACCTGCGGGCGCCGAAGCAAGAACCCGAGACATGTCTTTGACGACGACGGCTGGACGGCAGGACGGGTCGCTGAATGGAAGATTGACACGGTGAGGCAGCAATCGTTGAGCTGGCAGAGATTTCTTGGGCCAAAAAAAGCAAGCGGATATCGGAATGGTGAAGAAAGAAAGAAAGTCACACTCGCTTTGACATTTGGTGGAAGGAGGACATGAGGTCGTTGCTGTGTTGTCCACTTTCGTTGTTCCCCAACTCCACTGAGCAGATGCGCGGCTAACTCACTGAGCTTGGCAGGTTTTCCTCTCTTCTGATTGGTTATTCCGTAAAGGGAAGGTTGGGATTAACCCAATCTGTACCCGCACAAAGCACTCGATTTAGCCCAGGTGTCCACCCTTGACGGCGCATCTTTGTTTCCTCTCGATTTGGGTATTTTTGGCACGGAAGAGAACGGCAACATGCTTCATAATTCCAGCGACGGCCCGATGTCGTGCTTATTTGTACGCAACCTTGGCTCGCTTGGCTGTCGGCCTCTATCGGTCGGTTGCTTGTGACTCCGTCTGCGGGCGCAGTTGTCATCCTCTAGTGTTGTCCTCACCACTACAACAACTTTTATCGCGACAATCCCAAGATTATCATGGAGATGGCAACACATTGTACCGCAATACACGAAATCTCGCAAAGGTGATGGCGAGAAAAGAATGAAACTGACCCAAGCTGTTAGGGCTGTTTCGTTTCCTCGCTTCTGCACGTTCCTCACGCCCCTGCGTTCAGTGCACGTTGCCGGCTGTCACTTCCGCCAAGGGTTCCATTTGCGTGGCTGTCGAGGTCGAGAACGTTGTGTTTTCCCTTCTCCCTTGTCAATTGTTGCTTGCGTTCGGTCATCTCCTGTCCTCTCCCTGTCAGGCATCTCTCACAGTGAGAATTCTCCCTCGACAAGGGATGCAAATCGCTTTCCACGCTGTCGGAATCCAACCCGGGGACATGTTTGCGTAATCCATTCCCCCGACTTCATCACAAACGTCCAGGAGTACGACATGCACTTTTGCCCAGACATCACAGCTTCAACCGATCTTTGCGAAGTGACGGAATGTTACCTCTTGGCTTTGAGTCTTTGAGATCCCCAACCAGATCGCGTTTCAGCACCTCGAGGGAGCACCACCACCCAAACCCCGCATTTCGGGCTGCCAAGACATGATGATAGCAAGAACGATGACTGGACATCGCCGAAGAGAGTTGTTGACACTTGACAGGTAGAATGGCGTTTGCTGACAATGCTCGGCTATTTTCGACAAACCGTGACTACAGCAAAGCGCAGCTCGACGGCGCAGCGAATCTTTACCCAAGAGGCTCGAAAAAGGCCCCCACCGTCCAATACCCAACCCAAAAATCCTGTCTGACGTACCGACAGTGTGTTTTGTGGCGCAGCAGACATTACCATGACAGGTCAAATTCTCATCAATTCACCCAATGTCGTCTGTGGCTCCAAAGACAACACACTGGATCAGTTGGTGATCTTCAAGGAGTTCGGTGTCTGATCATTGGTATCATCCAGTGCGCCGGGTCGGATCCCCCTCCCTTCACCTGACCCATGTCCAGCCTGCGAGTAACAGCTTCCCGCGTTACCATATCGCGAGAAATAGACTAACCCGTCCGAGGTTCTCTCGGTGCGACATCCCCCGCGAGTTGAAACCATCGTCAATTATCAATGGACATCTTTGTAGAAACTATCTCTACTGAAGAGTTTCAAGCTTCGTGCCGATAGTCACCTTTGCTTTCGGTTATAGGAAAAAAAAGTAAAGATGTCAGAGCCATGAAACTGGCAACATTCGCCTAAAGTCAGAACCAAGAAAAGAACGTCCTAGATCATTTCATCGCAAAGCCACCCGGGGACTCTTACTACCCATCCATCGCACGAGACCCTTTGGGGTTGTCGGCGTTCGAAATAACCAAATATCACAGTAAGCTGAGAAAGAAACATCGCCAGAAGTCCTCATCTCCTTCTACGCCTCAAGTCTGCATTCACCCCTACCCACCCTTCATGGGAGCGCGAGACCCTGGAAACACCGAGGAAGGCGCACGGACGGTTTATCAAGAACCAGCCTGCAATGTCCTCGGTCGGAGAGCATGCCGAGCCAAGTTTTATCAGATGCATCTCTCGAAAATCAGGGCATTTTTTTTTTTTTTTCCGAGTAAATCTCATTGAAGGTGTCCCTCATGATACCGACGACATGTTGCTATTTTCTCGTTCAAAAGGAAGCCCTGCGCCGCCTTCCATTTTGCCAACCGGGGGACTGATCCTTCCAAGCATCAATCATTATCGCATTTTCGTCCAGAATGAATTCGTAAAATAAAAGTCGAAGAGAAGCCAACCCACAAAGTTGCCTCATCACTATTCAACCTTGTATGATCCCAAAAGCAATACATAGCCCGGTGGTCAAACCGGCCTACTAACTCAACCGGCCATGACAGACACATCATATCAAGTCGATGCCAAGAATGGCCGCGGCCACGGTGCCGACCAACCGACCGGTACTCCTCCTTCCCTCCTCGTAACCACCACCGCAAGACCGTCCGAGAAGCAGGCGGTGCAATATTGGTAACATGCTGTCAGCATTCCGGTGGAAGCCATCAAGTAAGAAATTTCATGCATATGATGAAGAACAAGAAAGGCCAAGATGCCAATATTCCCACCAAGACCGGACTCAACTCCGCTTCCATGCTCCGCACCGCGTCTCTTAGGTTGTTGTGTGCGTGTGCGAGTGAGTGAGTGTGATGCCGAAAAAGCGCCATGCAGCACACAAAGCCCCGCTAAAGGCGTATGATCAACCAATGGGATTGAAGGTCGTATGCATTGTTGGCGCTTACAAGCGCGTTAGTGGGGAGGTTAATGCGCATAGGTGTTAGTGCAGGGCAGATTGTGGAGCAAGAGGCGGGATGAAGATGAAATGGAATGCGACCCGACGCAGCGACGGACGGGACGGAGGAAGAAAGAAAGGATGTCGCTTTCGGGGTTTGTTGCCGATGTATAATTCATTCCCTCTGTTGATCAGGTTTCGAAAAGAGCCTTGCGATACTATCATTTCTCCCCCCTGCTTTCATGCTTTGCGAAATGGGATACCAGGCATCGTCGCAGGCACGTCCGATGGAGGAATAAAGTGATTCGATTCCGTGGACACCGACGTCGTCGCTTGCGTCGCTTGTACACCGACCGCATTGCATCACATCCGGCCGAAATCACGACTGCCATCGATGCAAACCACCATCAATGAATGCATCGTTACCAAGGTCAAGGCAACCACACACCATTGCATTCGCATTATCATCCATGCCCATTCACGCTTTCTTTGCTCAGTTTCGCTTGCGAACAATGGAATACAGTACCACCTGCGTTAATGGTCCACAACTGGAATTCCATGCACCTCTGCGGCGTCGAAAAAGTCAAGGAACGAAGGATGGGATTAACCGGCTGCCGCGAGAACTGAACTTGGTGAACTATTGATCTGTTCTTTCTCCAGTCCCTTTCTCGACCTTGTCTTTTTTTTGTGCTTCTCATCTTAAAAAGGTTCTCTTGCAACTAACTGAAATTGCAACAATATCTTGGGAACCTCCTCCTTTAGGAGTTGCGGGGGTGTACCGAGTAGCAGCGTCGCTTGATGGTTTCTCTTTCTGGTTTCCCCCATCAATTTCTTCGGAAGTCAAGATGGTTGGTTACACAAAGAGAGAAGGAGAAAGAGAGACCGTGCCGTTGCGGTGCCGGTGATGGCTGATGGCGCTGACAAACCGCAGTGTCGCATTCACATCATGGGAAAGACTGTATGCATGCGTGTTTGTCTCGATGGAGAAGCAAGAAGATGCCATCAACACCCTTCTCACATCTGTTTCTTTGTTATGTCGGAATGGAGGATTTTGTTATTGACTTGTCATTCCATCGATACCACACAAAGTCCGACTCATATGCGGTGGCAGGGGTAAGTAGGTGCGCTTGATACCTAATCTCCCAACACGGTGTTGGAAGCAACTATTCTACCCCGCTCGTTACACACCATCATCGGCGGCACCGCTTCTGGATGTTTTCCAAAGTGGAAGCCTCGGGCTGACATGGATGCCTGGGTAAAGCCTACACTAGAAACGCCCGAAGAAGCTTTGGAGGCGCACCGCGCTTGTGTCGCTTGTTGGACAAACAGGATCGCTGCATGATCAGTTGGAGCAACAAGGCCTGACAAACCGGCGTGGATGGCGGACATTTGTCGGTAGGGGGAGGTTTTTGTGAAAGTTGACAAGCGCAAATGGATGTGATCCTGGTATGAACATTAGGACGGGTGAGCCATACTCATGCCTGTCGATGATGGCTTCATGTACCGGTTGTAACTGATACTCGGGGTACAATTCTTTCTTTCGAAGGCGACGGAACGACGTGCTCATGATCCTGAATGCGGTCTTGTCACTTCCGGTTGAAGAGCGAAGCAATTGCATATGCGACCAGGGAGTCATGATCCGTCCATCCTGTCCTTCCCATGGTTCATGTGTGTGGTTGATATTGGAAGTGAGTGGCCCATCATCTTCCCTCCCAAAGCCCGATGTCCTCCCTTGCCCGAGTTTTCGGTTCCGCTCATCTTTGTGTTGTGCGAGTGAAGCAAGTGACTCAGACGATGAAAGGGAAAGACGCAAACATCTATCAGGAAATTGTCAACCCGTCTTGACACTGCTACGGTCATGGAACCTTTTTCAGGGTTTTGAACGGCAAGTGAGATTTGAGGATGTCCGGTTCGTTGTAGCCTGTTTTCTGGGAAAGCGGCCAATCTGCCTTGGCGACAGCATGGCGGCTGTGTTTCTTCCTTCAATGGCTGCGGCCAACATCCGGCCAGCCAGGTGGAAAGAGCAGACCGGGCCGGCTCAATGGCCATGGCGGATCTCTCCCCTGTTCAAGTGGACTGGCGTTTGCGGTGGTCAGTTCTGTCACTGCCGTTTGGTCGAAACTTGACGGGCTATTTCCTGATTTTCTAATGGAACTACATTCCTTTCGTTGATGTTCTTGCCGGGACACGTTAAAAGGAAAACTAAGTGGCCAGTTGGACTGGGCTTCACGGAACACTTGCAAGTGCAACCATGGCGAGCCAGGTCGTCTCCGAGTAAGAAGAACGGGTCAAATCAGGCGTCGAGGTGCGATGAGCCAACTCATCGCTAGAAACTGGTCACTGCTTGGTTGGATTTGACGCTAAAGCCAACGAGGAAACATCAAGGCAGAACCCGCCTAGACTTATGACGGAACAGTGGAAAACCAACAGTGGCCAAATGGAGAGCTTCGAACCGCTCTTTCCTCTTGCAGGTGCAAGTTCTCGGGAGGTCTTTCCTCTGCCTGCACATCTAGCGTGTCAGGTCAGACAAACACATGGTCGGAAAGAACGATGAAAATCTGAGGCTCAACAATGGGCAACTGAAAGTTTCTTTGCCGAGCGAAGAGCTCAGTGCCTGTGTCTCGTTCCTTCCATTATATTCCAGAAAGCCTATCACAACATGATAACAGGACCCTCCGTCAAGATCTGGCAGGTGCTTCCAAAATACCGCCATGAGCCCGCTCCGTCATTGACTCAGTGAAATGAAGCAGTCGCAGTCGCTCACCAGTTGGGAGGAGCAACCACGCCTGCCGCTCCGATCTCTTGTCCAGTTAGCAACAGCGAAACTTCCACCTTGGTTATCGTGCTCCATTTGGATGAACCCTGATGTCCGAAGGGACTGAGAAAGCCCTTTCGATGAGCTCTCCTGGTCCAGGACCGGACGCCAGAAATGCTTTACACCTTTTCCAAGCGAAACCCCACCATCGGATAGAAAAAGGCGCAACTGAACGACACCTCGTAGATAACCTAACATCGGGATGGGCTTGTTCTTCCCATACCAAGATTCACCTGGTTGTGGTGATTGTCAGTGACGGAAAGTGAGTCCTATCACACCAGGCTTGCGTAGGCCATTCTTGCTTCGTTGGATGACATTCTCGGGCTGCTGTCCGTAATCGGTCGACCAACATCATGACCGCAACTGCCATATACAAAACATGATCTGACACGCCACTGTCTTCGCATTCACAACATAGAAGTCACAACACAACTGAACCGTGCGAGCGCTGAAGAGAACAACAAACAAATGCACAGGTAGGAGACGAGAGCTGAGAGTATCCTTGGGGTTCAAATAGAGGTCTGTTCCTCAGACACTTGATCCATGTTTTTCTGCTCCTCCATCAGCATCATCAGTACTCTTCATTTTTGCTTCTCTTGTCCGCCCAACACTCTCTTGCTGCCAACCCAACCAGTCATTCATTGCCTCATTCTTTGGACATCATCTCTACTTGTTCCAAGTCACCATGCATCCCACCACAGTCGTTTCACTCTTGGCTTTGGTCCTGGCCGACAAAGCATGGTCTCACAGACACGCCCCAGGTGAGCCCCAAGCAAGCACGTCTCTTTTTACTCGAAGGCATTCTGACAAGCCACATGCTTTCCAGCTCCTGAAACCACGGGCAAGTCCGAAGCTATTCCTGTGACGGCTTCAGGTCCATGGGGTAAGTACCAACGTTCCCACTTGCATAACTCAATCTAACATTGCCGACATAGATGACCTTGGCCCTGTGACGTTCCGCACTGAGAGGCCTGAGACAGCCATGCTTGAGATTGATACTCTTGAAGCTTCGACAACTACGCTGACTGGGATGGAGTCAACGACAATGACAATGACCACCACCGCGGCGGTTCAAGTCGAGTCTGTCATTATTTACGATTCGACTCCAACAACCACAATGACCTTGACCTCTTCTGACGAGCCTCCTTCTGCAACCTCTACCGATACACCCATTTCGACGTCCAGCACGACCATCACAACGTCTGACGTCTCGTCCACCACGACCACCACGTCAGCGCCAACTGGCGACGTACTGACGACAGTCGAGAACCTCACGCCTGGCCCGAACACGGTTCAGTTCCCCATGTCGTCAGCGGCCCCAGTCGTCATCATCAATGTTCCTTCAGACTCGTACTCGTCAGGCTACACGACTGAGACTATTTGGTCCTCCGTTTGGGAGCCCAGAAACATAGCCGTCAATACCGTTACCAGGCCCGCTGCTTTTTACGTCCCTGCCTCCAGCTCCAGGCAAACACCAGCTCCCACTGACAAGAGCAGCGGTGCTTCGACGGCGCGATCCGGGGCTGGTGTCATTGTCATGACAGGTGTTGGTGCGTTGGCCGCATGCTTCATGATGCTTTGAGTGTGGGGATGTGGTTGGCAGCAGCAGAGTGGATGATAAGGATCTGGATGACAGGTTTCTGTCTACTCGGTGGACGCGAGAGAACCAGCTGCACTCTTTGCGTTTGTGCGTGAATGATTGTGCACACAGCATCAACTTCCTAATGTCCGGGGGTACAAACATATCTTGAGGCGACCCGGAGCCGATCCTAAAAGTTCTAGTAGTAGTAGTAATTCAACATGATTCGCTCCCAATGCTATCTTTTTCCGTCTATACGTGCCATGTATTGCCCCGTGTCTATGATATCTAGAATAATGTTTTCTCCGTGATGATTTGTCTCTTTTCTTTGTGCTTTTTTTTTTTTTTTTAAGTTTAACCCAGATGGAACTTGCCAATGGCACCATCGTCGCCACCGTCGAACAGGGAGTTGACGCCATCCAAGGCAGCAAAGTGGTGAGCATACTCCATGCCCTTTCTGCGCTCGTACTCGACGCGCTTCCAGTCCCACTCGCTGTTCTCGTTGATCTCGCCAAGATCCTCGGAGGTGCCGGTACCGGTCTCGCCGCCACGCCATCCCTCACCAGGACGCTCAGGAAGCAAGCCGTTGGCCTCGATGACAATGGAAGGGTGGACAGTGAAGCGGCCGAGCTTGAAGACGTACTTGCTGATGGCGGTGGCGTAGACGTACTTTGAGAAATCCTTCTCCTCAACCTCCTTTCCATCCTCAGTCCTGACCAGCTTGGGGCGCGTAGGACCGAACTTCCTGCCATCCCAGCTAGTAGGCCTGACCTTGCCCTTGACGACGTAATGGGTGACGATGTACAGCCACTTGCGATCCCAAGACAGAATGCGACTCCACATCTCGTATCCCTTGAGAGGCGGGATCTCCCGTCTGAAAGAACAAAAGACGGCGCCGAGTCCAATACCAAAACCACCTTTGACGACATTTCCCTGGGGATCCAAGACAAGTTTATTCTTGGCGTTGTCGCCGACGACGGACATGGCGGGACCGAGCAAGTGGGTGACGAGGTGGGAGCGGGAGACGTCCAGGTCGGCAAAGTAAGTCGAGTTGGACTTGTGGAGGTTGTAGTCGGTTTCCAGGGGGGAGGTGTAGGAAGAGGTTATGGAGGGGTGGAAGAGGGAGCGGGGGGTGAGTGGGGTGGGGGGACGGCGGAGGAGGTGGAGGATGAAGGCGTGGAAGACGCGGATCTAATCATGGATTGGCAAGGGTTAGTATGTATATAGAAAGGAAGGGAAAGGAAGAAGAAAAAAAGAGGATAAAGGAAAGAAGAGGGATATGGAAGCAGGAAGCAGAAGAAGGACAGGAACAGAAAAAAGACGAGACGAGACGACGGGAGAGATAGTGGTAATCGGATGAGACAGGGCGGGATCACAGCAGCACAGCACAACAATGCGCTGCCTGCATACCTAGCATCCATCCCAACGCCACCTTTTAGCCGCTCTGCACGTCTGCTTCTCAGCCGTCACCAGCTAGTCCACCCTGCAATTTTCCCGCCCGTTACCCTTACCCGTTCGCCCACTCCAGACTCAAGATCACAACCCCAACATTACCAATCCCAAGAGACCAGAGACCAGAGACCAAGGAAGCCACGGAAACTAAAGAAAGAACCAAAGAACCGGGGTAAACTCACATGCCACATAAAAGGGAAATTCTTCCAGCTCAAACCCATATACACCACCAGCAGAATACGACTGACGCTGCCCGGGCCGGTAAAGAAGTCGGTGGCCCAAGTGGCCCAATCGACGTACATGAGGCGGTGGACGGCATAGAGGAGGCCGGCGGTCGAGAGGGGGAGGATGACGGGGTAGAAGAGGGAGAGGGTTCCGACTGCCATTTTTGTTGTCGTTTTTTTCGGGGTGTTCACACGGAGGGGATTGGTGGGCTTCGATGGTGTTCAGTCGAGGCCGGAGGGAGTGTCGACGGCGGCGGCGGTAGTGATCGGAGAAGAGGTCGGCGGAGGAGGAGGAGATCGACGACGATACGCGAGAGGACCGGAACGACGGGAGGAAGAAGAAGAAGAAGAAGAAGGACGGACAAGGAAAAGCCGTCGCAAACTACCAAAGACAAGGACAGCAACAACGACGATCCAAAGAGCGGAGGATCGAAGGAAGCAAAAGAGAGCGGAACTGGCGCACTTTGCTGCGATGGCGGGGGACATCATTTTTTTTTTTTTTTATTCTGTTCTTTTTTCTACTATACGACTTACCGCGGTACACTACAGTACACTATCTAGCGTGATCGCGGGATTGGGCATCTGGGTTATCTCCGATCTGGATGGAAGGGGGCGGCGGGGCAAGTTCGGTGGGTCCGGGTCACTTTTAGGTTTTGGTCAGGCAGTTCAGGTTTCGGTACGATCTCTGTAAGTTTATTTTCGACTTTTTTGTTGAGACGATCAGATCAGTTCAAGCTTATGGAATCTTGTTCCATGTTGACGGCACTCGTTAAAAGTTTGATAAATGGTGACGAGGGTTGATTCGATTCGCGAATGGTTCGGTAGCGTACATAGCTACGATTGGTGACCGGAGTTTGCTGCGCGGCGGACGCTTGCTTGCTGCGTTGGGAATTTTCTTATTTTGTTTCGATTTCCAAATTAGAAAAAAAGTCAAAGATGCCGAGGTAACTTTTTTTATGTTGGAGACTTGGTGGTGTTGGAGGGAAAGACAGGGGATGCTGGGTGAGCTGCATGGTTCCTTCAGGGGCTAGATTATCTTATCGCTGCCGAGGGCTGCCGAAGCCCGAACGTACACTAGATTGCCGGCGGCATCGAAGGGCTTCCAGGTTGTGTTAACGTCAGTGCCCTGAAAACTCGCCAATTCGCCATTTCCATCCATTGGCCCCCTTTCGCCGTTTACACAAGACAACATACCGAGGAACAAGATCGACTCCTTGAACACTGAATATCTATCCGAACTACCCGGATGATGAGCGCCTTCGATGATTATTCGAGAACTTACTACTCTTCAAGTCCAACGATCAGTGGATCATGGAAATGATAACTGGACGACCAAGCGGGTACCTGACTCAAGCGAGGATATCGCTGTCGGCGGTGGATGATAGAGCCGAAGCCAAGCGACAGGGTTTGCGTCAAAAAGAGCAGCGTCGGGAGATCATCTAGGCCGAGCCGCCGTGTTGGAGAAAATACTGCGACGTTGAAGAAATTCCTGGACGGCATTTTGACAAGTGCGTCTTTTGTCTTTTATAATCGGATTCTGTCACCTACTTAGAGGTAGCATTGAGACCGTTTTTGTTAGGCGATACGACGTCATTACTCTGTTCACGGTAAGAAACCCTCCTGATAGTGCTGCTCACTAAAACGGCCTGAGACAAGAGCCTCAATTAACAGCGCTAACCCACTGCCACTCTGCAGATGTCTTCAGCAATGACCGCCGCGCTCAGACAGACCGTCAACATCGGACGGATGCAAGGAACCGCCATCAGACGGTGCATGACCAGCGTCAGGAACAACACCATCCCCAAGTCCCCGAGGTATGTTTTGAGTGAGCATTGCGACGCAAAGATAAACATGTTGTTCCGCCGCCATGGAACCAAGTCCGTCCAGTGGATATCACCAACCATCCAATCTCAAAGGAACCTCGGCACGACCCACCCACCGCAATGACAACATTGATAACGGAGAGTCGGAGACCGTCGACGACAACAACAACTCTTTTACACTCAGTCATGACATTCAAACCTCTACGCAAACGACTGAATCGCAAACACCATAGCTGACTGGAAACCCAATTCTCTCGCTTTCTAGCTTCATCCCAGCCACAAACACGAACTGGACCCGCGCCCAACACACTACTGCTGCCGCTGCCGCTGCCGCCGTCCACACCACCACCACGATGAGACCTCACCCCGAGTCGTCGCCCTCCTCCTGCTTCTCAACCACCCCCAAAACAGCACAAATGGAAATCGACCACTTCCGCTCCATCCCCTGGGTCGCCAAGCACCTCTCGAAACCCCACCTCGTCATCACCCAAGCCGACAGCCGCAAGCCCAAGCCCGGCCACTGCGACGTCTTGTTTTCCCAGACGCTCAACAGCCCCGAGACCATATCCGCCTACATCACCACCGTCGACGGGTCCGAAGAGGGACTCATCACCGAAACTTTGGCTTTCCTGACTCTTGGCAACAAACTCAACGGCTGGCCTGGCGTCTGCCACGGCGGCATGGTCATGGCCATGATGGACGACCTGACGGGCCAGCTGTTCACCCAGAACAAGAAGCTCAAGAGGATGCAGAACCTCCCGCTTATGACGGCGTACCTGAATACTACCTTTGTGAAGCCGGTGAGGACGCCGTGCACGATTATGGTGCGGTGCAGGATTACCAAGGTGGAGGGACGCAAGTATTGGAGCGAGGCGGCGATTATAGTGGAGGATGAGGTGACGGGGGAGGAGGTCGAGCTGGCGAGGTGTGATAGTTTGTTTGTCATGTTGAAGAGTAATCTTTAGAAGGAAGGAAGGAAGGAAGAGTGATATACCCATAGACGGGGATAGAAGGATGGATAGACATGGTTTGGGATAGAACGGATTAGGATTAGAATTTTAGAAAGGGGGGCCTTGCTTGGATACGGTACCCCTGGTAGACCATAGATGGAGTTCAAAGGTATGTTCATCTTCGCATCCATTAGGGTCTCTTCCTCGTTTGCTAATACGCTTGACAGGGCATATTATAGAGATACAGATAGACTTGTTGCGAACATTCTTTGTCAATACCATTCACTAATCGACTTATTGGATCATCGCATTTCGTGAGGGACGATCGCGATATCATATTCACACACAGAGAACGACCGTCTCAATACCACTCACCTACCAGGCAGTCAATTCCATGCCAGTTACATATCCGACAGTTTGTCAAGCCAGTTTCACATTTCAATTCCCAATTTCAATCACGGCCGAGTGTCCCAAGATCCGGAAAGAAGGAAAGAAGCAACGTCACGCCAACATTGCGCCAGCTTACACGTCGCATCTTGTCCTACGCAAGGGATGTCGACCTTCAACTTGTCTCCTGTAAGTCCGAAACTGTGCGGGATGATTAGATATTCACGGGCGTGACGACTTTCCGCGATTACAAATACAGCCATCATTCGAACGAATTCACGCAGACAGCAGAGATTGGAATGGGGTTGGATACGTAGTATGTCTAACCTGTCCAGCAAACTTGTATCCTCGCTCACATCAACCTCAACTATAAGGTGACATGAACTTTCCTGTATTCAACGCCGATGCGATGCCGTAACGTCCTCCGATTAAGGTACCGAGAGAAAAAGAGAAAGGACTAACCGTAAGCAGGTTAAAGGAGGAAACTTACAGCAAGCGAACATAAAGGGAAGCAAGATAAAACCAACACTACCAAGACAGACGCCTGGAACTACCGGCCGAAGGGTAAACGCGTCAAGTAAGACAGATGGGAATGAATTCCGGGATGCCACTCCCGGTTTTCAAATACACCTGCGTGCCAGAGCAAGACTCGGTCCTTATTATAGGACCATCAAAAGAAGCCAAGCCAAGGGACGCCACTCCCTACTGAGGTTCGAGATTCCGTAGAGTCTTCAACCACGAAATCATCAAGGGACGCCACTCCCAAGTATACCTCTTTGAGGTTATTCCATCCGGACCGGACCAGAAAGACACGGTGCCAAAGCAAGGTAATCCTCAAGCTCTCATACCCTCCACTCTCAGTCGCTCAGCAAGTCAAAGTCAGACTCCCTCTCACTATCAATATCAACCTCATAGGCCTCAAGCACCGCATTACCAACCTCGATAGCCTCCTGCCTACTAACGGTGCTTTTGACGAGAACATGTCCCAGATACGTTCTCGCGCCATCAGTAAATGTGCTCACCCACTCTCCATGCCCATAATAATCGACTGCTAAAACAATATGCTCCGCCAGATCGGGACGGCGCAGCTTCAGGTCTTCGGACGGGCTAATAATCTCATACCCATTGTGCTCGCTCTCATGCTGCTTGAATCTCCACTCCAAGACGCCATCCTTCGGAACAGGAATGTACACGAGACGGGACCAGTATTGCGCACCGACACCAGGTGTGCGGTCCTCAGCTCCAGCGTAGTGAGAAGAAAAGGGAACCGGGATGGCGCGCAGACGGTCCTTGTCGTCTAGGGCAGCGAGCATGCGCACGGCAAAGTAATCAATACCGTAGGTGTGGCGCGAGGGAACGGAGACGCGGTATCCGGGCGGGCGGGCGTTGATTTCGATGAGTTTGCATTCGGGCTTTTTGGTTAAGGGAACGTCGTGAGGGACGAGGTCGATGATACCCGGGGAAATGGGGCGGTATTCGTACTTGGAGTTGACCATGCGGGCTTCGAGGTGGTAGATGCCGGTGTGGAAACCTAGATTAAGCAGGATCTTGTGTAGGGTGTTTTTGACAATCTCTTGTTCGTCGGCAGGGAGGGCAGATGGTAGGGTGAGGGCCACGGGTGAGAAGGTGTCGTTGACGGTCGCGTCGGTGGCGTCACCCTCGCAGGGGGGTTCGTCTGCGATTTCGTAAAAGAGAATCTCGCCGTCCAGAAGGACGAAGTTGACGTCGATTTCGGGGCCGTCGTAGAATGGCTCCATGACAGCTGCGGAACCGTGGCGCGTGGTCGCCTTCTTGACGGCGGTAGTGAGGTCGCTGAGCTTGGTCACTTTGGAGACACACTCTGATGACCAGCCCTTGGTAGGTTTGACGATCATGGGGAACGTAGGCGTGAAAAAAGGTCTGGAGCCATCGGTTGGCGCAGAGAGGAGGGTTTCGAGTTCTTCAACGCTTGTTACTCGGGCCGTGTGACCGGGAGAGTCCTGCAGCATGCGGGACTTGTACTTGTCGACCGCTGTCTCAAATGCCGAGACAGGACCGCTAGGAAGACCGAGTTCCTCAGCGACCTTGGCGACGGTGACAAAGAAGTTATCGGACAATGTAAAGACACCATCCACCGGCGTGCCGTATCTCTTAATTGACTGCACAATGCGGTCGGCTAGTCCTTCGTCTTCTGTCATGTCCGTTCTGAGGAATGCCTTGCGAAGCTTGCGGTTCTCGATGGTATTAGCTTCAAGCCAATGTCCAGCTTCGTCGATGATGACCAGTTTGAGGCCCAGTGCTTTGGCAGCAGCGTAGACCGGACCGCCTGTCATCAGATTTGGGCGACCCCTGACGAGGGCAACCGTCTTTTCCATGATGGGAGGATCAGGCGACAAACAAGGCACATTGTGAAGCCTATGGTGCAATTCCTGGGTGATGTTGATAAGGCGCTGCTGAAGCTCCTGAATGGATAGGGCGCTCGAAACATCGCACCACTGGACAACACCGGCAGCGTGCTCGGCGAGAAGGGAGAGGTTAGCGCTGGGGCCGGCGGCGGTCAATTCTCTTGCCCAGAAAATGCCATGAAACTTTCGAGCGATCAGGCGATCATCGATGCGAGCAATAGGAATCGGACAGTCCTGCAAGCGGTGCTCCAGGAGGTTCGACCGGACAGCGTAACCTTCGCACTTTGGAAAGATGAGGGTGAAAAGGGAAATGTCGAAGTCGGAAAGACGTGGCTCGTCAACACCCGCGCTAATGAGGTTAAGCAGGAACTTGTCCAGCTGTGTGGGTGTACTCGGACGCCCGCTCACATCCTGAGCATGGCCGTTGGTGCCGTTCTGGCCGTTGTAGGGGTTCTTGGAGGAGCCATTCGGGGTGTTTCCGGGAGAGAGTGAGGCCTGGGGCGACGGCGGCAGAACGACTACATGAATCGCAGCGTACAAGTCACCCAGGTCGACAGTGTCGCAAAAGAAAGGCCGATTGGAGCCAGCTAGAATTTAGAGCGTTGATGTTAGTGGTCTGTCGGTTTCTCGGTCGCGGTGACCAAGCAGGGTACAAGTCAATAGTGAGAGGGGAGAGTGATGAAGAAGGCAGACGCACCACTCTGGTTGCTAAGAGAAGATGAATTCACGGGAGCGAAGCTGAAGGGCGCAAAACCCAGAAGCTCGCCGATCTGAGCCATGATGTCGCCCTTGTTAACGCGATCAACAGCGCGCGCTCGGTGAGAGTGGTGTCAGGTTGATGTGAGAGGATCCAAGATGTTGATAGAGTGCAAGTGCGCGCAAACCCGTTGGCTCTTGTTTACCGATGTGCTAGACTGATTGCGCGATCGCTGTCGTGTGAGTTGTATGAGAAAGGAGTGAAACAATGGCGGGCTTGAAGAAGCAGAGTGAGGGGCAGTTGCGCGCAAAAGAGGTGGTTATTTGAGTGGCAAAGTGTAATTGAGCAAACGAATTGGCAGAGTGAAATGGAAAGACGGGGTGAAATGAAGTATCAAGTGGAGGGACTTGATAAGACTTTGAGGTTCAGACGAACACGGTATCAAACGGACGACGGGTCATAGCCGGTGACGCAAGACACTGATAACAGTTTCTACTGAGCAGTGATATTTATGAACCCTGAGAGCCATCACTTCCCTTCCACCTCAGACTGTAAACCGAAGAGTGAGGTGCCCGGTCCAGAGCCCCCTTTTGTCATCATGATCCTTGAACATTCTAATAAAGCAACAGGTTCGGGTGATCTCCCGGGCAATCATGAAACTGTCAAGACTGGAGATTGGGCACTAGGTACCTACTCACGAACTATTGACCTCATCCCGTCCCGGGTCCGGCGGGAGTCGCGGGTCTCGATCTTGGGCGGTGGAATATAATGTGCTGTCGTGCAATGGAAATGAGCTACAGCTGTAACCAAGAATGGCTGTCCACCTTGACATTCTGGCCACTCATGTCTTTCACCGAGAGAACATGATTCGATGCCAGGAGAGGCGGCCAAGGCAGCTCCAAGTAACACACTGGTGACCTCTCGAGACAAAGTGTGGCCATGGAAAAGAACAAGTGTCGGTCAACATGTCTCACTTAGTTTTGTGGAATGTCTCGTCTTGTTGGTTGTACTTGGAGCGAGTGGAAGGCCAAGGAAAGAAGAGAGAAGGAGAGGACAAACAGCGGCACAGATTGAGAACCTTGATGGCCCAGCAGTTTAGCGATAAATCTGATAAGATGGCTTGGCAGGCGCTATCCCACATAAACCCCACAGACCAATCAGCTTGGCCATTTCTGGGCGAATGTGGGCCCCTTGCGTCTTCCCCTCTCGTCAACCGTGAGGACCTTGATGGCCAATTCCCCTGGCTCCCCCGTCCTTTCCCTTTCCCTTTTTTCCTCCGTCAATTGAAAATGCTAAATGCTGATCTGACGATTGAAAGTGGCTCACCCTCGGCACGGCGCAATGGAACGGCTACAGCTTCCAATAAGAAACTTGAATTGGTCAGGCACCAACTCGTAACGGTAGGCTGAAGGCTAATGGCATGTCGGCTGGGTAACATTTCCACGGACCATCAAGGTTCTCACTCTCTCGACGTTGGTGATGCCCCTGTCAAACTGTCCACTCGCCTTTCATCGCTTCCGAGTTTAACCTGTGGGCAACCGCAGAGCACCGCAGGAATGATTGTATTTCCCGCAATTGGGCTGTCATTTCCCACCGTCGTACTAATCCCAGGGGCCTGATTTGCAGATGATTCCACTACGAGGCCCATCAGGCCGACCAGCTGGTCCCCTACTTTACTGAGCCGCATCCCTCCCTCTCTGTAGAGACTCGAGGGGACCCTGACGATTTTTCGAATTGCCCTTCACGCTTCCGTCTGATCCCATCCAGCCTTACAACCGCTCATCTATCCCTTCCCAGAACGCGAGGCCGTGTCAACAGGAAAACTCGATTTCAGCCTTGCCCATCATCCCATACAAAAACAGAACGAGAACCTCGCTGGTCGTGGTTCATTGACCTTCACCGACGCAGTCATCGTAACCATCACCTTGAAGACGGCCATAGAACTATCCCAGCCGAGTGTTCTTTCGCAGCTTTAAAATGCCTGCCCTTCTCTCAGTTCTCGGTCTTGGTTCTCCAAGGAACCACCAGTCCTCTCACTACCTCGACAACAACACGAACCCGGATATCCTTGCCGAAAAACTAGACACCATGGGTAGCGCAAACATCACCAAGGCGCAAATGATCGCTCTAAGCATTCTCGATACACACAAGCAACTCAAGAAGCTACCGACCTACCAACCAGGAGAAGAAATCAACCGCTTACTGGGGAACCTCGTCCACACATGTGTCCAGATCCACCCTCCAAGCGTAATCCAGCAGGTACGTTTCCCCCGAGATCACCAAAGCAAGTTGTAGACTCACATCTCCAGATCCTCGACTTCCCCGGCCTCCAACAAACGCTCCCCTCGCTACGCACCATCTGCTCCGAAGCCGAAGCCTGTCTCGAGACCCACTGGGCCGAGCGTGCCCTCGCGCTTGCCGACCAAGGCCACGAAACCGTCCTCAAGGCTCTCCAAATTGACTTTCCTTATTTCCAAAACTACATTGACCTCGCGCGCCTCGAACTTTCCGCCATTCGCGCCGCTTTACCTCCCAACAATACCGCACCCCTCAAGAAAATCACCTTCATCGGCTCCGGTCCACTTCCGCTTACTTCGTGGTGTCTCCTCGATGAGATCCGCAAGACTGCCGGTCAAAACGACACGATCCCAATAATCTGCAACGTCGACATGTCGTCCACCGCTATTGACCTATCTTCTCAGGTCAATAGTGCATTGGGTCCCTGGGTCAAGGGGATGGAGTTTCTCTGCGGCGAGGCCGGGTCTCCGGCTATTAGCCTTGAGGATTCTGATGTTGTCTACGTCGCTGCGCTGGTTGGGATGTCACAGAAAGATAAAGAGGAGATTTTCCTGAAGGTCGTCAGGACCATGAGGCCTGGTGCGCTGCTGGTGGTGAGGAGCGCATGGGGACTGAGGACCTGTTTGTACCCGGAGGTGAACGTCACGACGGAGAGGCTGTTGGGGGTGTTGGAGTGTTGTGCCGTGGTGCATCCGTTTACGGATGTGGTGAATAGTGTGGTTGTTGCTAGGGTTAGGGGTTGAGGTTTGAGGCATCAGAAAAGAAGACATGGGGCAAATCGGTGACCAGCGAGGAATGAGCGAAAAGATGTTTGAGCAAAGAAATCAAAAAGGTCGGCGGACGGGGCCGGTTGGAAAGGGGAAAAGAAAAGAAAAAAGGGGTGGTTTTCGTGATTCAAAAGTCGCAAGAAAGCTAAGAATACATTAATGACTTCAGAACATGGAGTTCCTCTGGTTGTTTGGAGTGAAAGAGGTATGTCTTTGGGTGAACTTCTCCCCGAAATAGTTCACGCAGGGCCAGGCAGGCTCAGGGAGGATAGACACTAACGGCTGAGCGAGCGCGACAAAATCGAGTCAACGGTGGATTTTGGAACTGATTGTCGGTTACATAAAAGTAAGATATAAGAGAGGCAGACAGTGTTGGAGGCTGGGAATAGGCAACAAAACGAAATTGGCCTGATTCTCGTAGGCAGTGGTGGCGGATAAGGAAGATAAACTCCTCATTGTTTCATGAACATTCACCTCGGGACTTTCTGGTCATTACTTCACACCAAGAGAATCTATCCCATGGTCATGTCCACACAAGGGGCAAAAGACATCATACCTACCATCAAAGCTCAATCGTCAAACACCTATCCGTCGGCAGATTTCCCACCACCACGTCAACCGACCTCAACTTCGGCGGCGTTCCCAGCTCGGAAATATTGTGTGCGACTACACTCCGAATATTCATCTCCATCAAACGCCTCGGATTAATAGCGGCAGTAGGCACACTAGGTCTTTGTATTGGAATAGGTGCGGGTATTGGCGCAACCGGTGGTGGCTGCTGAGGGTGTCCCGGTCTCCCAGTAGTAACAGGGCCAGCGCCGCCCAAAGTTCCTCGACTAATCAACTGCTGACGAGTATAAAGAAACGTATCCGAAAGTTTCAAATACACCAACTCCTTCAGGTGCGGAAGACACGTGAATCTTGGCTCCTCTTCCCCAAACATTTTCGTCCAGTTTGTCTCGTCGATAGGTATTCACGGGCTGACCATCTGGCACCATTCGAAATGCTCGAGCGTGTCCTGGTGACCAAGCAGGATGGTATTAATGTTGAATCCCAGAGAGTCTCCTCCTTCTCTAGAGGTATGACCACCACTAGCAAGTCCTTCGAGATCAAAGCCGGAGTAAGGTCGGAACTTTCTCAGCCGCTTTGCGGGTTCGAGCCATACTTGGAGAAAGTCGGGCTCGATTCCTCTACATCGGTCTTATAGCTGGTAACAACCTTCACTATTGCCACCGCTCTCGCAATTCTCTTCGGCACATTTCCCGAAGATGGTGAGGATATAAGCCTGTACCTCTACTCCACGCGAACATCTGTGTTGAGTACAATATTCAAGGAGAAAGAAAATGAACCCTCGTTATTTAAAAGCCAGCCATCATGCGCTGAACATCTAGCTCATGGTCATCCTCGAACAGCGATTGTTCAAGGTGTGCGACGGCCGCCTGTATATCCCAGCCGTTCCGCTGCGAAGGAGTGGGATTCGTGACAAAAATCTTGAGCACCAATCCTCTGTTAGCATTAGCTCGCGACTCGAGGACGAGTCGGTTCAGGAACGCCATCACAGCCGCCATTTCATCGCCATGTGATCCCGATGCATACCAGAATGCGCCATCTACCAAGATATATACAACACCGGCGGGTACGTTGTGCAAAAGCATCTTGAAGACGGAGCAAGCCGTCGATAAATCGTTCATCATGAGCCCTTGAGCGAGCAGATTCAGGTCGTTGCCCGTCGTGGAAAGGTTGGCGTTCCCAAATGGTTGCAGGAGTTGCAGCGCCAGACTGCGCATCAGTCCGTAGCCGCCTCCTAATACGTCGCCGTCTGCAGAGTGCAGGCCGCAGAAGAAGCAGAGCCGGATCATGCCAGGGGCGGACATCATCTCGGTGATCAAGGCGCAGAGGTAGCTGAGGGTGGAGAGCGACGAGCTACCTTCCAGCGACTGCTCGTCGTGGAGGACAAGGATCTGTGACTCAAGAGACTTGAGCCAGACCACGAATGCATCCTCAATCAGGAGATACCCGATCTGGTTCTGACCCCTGGACGATGGCGGCGATCTCAGGGCTAGCTGGGACGTCCGCCTTGGAAATGGCCAGTAAATCCTCCGCCACGGTTGGGCTGCCGCCGTTCCAGTTGGTGCAGAGAAGCGGCCACAACTGAGAAGCGTTGAACCCAGGGGGTGGCATTTGGGGCTGCATTGGTCCCACATATTGTATGAACTGCATGGTTGGTTGAAACATGGCCGCGTTCTGCATCTCTTTTCTTACAAGCTGTTCCATCTGGGCTTTTCCGGCAGGTAAGGTCAGCTTCCTGGCAGAATTTTCTGCCGAATGTTGTGTTTTGGATGAACTCACCGGGAAAGTCTCTCACAAGCCCCCCGAGGGTGAAGTATAAAACCATGATTGGCGATACTAGAGCCCGGACGTTCTTGTCAATTTCCTCAACGCGCGTCTGGAAGCAGATTGACACAGAGCCCTCGAACGATGCTGAGGCCTTCTTCACCTTGTCAACGGCATCATCTAGCTTCGACCCATAGTCTGCTTGCTGAAAGAAGGCCTTGAAGGACTCAACTAAATGGGATATCAATATGTGCTCGGGACTGCGGCTATCAAAACTTCCAGGCTGGTGTGACTGCGGGATTGAAAGGCTACCTAAGGGGTGGGTGAAAGGGAACCTGGGAAGTGGAATATACTAGTATTTGGTCGATTTAGATAAGAGACGACGTAGGTAATAAAGTCTAGAATAGCTATATAGAGGTCCTCCGACTTCTTTTTTAATTCCGGGTCGTTATTGCCGGCCCGAGTATTTGCGTTTGTTTTCCGTACGAGGAAATGGGGTAAGCTTACCTTCCACCGACTTGTCTTGGGGCTATATAGCCTGCCTACCTAGCCTCACCTCTCGCTAACGACGAGTCCATTGACAACACAACCTGCCTTCGGATTGGCAAAGATAACAACGGAGAAGAGATAATGAAGGAAAAGAATCAGCGACGGGAGCCCTGGAAGGACTTACAGCTACCCGACGGCCATAAGCGCTTGGTACAGTCCCTCACTGAGTCTCACTCCGACCACAGGGGACCCCACAGCTTGCATTTTGATCTTGTAAGAGCCAAGGGTAAGTGCATTACCAACTGGGTAGGTAGCAATAACTTGTTGCTGCCGTTCCTTGTGGTTCGCTGGCTAATGGATGGCAGGAAAGGGACTCACGATCCTCTTACATGGAGTGCCCGGCGTGGGAAAGACATCAACAGCTCGTAAGTGGTATCCATCACGGCGCAGAGCCGTCCGCCTTGGGCTTATCCAGAAATTGCTAACACAAGTTATCTAGAATGCGCTGCCGAAGCAAATAATCGACCCCTGCTTCCCATCACTTGCGGTCAGTAGAGGTACTTTTGAAGCAACCGAAACAACGACTAGGAGCTAACTCGGCATACCTAGGTGACCTTGGTACTTCTCCACGAGAAGTTGAACAGAAGCTAGAACAGGCATTCCAGCTTGCCCAGCTATGGAACTGTGTTCTCCTTCTTGACGAGGCCGACGTATTCTTGGCTCAGAGGATAGCGCAGGACATTGCTCGAAACGCTTTGGTCTCTGGTAAGACCTCAGTCCTGAACGAAGAGAGGAGAGCCTCGACCTGTGACAGGCCATCGCTGCAGTTTTTCTCCGGGTTCTCGAATATTATGAGGGAATCCTCTTCCTGACCACCAACCGGGTTGGTGTGTTTGACGAGGCCTTCAAGTCGCGCATCCACTTGCCGCTGTACTTTCCACCGCTAGAGTGGAAGTATGCCGGGAAGATTTGGAAGACCCATCTTCGTAAGCTCGTCGATAGCAATTTGGTCGACGTGGACGTTGAGGATATTCTCTCCTACGCCGAGACATTGTTCGAGAAACAAAGCGCCGTGAACTCCAAGATCGGCCCGGTCTGGAATGGCCGCCAGATCCGAAACGCCTTTCAGAGCGTCGTCGCGCTTGCAGGATACAAGTCCACCGGGGGCAGGATCAAGATTGAGAGAGAGCATTTTGATCGCGTGGCCAAGGTATCCAACGAGTTCAACCACTATCTCTGGAGCATCAAGTCCGAGACCGACTCAGCCAAGGCCGAGAGGTCAGGCTACCGCATCGATAAATACCGCGTCGACGAAACCATACACCTGCAAACGGGGCAACAGCCATCACAACATCAAAACTTTGGCGGTATGGTGTTCGGGCAGATGAAGCCGTCGCCGAACGCAGGTACGCAGCAGCCTGGTGCAATGCCTTTGATGAATCCTGGTTTTCCACCCTTTTCCCAGCATCAGGAGAGCAACGGGTTTTATAGCTCCCAACCTCCAGCAAGCCCATGCAACCACATTTCCCACAATGCTTGGAGCGCAGGGGTCACCGATGGGATATGCCGCCATGAATCCGTCCCAGCAATACGGAGCTAACTTTGGTGGGCAACCACCACAGGGCAACTTGCGACCCCCGGCCAACTTTGCGCCGCAGGACGACTCTGGAAAGCGGAAGTAAAGGTATAGCGGGGTTTTGGATTTCTTATTCATTCGACAGATTAATTCAAGGCGAAGCCGGACCCTGGTGGCATTTGATCGATGGTTCCTTCATGTTGGTGAGTACATGTACCTATCGCAGCGGGTATATAGGGAGGGTACCTAGGCTAGGTTCAAAATTGAAACTGATCAAACAGGCGTGTGATGTTGACTGGGGACATTGTAAACATCGTTACACACTGCGAAAGAAAGAATGTTGATGAGAATGGAGGAAACGTGGGTGTTGTTGCATGCTGTCTTTCCTGACCGGGCGTGCACCTGCGAGGTGTTGAGGGAAGCTGATTGATAGTGTAATAACACTCATTGTGGCTTCACCTCAAGCCAGGAATGACTTCCTTGCGCATTCACCTTCGTTCTACCTCTCACAACTTCCATCCTCTTCACTTTGCCCCCTTCCTTGTCCACTTTCCCGTTCAATGCCGACTTGGCAACAAGCACTCCGCATCCCAGCACCGTCGACGACCGGCGAGAATGACAACCAGGTGAAGTTACCCTGCTATCTTGTTTAATGCGAATGTTGCCCCTATTTTGTTAAGGTCATATCACTCATACAGCTTCGGGGGTTTGGCCAAGCCATCATGTGAAATCAAGCGACCACGACACCAATGTATTTCGCACTTCGTGGATGCGTTTCCCATTTTTTGATCGACAGGCTATATATTTACCCTAATGTATAGGTGTCTGCTGGCTGGCTTTCATCACTCCTCGGCCCACTTTCCACATGCACCCGCCTGCCCCTTCCAGCGGGTAGGAGGTGGCAAGTTTCTACGGTTTCTTGATACCCGACGTGGGACGCATCCTTCCAGCTATTGCCAGTAAGACACCAGACGATGGGAATATGCTGATATTCCAGCAAAACCAGAAAGGCATAGCTATCTGTCTATTGCGCTGAAGTACTCCGCTCTCTGTATACAAGCCTTGATGCTTTTATAGAGTGAGACCCAACCTCCCAAGTCTACTAGTGTATCTAATTTTCAGACAGTGTTCCGCTCAAGGACGATCCAGATGAATATCCAGCACCTGCACCATGATCATCAATGGGACCATGTATCCCAAATCAACCCAAACCACTCATCATCCCATTAGATCCATCACCTCATTTCTCTTCGCACTCAAGATCCCCTTAGTTGGCCTTCTTTCCAAACTTGACCTTGATCTCCTCCTCAGTAAACCTCCTCGTATGCCTCCGGAGATACGCCGCCCTCTCTTCGAGCGTCATGTTCATCTGGAACTCGCCAATGGGCACCATGCACTTGGCCAGCGTCATGTAATCCTTCATGATCAACCTGACGGTAATCATGATATAATCGATGTTATGGAAAACCAGCGCATTGTTGGCCGCGTAGGTTTCCTTGCCCTTGAGGAAAGCCACGGGGTGTTCGCGCCAGTGGCGCAGGGGGTTGAGGTGGTGGGAAGTATGGTAGCCGTCGTTGTAGCAGTGGCGGTTGGACTGTTGTGTTTGTCAGTATCAGGTACGCAACAGAGAACAGGGAGGGGGGAGGGGGGGGGAAGACATACAGCAACATCCACCAACGTCACCGAACTCCTGTAATCGCTCTCCGGCTCCTCATCATCCACAAACGCATGCTGTCCCCAATTACCCACCATCAACGCCACCCTCAGCACCATCAACGGCAACACCATCGTCCAAAACACCGCCTTCCCTCCCCCGGGCGCAAAGTTCCACATGGCAATGTACATGGCATAGCTAGAATACTCCCAAAACGCCGCCTTGGCCGCCTGCACATACCGTCCCTTGCGCGCAAAATACAGCGGCAGATCCAACCACACCAGGAAATAGAATCGGCCGACGTACTTGGCAAACTCGCTGAACTCATCCCGCTGGTACCGGATCGTCGAAGACAAATCATCCGGCCCGTTGCCTTCAACGTGGTGGTGCTTGACGTGATGGTAGTAGTACGAGTTCCAGGTGTGGCCCATCAGGGGGTCCAAAACGTAGGGAAACACGGCGTCGAATACCCTCGTCCACCATTTGTCCTTGGTCAGGATGCCACGCATGTGGATGTGCTGGTGCATCATCAGCGTGTAGGTGCCCACGTACCAGCCGTTGAGGATGGCGTGGAGGATGGCGTGCGGCCAGGAGAAGCGGACGAAGAGAAGGTAAAAGGCGGAGGGCACCGTGGTGGAAAAGTAGATGAGGAGGTGGGTGATCATTAGGATGTCGGTTGGGACGCGGATGAGGGAGGTGGCCCATTGCTGGTAGGCGGAGAGGAGGGAGGGAGGGAGCCATTGGAAGGATTGCAGGTCGGCGAGGTCAAAGAAGTTGGTTATGGAGGGTTCGAAGGAGGAAGATTTGGGGTCGTTGAGGGCGGAGAGATGGGTGACGGCTGCTTCGTTGCGGGTGGCTGTGAGTAGCAATTGTGTCAGTGATGGCTTCATGGGAAATTGTGAAGATGGTCAGGTGGGGGAAGCGTGGTTGGTCAACCACACCCGGACCACGGCGGGCAGTTGGGGTGTCGGTGCACTGGAGCGGGAATTGCCGGCCGCCAGCGGTCCAGAACCTTTGGACCCTGCAGTCTTGGCAACGACATGATGTCACAGCCGCGACAGGAACCCGCACCGTCCGATAACGATAAGATCAGGGGGTTCATCTGAACAACCAATTCGTTGACCGTTCCGAACCGCGATGCGATGCGACGAATGAAAAGACATACAATGTTCGCCGCACTGCGACTCCAAATTGTGTGGACTGCAACTTCGAGCGAAAGAAAACACCGCGCTGGACAGACAGACAAACACACACGTACCTGAAGCTTTTTGGTAACCTCCAGCATCCTTGTTTACACCGCCGTTCGTATTTGTATCTGTCTCTTCTGTCCCTGTTGTCTCCGTATCGCTCGCCGACGCATATGCTGAATCCGAATTGCCCTTCTCCTTCGCCTTCAAGTGGTCGCTGTAATCGGTCGCCAACGTCTGCAAGACCACACGATCGGCCTTGGTGAGGTCGTGGGCGAAGACAATGTGTTCCATTGTCTTGGTCGCGGATCGCTTGTTCTCGTTTCGGTCTTGGTTCGGGCCTGGCGCCGGTGATTGTCGGGGAGGGGTGTCCCGGGTTTGAGTGCGCAAAGCGCAAACGGGAAGAACGGCTGGGCGCGGCGCGTTGTTGGGGTTTTCCGTTCAACGGTTGCGATTGCTCATGCGACGCGATGCAGGTTGGCTTGGATGTATGTGATGCGCAAGTCGAGAAATTGAAAGCGCCGAACAAAGGACGATGTACTAGCAATCAAGAAGACCAAGGTAGGGTCCTTGAAGAAAAAGGGGGAGGGGCAAGGTAGACGAGGTAAACAGATGTATGTACCCTGCAAAAAAGGAGAAAAAGGTCGACAAGGACAAAAAGCGAATGGGGCCCCGCGAGGAAAACTGAAAAGGCGGGCGACAGTCCAGTTCACTACTTTGAACGGTCCGGGGAACAAAATGTAAAAGGTCCGGCTACAACCGTACCAGGAAGCGACGAACTGAAGCGACGAAACAACGAACGAGCAAACGACACGAAAAGTACATTCGTTGGATATCAGCCCACGGTTGGCTAAACTCATTGTTCGCCAAACACAAGGGCCCCTCGAAATTTGTGGTTCATGTGGAGCCAGATGCCATTCTTGCATCGGATAGCGCGGACTGGCTTGTTGCCTGCCAGAAGCTCATTGTTTACTTTCTGATAAACAAAACGATCTACACATCGGATGGTGCTATTTGCATGAGATGACCATTTGCTGTCAAGTTGCTCTTGAGCAACAACAAATAAGCTTCTCAGATCAGAATTCGGTGCCGGGGTTGCCTTTCTTTCTGTCTTGGGGACCTCATCCGAGAGCCGAGCCCTGGAACCCAAGTTGGTTTTACATAGTGTCAGGGGTGCCAGCACAACCCTAACCCTGTGTGGATTTGGGAAACAAGCAGTTGAGCACAGACCATTTCTGCGCAGCTCTCTTCGCCCGTCTCGTCCTCTTCCATTTCTTCTTCCAACATTCATCACGCACTCGACACTCAATAGCTGAGCGTTCATTCCCAAAGTGCTGTTTTGTTCTTGAGACCTACCTCAATTCGCTTCGTCTCCGTCACTTGGCGCATTCCTCTTACCATGGCACCATGTCTTATTTTTATTTCCATACTGTCGTGGGCACTACCGGGTCAGCCAAGGTGCGAAGCCGTCAAAAGCTGACAATCGCAACACCAATGTTCTCCCAGCTCATGGCGTCAATCCCCATGCCAAACTTTGGGCTGTTGTTCAGCTAATGGGCGCTTGATCTGCCTTACTTTATCTCTGCCGTTTGCTTCCAGTAACCTCGCGTCGTTTCCACATGCACCTGGTTCAGCCAAATTCACAACATCAACACCATCCTGCTCGCGCACCGAGAAACGCTCCAGCACTTTGGGTGGTGTTAGATGATGGCATCTCGGAAAACCGACGATGCAGCCTGGGTCAAGATGTTCGGGCAAGATCAAAAGCTGTCGTGTCTTCCACAGCTGAAAGACTTGAGATATCTGAAGCTGTCAGACATGTTCGTCTACACCCGTCAGCAGCACGTGGATCGATACCCGCGTGCTGCGAGGGACGGTGTGTATCCGGCTGTGCGGGATCTTCACGGTTATCGGGCGGTACTCCCACATAATCTGACAGAACTGGGGGCACCGCCGAAGCTGCGTCCGGTTTATGTGGGGGGACATTTACCGACTGATCGGTATATGAGGATTGACCTTTGATGGTGTTCGTGGGAACAATAGCGAGAACCAAGGACTTGGGTTTCTGTGTTGCCTGAGGTGAGATAGCGCTGCATTTTCAGACGGGAGGCGAGTGAGTGGTCTGTAACTTTACAAGGTAGAAGTAGTACCTTATCCTCACACCGTATAGCTGTTCCTTCCTCCAAACTGGTCAGTAACTTGCCAAACGCTCCTTCCACAATTCCACCTAACCGTCCCTCCTAATTTTTTTTTTTTTTTTTTTTTTTTTTTTTTTTTTTTTTTTTTTTTGCCGCACTTCGCCACCTTTTCCCCGCGCCCCTCCTCCCTTCACTTCCCGTTTTTTCCTCCTCTTGTGTTATCGCTTCCTTTCACACAATATCGAGCAACGGACATCTTGACTGCTTCGTGTCCACGATCCGCGGCGGTCTCGGCAAGTGAGTACGGTATACGAAGGCTTCGGTTGTTCAATTCCACTCTCAGTACGCACCAAGACCTGCTGTTGGAAGTCTGTGCCCTAGGCCGCCTTCACTGGCCTTGCCCATTGACGTACACCCTTCCCGGTATACCTAACTAGGCTGCCCAGTTTCCATTTTCTCTTCTGTTGGACACCTCCAGACTCGAGCCCTTTTCGTTGTCGCCTTCTAGCCCTCCGATACCTGCCTCTCCCACAACGGAAAACGAGAAACCTCGGAGTGTGCTATTTGTCACGCAGATCCTGCTGTTCAGTCACCCCCTCACGGCGCAATTACGGCCATTCTTTCCCAATCAGCACCCAACATTCAGACGTCCTTTCCGCAAGAGGTATGCTCGAGAAGCACTGAAAGCCTTGTCGTAGTCACATCGATAGACCTTCGCGAACATGTCGGATCACCAAATGACAGGCAGTTCCTCACCTAGTAAGTCTATTCCACATTCCACAACAGTGACAGCGGACTGACGGGACGCCAATCCCATTCCAGGCCGATGCCCTTGTGGTAACACCTCGCCGCATGTGGAGTTTCTCCCACCTATTCCACAGCTTATCGGCCCCTGTGACGTCGAGGAGTGGAAGTATGCAGTGCAACTGTATCTCAACCATCACGGTCTGCTGGACTTCATTGATGGAACCCACGAGAAGGGCCAGGCCAATTCCGACGTGGAGTCTCCTGGTTCTTGGCGTAGACGACGCGCGCAAGCTTTCACCATACTCAACAGCAGAATTAAATGGGCCATGCCGCAGCTGCTCAGCGCTGGTCTGAGAGCGTACGATGACGATTACGACTTCGACCCCCAGGAGTTGTGGAATTACATTACCCGATACATCAGGTTGGGCACGCGCTCAGATTCACTCAAGGACCGCATGCTGCTTCATTTGTTCTACTGCGGTTACCTTCAGGATGATGCCAAATTTGAGAAGCATGAGTACATCCTCATGCGCCGTTGTCTCCGCACGTTGGGCATTGAGGTTCACCCTAGGGCTATGAGGGAGGCAGACATTGATGAGGACGACCTTGGGCATGATGACCGCGAATGGGTCTATAGTCAGGGGTTAACGGAAGTGCAGGGAAGATGGCTGACCGATTGGAGCAAGACGTGGAATGCCTCGAAGGCTTTTGACAGAGATGACTTTGCGAAGATGTTGGAGATTGTTGAGGAGTCTGCTGTGGCGTAGTAGGCACGGATCGCATCTTTGCTATTGCGCGAAGAAACTGCTCATGTTTAAGCCACGCGGGCTTGGTCGTAATGAAGGAGGGACAAATGGTGCACAGGATTGTCAAAAAGATTTTGCTCTTTAACATTACAGTGAAGCGTATATTAGTGCGGGGGCATGGTACCGTTTGTTGGTGATGTATCCTGCGACAGCAGCAGTTGTCTTGTAGGCCAGAGGCGTAACATTGGTCTGGAACTTGCGAAGAAGCGGCCCGTCAGATGATTTCCAGAGGCGACATCTTAAAACTGAACGGGTAAAGAAGGACCTCCAAAAGTTCACCTATAGGCTCACAAAATACACGGCATTTTCTGAACCGCCAGCTGTACAGCAAAGGGTGCCCCTGGTCAGATCCGATAAAAGGGGAAGCGTTACGTCCAGTAGTGATAGCTGCAACAAACTTGCTTCACCATGGCAGAATGATGGATATGTGAAGTGATGGGTTACTATCGCTGTCGCTGCCACGTTTGGTGCGAGTATTAATAGCGGAGTAGCGCTGGTCATCAGTGGACTACTTCCACAAAGTTAAGGTCCCGCTGCATGCCTGGAGCGGCAGTACTTGACTGTAAAGAATCACTCATCAGAAACATCAAGTCACGCATTCGAACGGTGTATTGGAAGTTACTCAGATATTTTTAACAGTGACCAGACGGCTGTTGGAAGATTGGGTAGATTTATAAGTATCATTGATTTGTGCAAAAATGAGTGTCCTTCTCAAGCGAAGTACTCACGCTCTTGATCCAGCGTACTCCCTAACAGCGCCAACCCACTTTGAACCCTGTTCCCGGGCCCCTGTCTGCTCAAGACCACATCGCCGCAGGCAGTTACTCGCCGTCCACAGCTCCATCCTCCTCCGTACTTTCTTTATGCATGCTACACTTTATCAATTGGACATTTATCCTCGTATCTCACGCTTATTTAGTTGGCTGTTGCTAATAGCTGAAGCTGGAGACGGTTTTGACGAGGAAGGGATGGGGGTGAAGGACCTAAGGGTATTGATGAGGATGGTATAACGAAGGGCGTGTTCGTTCCCGCAGTAGTACAGTAACGGAAGCATTTTTTTGGTGGTAGAAAAGCTTTGGGTTAGGGTTAGAAGAAATTCCCTTACTGCACTACTGCGGGAACGAACACGGCCGAAAACAGTAGAATATCTAGAGGTACGTAGAGGTAGTTATAGGTACAAGAAGAATAACGAACCAACAACATCCACCTTGACAAGGTTTTGATAGCGGTGGACACGAACAGTCAACAAAGCTTGGGTTCCGCCGTACTAAGTAAGGGAAGCAGCTAGCTATCTTCTGGTCTGCTGATGACTCCAGGCAATTTGTCCCCAGCAAAAGTCGCCTACAAGCGCCACAAGTGACAGTCCCTCCCTTCGGACAACGACGATGTAGCTAGATGTCGTCCATTGCTGGGCAATGCATCCATCCCCTTCGCTCCTCACGTGCACTGACAATCCCGCGAGTCCCCTGCAACCTCCAACCCACCTGAGCTACATGTAGCACCTCACTCATCATCCGTCAAACTGATCGCGCGCGACGACATAGAATGGTTCGTACCCAAACGCGAAGCTGCCCTGTCCCTATCCCTGTCCCTGTCCCTGTCCTGCTGCTCCCGCTGCCTCAGCTCCTGGACTCGATTCCACAACAAATCCGTCCGAAACCCAAACGAATCCTTATCGCCATCCCAACCAGCCGCCAGGAGCGCCGGGACGATACTTCCGATTTTCGAAAACAGGATCGCGTACGCATGCATGTTGCGACGCTGGTAGTTCTTGCGGTCGTGCTTGGTGGGCGGATTCGGATTCCCGTCGTCGTCTTCACCACATGCCTGCCAGCGCAAGTCCCAGCGGCTTTGTTCGTGGCCGGTGATGAAGTAAAAGACGCCGTGGTAGCGCAGGTGGAAGTAGAGCGCGTGTTGCCAGGCGTAGTAGTTGCTGAGGTCTTGGGCGAGTTGAGGGATGGGGAAGCGGCTGAGCGCGTCGTTGTCGGGGTCGTGGAGGTCTAGGTCCATGGTGACGGGGGTACCTCTAGGGACTTTGCGTTGGTGTTAGAAAGGGAACGGAATGATGAAGGGAGGGTTCAGACTCACGGGGAGACGAAGTTCTGCAACGATGGGGTAGTCGCGGGGTTCAATAAGTTGAGTAGAAGTTGAGAGTCGGCTGTGTCCTTATGATTCTGGAGGTGGAAAGCGGCGACAGAAAATCGTCCTGACTGGACCTTGTAGAGGTAACGGAAGAGGAAAGACGAGCCAAAGCCCGGGCGACCTAGAAATAATACCAGGAGGAGTTAGAATGCCAGTGAATGGCGGCTAAAGTCTGGTGAAGGGGATATGAATCGAGAGCACAGACTTCCAACACCTTCCATCGTTCCATCAGACCATTCACTCGCCATTTTAGCAAAGGTTTTGTAGGTACATGAGTGACCTGAACAGCGAACTTATTGTACTGAAACCCTTCAAGATGGAACCAATAAAGACTCTCATGACATGACGCCGCTGGTTGTGCAAAAGAGAAGGAGTTGTATGAGCAGAGCAGAGGGGTGGCACTTTTAAGTCCGGCTCAATTCCAAACAAAGTGTGTCAATGAGTGCCGAAAGGATGAAGAACAAAAAGAGGTGGTAAAAAGCAAAAAAAGCTCGGCTGCCCAAACCCGGATTGAAATCAAGACCAGCTGCAACCTACGAAAATACCCACGCGTTTTCTGCCCCGGCACACTACTACATTCAGTTGGCTACTGAAGGTACTGGAAGGTTTGTACTCTTGAGTTTATACGGTCCCAGTGACCTGGGGAGCGGAAAGGTTCTGCTCTTTGTGGAAAGCTGGACCCGTGCCGATTTCGCAGTAGGTACCTGAGTGCACGCTTGAGGTTCTCCCTTGTCACTCAGTGTCGCTCAGTGTGGCAGTCGTGGCCTACGCAAACTTCCAAGTACAAATGTAGACAAGTGCGACCTGGTATTTACGCGTGAGAATCGAAGCAACGGAAGGTTCTAGTTGGGGACATGCTGAGGCGAGCAAGGAAGAGGCCTCCTTGTATTATTGTAGGTCCCTGGCACCTAGAATTGTCAAGTGCGACCTGCCATTATTTCCGTCATAATCTACCATTCACTTCGTTCCCTCCTTCCAAAAGTGCGGTTGTTAGGCAGTCACAGCAGGTTTTTCTTTCACATGTCGCAAAGGGAAAAGATCAGGATCAAAACATTTTACGCTTGCAATCACATCAAAGATGGAAGTCCTGCTGGTGGAGGGAGTTTTGCTACTCTTCCGTTTATTCTTGCGTGAATTCCCTGTATCCTGGAACGTCTCAACACTGTGTTCCTTCTTCATGTGGTCATTCTTCTTGTCCTGTTGTAAATCCGTCCTTCATGTCTGGGTGTTCCCTTGGCAGTTTCCTCGAAATATTTCCCATGCAACAAAGACATCGAGGAAGACCCCATGACGTAACTTCTCCGAACCTCGCATTACCAGAACACTTTAGCAGAAGACTGAGTTGACCAAGTTCGATTAGCGAGAGGGACAATACCCAAAGTGCGCCGATAACCATGAAAACTGCCAGTTCGTATCTTGAAAACCGTCACTTTTCCTTCTTCCACCGTGATCGGGTGAGTCTGCTAGGTTGTAGAAGAAACCTCCATGTCCTCCGATGGGAAGTGGATCTTGTGGAATTCGAGAATGAGCTGCCAAAGCTTCTTAGGGTCGAATTCAGGATCATCGCACAGATTCTTGTTCAAAGTGAGCTCCACGGAAGGGATAACATTCTCGGCTGAAGACCAGATGATGGAGTACGCGAGAAAGCGACGACGACGGACCTCGTCGGTGTCTAGCTCCCAATTATCGGTCACATTTCCATCTTCATCTTCGTTCTCATTCTCCCGAAGAAAACCATCAAGTTTGTAGTAGCTGAGATGGAACCAAATGCCATGCTTCCAGGCACGAAAATTTGACAAATCCTTGGAGTATATGCCGAGCTTGGGTAGAGGGACGAATTCGAGTGCCCTCGATGTTTCCATGATTGCCGCGAGAATTTATCGTGCTCTTATTGGTTTGTCTGGTCGGCGCAGTTGGTGATGTGAGGTGGTGACAGGAATGATATTTGGCTCACTTTACGTTCATGTCAGTTAACGCTGATGATAACGACGAGGAGCGCGGAACGCAGCTTACGCGACGAATGACTTGGACAAGCCGGAGGGATGCTTATCTTGAACTTAACGAGGGATGGGTGACAGGCACAGAGGCTGGTTGAGGGTTCAACGGCGTAAAGGTTGAGGAGGGGCGATGACAGGTGGAAATTGGTGGAATGGAAGGAAGAAGTTTGTGGTGGGGGAGGAAACACAAACGAGGGCGTAATTAAGGTACCTGATGACCGGCTGTGTCTTGGCACCCGTTCACTACATACGTACTTCCCGCTCTTCACTTGCATTTCCGTCAAATACCTGTATTTACCTCTGGTGTAGAGTTAATCTCGCTTCTCTTTCACTTGGCGAATATAGAGGTAGGTATCTCAAACATTCTTACATAACTACAACTCCTCATCGCCAGTCATCACATTCTTCCAATACTTCAGACTCTGTAGACTGTACCTACATTGATCTGTGATTATGAAGAACCTCGAGCAGCAGTTTCGGATCATGCTGGTGGTTTCCATACAGCTTGTTGCTCAGATCTTTGGTTAGTTGGGAAAAGACTGCCTTGGCCGATTCACAAACGACGGAATACACGAACAAACGATGGCGATGAATGGGACCGGAAGTGCATCGAATTTCATAGTTGGGGTCGATGTAACCGTAAAGACCGTGGTAGTCCAGATAAAAGCGGACGGAATGCTCCCACTCGTTGAAGTTGCTGGTGTTGGCGTGAAGCTCAATGATTGGAATGAACTTGAGGGCTAATTCCATCGTGCTGTCTACTTCCTGGCCGGCGGACAGCTGGGCTAGGGTGCTCATATTGACACGTACATTGCCAGGTTGCCTTTTAGACATTAGCAACTTCCAGAGATCGGCTAGATATATCTGTAGAGGTAGATAAAGAGCGTGCGCGGCGACTTACGCGACAGTGAACGAAAAGAGATCTTAAAGAATGGCGACGCGGCTTAATGGGAAGATGAAGATTGCCAAGTAGTAGAAGCTGAGTGGGCTGTGGCGCAGTAAAAGGTGGAAAAGAGAGGGGTTTGTGGTGGACGAGGAGGTAAACGGGGAAAGGCGTTTAAATGCGGAACTTTGCGGGCTCGGTACCATGACCTGGATTCCTCTTGAGGTCTAGTTTGTACGCGCGGCAGCCCAATCGTATGCAGTGTCCGGGTTCAGGTAAGCATGCAAGCTCTAGCCTCCAGGTTACCTCCTGCCCTTGTGTTGCATTGAGCATTCTCACTCGCCTGGATTTTCACACCTTATTCTTTGCAAATCGCTGCATTGAGTTCCACTTCTTCCAATCTACCTAACCCCAAGTCCAACTGCAATCTGAAGGGACCCTTTCCCGCCTAACCTCACACGAATCCTGCTAGGACTCATAACCTTGGACCTTCATCGTCTTGTAATTTGAGGGTTCCGAATAGAATCGCGGCGGCTTTGAAGAATGTTCCAGAGCTGCCTCGGATCATGTTCGTGGTTCTGGTACAGCTCATTTTCCAGATCATTACTGAGTGGCTCCAGCTCTTTCCTGGAGTACGACGGGCGGTAATACCCTACAAAGGACTTCCAAATGAGGGCATACACAAAGCAGCGACGCTGGCGATACTCGTCGTCGGAAAGTTGGCTTTCTTGTTGGCTTTCTTGGTGGCCCTCAATGAAGTGGAGAAGCCCATGGTACCGGAGGTAGAACCGAATAGAGTGCTTCCACTGTTCAAAGTTGGCGAAGGTCTCCTGTAGCTCAACAACAGGGATGAACTTGAGAGCCAAAGTATTGTCCAAGTGGGTAGAGATAAGAGGAAGCTCTCTCGTGTTGTTCATGTTTACCTGATCGCCTTCGTTAGAGATGGTCGGCTCACTTGCCATTCACTGAAGGAACAGATATGCCGCCCCACTCACAACACGCATCGAAGTAGGAGATTTGGCGGCTTGGGAGAAGGATTTGCACACCTGACGAATTCGAGATTCGATGATGTCGCGAAGGTGAAAGACTAGAAAGACGTAGTGGGAAATGAGAGAACGAAAACTGGTGAAAGGTGGCCGCTGGGCGTTTAAAAGGAAGAGATTCGTGGTTGGAGCGGGGAAGAAAGCAGATCCAGTCGGAGACCTCCATATCAGGTGTTTGTATGCGGCTTGGTGCAGGTGCCTCACCGCCGTACCTGCTTTCCGAGATGTAGTATCAGGATTCAGGCATCAACGTCCTGCATGACATCCGTTACCTCTCACGTCACAGCCCGAATCACGTGCAAGTGATGTTACTGTTGCAGCGAGTTCCCATCTGATGCACTTCAATATCACGCCTCATTCCTCAACCAGCCAAACACCCCCTCTTATCCTTCCCAAACCCAAATCCCCAACCTATCTCCTCCAACCCTCAATCAAACACCCCATCCACCAACATCCACATCCTCAACTGGACAAGCAACTCATCCTCATCATTCTCATTATCCTCATCATCCGCCTCGTCCATCTCATCCACCTCATTTGAGTCCCTCGCCATCCTCCCCTCAACCAACTCCTTATACCTCTGCACCCCCTCCATCAACTCCGGCGCCCAATAATCCCTATCCCCAAACACCTCAAATCTTAGGTCTCCATCCATCGCCATATCCTCCAACACCTCCCTTCCAACACTAGCAAACACAATCGCATACGTATGCAGCACCTTGCGTGTCCAATTATCTTTATCTTCGGCTTCCGGACACTCTCGGTGGGGGTATCTTGTCGGCAGGAGGAAACCGACGAGGCGATGGTAGACGATGTGGAACCAGAGCGCGTGTTCCCATTGTTGGTAGTTGGAGAGGTCTCGATTCAGGGGAGGGATGGGGATTAGGGCGAGGGCTTTGTCTTCTGGGTCGTGGGTTCCTGGGGTCCAGGAGGTGTCTGTGAGGCCCGGGGGTGATGGAGCTCGGGAGAGGAGGCTCTGTGGGTGGGTTGGGGGGTCAGTGAGGAGGTTGATGCTTGTAGGATCTTGGGAGGGAGAACAGGAGGCTTACGATGGGGATAGCCGAGGGCTCTGGTTGTGGGTTCATGATGTGCGTGACGATTGTGAAAAGTGATGGGCAATAGAGGAAGGTCTAGTGTCAAGGGTACGTACCTAAGTAAGGTAGGTTAATGAATTGCCTGGGGCTGCGATGGCGTGTAGTTAAATACCCGGGTTGCTTTGGTTCTTTTCTTCTGTTCACTTCTGGCAACAGCGGAGAGAACTCTGCCTGAAAATGGTGGGCGGTTTTCTAGAGTTTACCAGGCACACATGGACAAAGGCAGGCAATGGACAAGTCATAGTTCAAATCAGTAATGGGCAAGTGTCCGCGCATAGGTAGATAAGAGAGGCTTTATGTCAGGAGGACCTATCATACCCTTTTCTTGGGATAAACATGCTTGTTGGAAGGTCGAAACAAAACCCACTGTACCTGGCCTCGCTGTAGCAGCCTGGTGTCTAACAAAAAGCGCCTAATAAAACAGATACCAATTCACCGGATTACAATGTTCGCCCAAATTTCTGCTGCCATCACAAAACCTGTAACAGTCCACCCTTGCCATCATTGCCTCCTACAGGTCTTCTTCAGCCAATAAGCATTGTATTCCGGTCCCCTTGGAATCTGGAATTTCCATCGTCGGAGAATTAGAAGCCACCCGGTTCTTGTTGAGCCGAATTATCAAAGCTGCTGGCGTCCTCTTGGTCGATTCAGGCAAGCTCTGTGGATTGCAACCCGCCATGGTGTACTCCTGTATCTCTGTACTCCTACTGTAACTTTGGGTTGGCGATTTTTCCAATCTACGAGGTACGAGGGAAAAGAGTATTGCGGCCCAACAAATGAATGTCGGCCCAAAGTTTTCCCGGGTTGAAGTGAAAGCAGTGCGGCTGGTCGGTGAATAACTGTCTCCCGAAATACTTTGCGAACTCGGGGCCGATTCTCTCGATCTTCGAGGCGATGAGAGAATAGGCATGCAGGGAGTGAGTCTCCTGGGCGTGGCGCTCTTCCTCCGTAGTCGGCTCCTTCAGGGCGAAAGGAGTGACATGATCCAACAAATTGTGAATCCGTAGATGGAACGTCACAGCGTGGTCCCACTGCCCGAAGTTTGACATATCCGCCTTCAGCTCGGGAATCGGTATGAGATTGAGCGGGTGGCTGGGCTCAGACAGTGAAATAATTTGCGGTGCTGAGATCATGGTGATTGTCAAGATCTGGACGGGATTTCAGATGTCAGCAAGTAGATTTTGGTGCGAGTCGATAAAGGAATAAAAACTGAAAAAAAAAATGCAAGTCAAGACAGGAAGTTCACATCTCACCTCAACGGACTCCGTGGATGGCTGTTTCGTTGCGTGACAGAGAGTTGTGGAAGTGAATACTGGAGCGCGATACCTAGAGGTAGTTGAAGGGGTGTCCAGCACACGAGTGATGCGGAAGAGGAAAGGACTGGGCCACCCAAAGTTGAGTTATTACCTTTCTTGTAAACAAACGAGCAGAGAATTTCTTTCACAGTGAATGGTCATGGTGGTGGATGGGGACTGGAGGGGTTCGTTGTCATGGAGATGTGTCCGCCGTCCCGCGGGGTTGGTTCGGACTGCCGGCCGCCTACAAGTGTCAACACAGGAGGAGCCATTGATTACCTCTACTGAAGAGTGATTTAGGAAGGCACACTGAAGGGGACCATGACGTCGCGTCCACAGATGGAAAGTGAATGGAGGAAGGAATGGGCCATGAAATACCCGCAAGAAAGGTAACACGATGCTCATCCTGCATTGAGGAAGAATGTGGCAACAACCGGTCCATTCTGGTCAACAGGAGCTATTTGTGACTGCGGTTATTACGTACTCTTTCCCCCTTCCAACCATGGCTTTGGCTCACCCCATCACCATCAAGAGAAGCCCCCTTCCACTCTTCAACCGCCTGGTCAATTGAGTTGAGCTTCTTCCCATGTTCATTGTTACCACCAGGAACAATTCCCTCCGCAAGTGACCACTGACCGTTGAACCGAACTTGTGCGAGCTTAGTGCCTGACCTGAACCCCTGAAGCGACATCTGACATGTTTCTGACCTGGAAGTGAAAACTCCGCTATTACATTGCCCAAGTCCTAGCAGAAATCGGCGATCTCCGTCACACAATGCTTAGTTGTCGGTTGGTCTGGTTAGATGTCTGACTAGCTCACTTGCTGAGAGATGGTTCAATAGTAGCATTCCTCGTATATGTGTTCGCTAATCGCGTGATAGAGGACATGAGGACAAAAAGAGGTCATGTTCCAGCGGCTCCACAGATCGCCCGCCTTAAAAACCTTTGCGGCCTGTGAGTAGATAATCGAGTATGCGTGGAGGCAATGACGCTGCCAGCGGTGCCAGTGGTCTGTCGTCTTGAAGTCGTTGCGACCAGGACCGTGCGGATACTCAGTCTTCATAGAACGAACCAACACCTCCAGGCCATAGTACTGAAGGTGGAAGTCCAACGCACGCTCCCACTCAACGTGGTTGGACAGATCCGTCTCGAGCTCCGGGATGGGATAAAGCTTGAGGGCCTCCAAGGTGGGATCGGTGATTTCGACATTGTCCTTGACCTGGGCGAGCATATACTCCGCGGTGTATTTGGTCATGTTGGGCGTTGTGAGCTGTCTGAGCTCTACCTCACTTTTCATTGTCAGTACACTCAGTTCCAGTGGATGGACGCGACGACTTACGCGATGGCGAGCGAAGAACGAACGGGCTAACAAGACCCAGATGGGCCGAGAGAAAGGAAGGCTTGATGTTATGTTGTAGAGGGATCTTTACGAAGGCGGGGGTGAAAGGGCAACCTTGACGCGATGGTTGATTTTGAGAAAAATAACGTGAGGGAGAAAGCGGGAAGGAGAAGAAGGACCAGGCAGGGAGGAGGTGTTTGAAGAGCCGTTTGTTTACAGCAAAGTTTCACGAAACTGTAACTTTCACATTCTGCCACCGGCCGGCAATGTGCCCTTACCACCACAAAGTCAGCAAATTTGATGGGTCAAAACCCCCAAAGTTCTCGAAACTCCTCCGCAACAACACTTCTGGGAGGAATTGCCTTCTTCAACCTTTCACACGCCAATCTAGCATCATCTCGCAACTTCTCACCTCTTCCCCCCCTTCCTTTATACGGTCAAACAAAACTCTTGTGCGTTCAAAAACGACAAGAAGATCTCACCTCCAAAAGCCTCCATTTACTCGTTCACAAACGACGCCAGCTTAAACAGCCCTCCCAAACAGAACTCCGCCAATTTTGGCGGCAAAAACCACCACACCATCCTCCGCAACGGCGTTTCTAACTGATCCTGCGACGATAGTAACCGCTCTCCTACACTCAGATCCAAGACTTTCAGCTTTTCAACATTAGCATGATGTTGCAAAGAATACGTCCGACGCATTGTCAATCGCCCTCCCCCCTACGTTGTCATAGTCGTCCGACCGAAGCGCCACCGCCTCTCCGGCCGCTACCGGACAGCAAGCAAGACACGATTCGATGAAAATGCTTTTCGCGTTATCCCCAGCGATCTCGAGCGTCCCAATCATGCATGGTGGGCACCAGCTTGCCTTTCAACTCCGGCCGTGCCTGGACGTTGTTCTTCAGCATCCTGTTGTGAACCTTCTGAGCCGTCCATTTCGGTATGGCCAAGACCCCTTGCTCCTCGATCGCACCGACATCGATGAAGGGGAGCAGATCCTTTAGGCGATTCTCAGTTCTCAGGCCTATACCATTGCAGGTTATGGCGGAGGTGGAGAACCATATCCTCGATTCGGCCCTGGATGATGGCGGGGCTGATGGCTTCTACTGTTCCTGGACGGGAGGGGACCAGATGGTCTAACCGCCAGTTAAGAGTTATCGTCAATTCAGTTCTCCAAAAGACAGGTTTTTGGGCGCAGAGCCGCCGTTTCCGCAGGATTTTGGATCCTGGAACTCTTGATGGATCTCCGGGGACCTGGCGGTGTTTTGCACCACCACGACACATTGAAGACAAGATCGTCGCCTGGACGTTTTTCGAAATCACGTTGTGCGTTTCCTCCAATCCTCGATGTCCCCGTTGTCAGACGTGGTTGGGCTGACAGGTGGTTATACGGGCTGTGCCGGGAACCGACATGCATTATAGCATCGAATGGGTGCGGATCCCGGGTTCAGGGGTTGGGACATGTCCTTCGCGCTTACGGCTGTCTGATGGCGGCAACGATAGCCAATTTCTTAGCGCGGTCAACTCGAAATCTACAAGCTGGTATCCGATGGGACTTGCCACACATTTTCCCTACGACTCAATGCTTTGCGAGTAAGTTGTATGTCGTTATTCTCGACGTATTGCTGAGTGTCCTTGGAGTGTTTTGGTTCGCTTGATGCGCTTGCTGACATTGCCAAGATTAGGGGATGACATCCCGGGCGGCGGGCAGCCAAAACCGCCACAGATGACACAATATCTCAGCCCTGTGTGCCTGCCCAGAGATTCCAGTGGTTCCCCCAGCCCAATATTATGCTCCATTTTCTGGGCAGTGATGGCGCCAAGGCGGCGCAGACGGACAGCACTGCCCATTGCACCAACACCCAAAGAAGGCATCGCGCAAATTGCTGCTGGTCACAACGTCAAGGATCATCGACAATGTCTGGTTCGCTGTTGGCCGTCAGTGAGGTTCATCATGGATGGATTCCCCAAGAAGATAAAACGGCCCTCTGGTCGCAGCTTCCACAGTGTTATTTTGTTCATTCTTTTTTGCATCTTCATCGAACTGATATCTCGAAGTTTTGTTTGCAAACAAACCCACCGTTACCACAGTAACCACCACAGCACCTGACCCCTACAACCCACTAACAATTACCCCTAAAGCGCCCTACAATACAACACCACCACCAAGATGACCACCGTCGCCCTCCCTCCCGTCCCCCAAAAAATCGGCGTCTTTGGCAACTACTTTGCCCAACCTGGCTTCAACACGCTTGTCCTCAAGGAAAAAATCATGTCGCTGTCCGGTGACAGCTTCGACATCCGGATGAAAGAGACCGGCCAGCCCATCATTAAGGTGCAGGGCAAGGTGATCGGGTCCAAGAAAACGGCGAGTGATAGCTTGACCAACCAACATCTGTGGACGATGGGGAGGGAGTACATGCACTTGCACACAACGTACGCGCTTAAGGATGCGAATGGCGCTATAGTGCTGGAGGTGCGGAGTGGCTTGTTTACTCGTGAGTGATGCCCCTTTTTCTCGGCCTTTCCACATGTTTGCTTCCACTTCCGTTCCTGCTTGATGTACAGCAACACTAATACCTTTTACCCGATACAGTCCTTGGCGCCAAAGCCACAGCAACCGTCACCAACCCGAATTCGGGCCGGACCACCGTCCTCAAGCTGAAGGGCAACTTCCTCGACACCAGCGGCGAGATCGTGGATGACAGCACGGGCGCCGTCGTCGCCATGATCCGACGCAAACTCCTCAACTCCGGTGAGCTGCTCTTCGGTCAGCAGACATACGAGGTGACCGTGGCGCCGGGTGTGGACATGGCTCTGATTTCGGCGCTGTGCATCTGCTTGGATGAGATGAAGAACGAGGGCTGCTGTTAGACTTTGACAGTGTTTTTTATGTTTTATGAAGGAATCTTTTGTTTTGGATACCCTTTTTTTGGATGGCCTTCGATTTTTGGCTTTTTCTTTCTTGGATAGTGGTAGATGGTTGTTCGGTATATTGGCTGGATGCTGTATCACACCCACCAGAACGAATACAGTTTTGGAGATCGTTTACTTTCGAACTATCATCGTGAGCCCCTTCATTGCCGTCTATGCATGGTTCAAGGATCAGATCAAGATGTTGCGGCGGCACAGACCAACCGCTAAGACTTCCCTTGTGTATTACAGTCAAATCACTCATCATGACGTTGGACGATCAACAGTTCCTCACCTACCTACTGTAGGCATGCAAAACGCACATGCAAGCCTTCCGCCCTGCTTGTGTTTTGCCGGGCATCAACACCTCTACTTGCACATCAAGCATCATGTACAGCGTCAAAAAGCAGGAGGGCGTCATCCCAATCGTACTCGATGCGGCCGCGCGCCCCAGCTCCAAGATCTCCGAGTTCTTCGGGGACACCCTCATAAACGAGCCAACCCCGAGTCCCGAGCGACGAAAGATCTTGCGCAAGCGACACCGGCGCCCACATCACGCAACCGCCGAGCCGTTCACGGCGCCTCAGCGGAAGGACTTGCGTCCCCGCAGCCCATCCAACATTCTCATCCAAAGCTGCGGTCTATTACGGTACGTTTACCATCACATCACTCCCTTCCCATTCCTTCCCACATATCAAAGCTAACGCCAGAGAGATTCACATGGCCCACATCCCTCGGTCTCCTCTCCCTCATCCTCTTCCTCCTCCCGCCCCCTTACCGCTTCCACGGCCTGACCACCCTCACCACCGCCCTCTTCATCACCGACGTTGTTCTTTTCATTCTTTTTGCGCTGCTCATGCTCTGCTGCTCCTTGGTTCATTCCAAGTGCTGTACTAGACCGCGCCAGCTATGCCATGAATTAACTTCTAATGCCGCAAAACTGGGGTCACTCGCTTATTGGCCGATGGCGTGGCTTACGTTGGTGGCTTTTGCTGTGTTTCTTGCTGGGTATGGTGATGACCGGCTTCAGGCTGAGCATTGGAGTGGAAAGGGGAATGCTGATGGAGGAGGGGAAAAAGAGCTGAGGAAACGTGTGTTGACGATGATTGCTTATGTGATGTGGTGGGTTGGGGTGGTGTGGATGACGGGGACGATGGTGTTTGTGATGGGGGTTTTAATGGGGTTGGTGGGAGGGCAGAGTGAGCGGTGGGTGTTGAGGAAGGGACTTGATGGTGGAAGAGAGGAAGCAGATGAGGTGAGGGTGGCGTTGCCGGGATGTATGCTGACTTCTGCTTTTGGGATGGGGTTGTTGGCGTTAGTGGGAGGACTGTTGGTGTCGGTGTTGGTGAGGTTGGGAACGTTATCAGTGGGCATGGCGACTCCGGTGCTGGTGTTGTCGTTGTGTGTAGAAGGAGTGGCGCTCTTCACGACGCTATTCCTGTTTGCGGTGCTGCAGCAGGAAATGGTACAGGTGGAAGGATGGGCGTCCGTTCACTTGATCAAGATTTCCTTGTGGATGATGGGGTCGGCGAGTGTTTGTGCCGCGGCGGTACAGATGCTCGGAAGAGCAGTGGAGGACGTCAGTGCTATTCTCGGTGACGACGACACCCAAAGAAGTTCAAGTGGTAACCTGTTCGACACGCCTGCTACGGCGCAGGTTGCTCACGTGGTATGCACCCTCTTGGCCTTGCTCCTCCTCGGCTTGGCCGCTCTCTGGCTTATTGTCTCTCTTGTGGCATTCGTGAGCTTTGCCATCCACAGAAGACTGTCATGGAAGGGGCAATGCAGCGATACTGTCATCCCGGTGGCGGCGTTGGCGCTTTCCACGGTGCAGTTCAAGTCAGAGTTGAACTCATCCTTCTTTGGCATTGTCACTTGCGTGTTGGTGATGGCCGCAGCTGCTTCTCTTCTCGTCAATCTTGTCCTGTGCATGAAGCAGTTGGTGAGTACAACGTTCATGGCTTCGCTCGAACAGGAGTAGCGAGTGAGATGGCGAGAAATCCACCAGCGGAAGGAAGAGGATCGGGAGGTGAGATCCGCCGGGCCATGGTTCTTTCTAACTTCGATCCTTGAGGATTGGGGCCAACAGACAATGAAGCGAGACATTCTGCCATCTTTTTGGCAATCTCAAAGTGTTTTGATGATAAAATGCGCGACGGGTGTTATGCTCCGAAAAGCTGTGACAAATCACTCCACAGCATATAGGGGAAGCTCTAGGCTTCCACTTTTGCACCTTGCCTATCTCTTCCGAAATGCCCGACGCCGGTCACGAACTCCGTCAATCAGCGCCTTTTCTCTCTTAGCGCCGTATTCCTTCCGCTCGTCTGTCGGCTGTTGCACCACTCACGGTCCACCGTTCTCGACTCCGCCTCGACAATGGGGCACATATCATGATAAGCGAACTTTGCGACATCCACCGTCCGACTTCTTGGGATGAGATCTTTTACCAACGGTGTCAGTACTATCACTGAAGGAGCATTAGTATGAACGACATGGAAAGTTGGTGAGTTCGGGGCTATTGTTAGACTACAACTAGTAAGACCCCGCCGTCTTCAACAGTCATGGTGGCCGAAGGCGGAGGTGACTGTAAGCGCTTATGAGCATTAGAGGTATCAGACCTCGCAGTTGTTTCGTGCATTCCCAGTCGGACCCATCCGTGCCGCATTCCACGTGTTGCCTGTAATTATTCCCTTGAAGTTTCCGTTGTGTTGGGAACCAACGAGAGCGCAGGACGACACATGCTTCGAAGGAACGAGATGCCAAGAGGTACGAGCATGAAGACGCCTGGGACTTTGAACTATCAACGCGGTATAAAGACAGGAGCGTTAGCTGCTAGCTTTGAAACAAACAAGGGACAAACATTCCACAAGGATCGAGACCACGGGACATCTCAACGTTTAATCTGTGTCCCGCGACTGCAAGAAAGAAGACGGCCCAACAGACAGCAAACACCGGCCGGCACGAGCCGCAAACACATCTCCCCAGAGCATTGTTCGAGTCTTAGGTTATTAAGACAAAAGGTCAAGAAGCCAACCCACTCGTCAAACAGATCAACCTGGAAAACTCACCTCACTTTCACGACCTTCAACCTTCACCACCAAACGTCAACAATGTCCCTCCTCAAAGGCCAACGCTCCATCCAAACCATCATCCTCCCCCTCCCCCCCTCACTCCGTCCAGCCTACGGCAACCACTTTTACCGCTGGCTCTTCGCCATCTCCGCTCCCTTTTCCGGCGTCGGCCACCCCTCGCAATCCATCACTTCCCCTTCCTCCGTCTGGGAGATCTACGAAGTGGCGCCTCAACCCGTCATCAGCTCTTCGTCTTTTTCCTCCCAGTCCCATACACAGTCGCAGTCCCATCAACAACCAACCTTCAACTACCTCCCCTCCGCCGACCTAACCACGCAACAACTACTCAACATGCAAGGGACGTTCATCCCGTTGTGCGTGGCAGACGAAAACATGCGGGACGTGTTTCTGGAAAAGGTGGATCGGTATATTACGTTTCCGCCGACGGATAAGGGGTTTAATGATCAGACTTTTGTGCTGGGGGTTGTGGAGGAGTTGAGAGGGGAGGGATACTTGGGGGAAGGGGAGTATGCGGCTTGGGTGGAGGCTGTGGGGGGGTTTAGGGGGTAGATTCATGAGGGAACAAGTGAAAGTGGTGGGAGTGGGTTGGATTGGGGGATGAAGAGGTGGTTCTGGATTAGAGGTGGAAGGCTGGGGGATGAGAACAGGCAGAATTTGAGGTTTGGGAGGGAAGTTGGTGTTGCTTGGGGGGAGGGGAAGAGTGTCATGGTCGTATCGAACTGAGGGAAAGGGGCAAGTAGGGAATACCATCGATTTCTTATTAGACCAGTGAATCTAACGTTATGAACATCCTTTCATCGATGTTACTGTTCCTTTACTTTGGGTTATCCTCTTTTTGGGTTATCCTCCTTCTCGATTTCTCAGCCCGTATTCGCAAAACTGACTTGTTTCTTAACCCATGCGTTCCACCCTTCCTCCCAATAGTACGAGCCATTGGATTGACACGTCGAGCAAGGGAATGAAACCGTCCTGCCAGGCGTGTAGGTCGATACCGTTGTGCAGGGACTTAGCTTGCATCCCTTGAGCTGGACCAAGGTGCGGTACGAGTGCTTGACGACGTGTCCGCACGGGTAGGTGACTTCTCCTTCGAGCCAGATGGCGCACATTGTTGGTTTGGACTGGAGGTTTTGGTAAGGCGTTGACTTTGAGAGTCTCTGTTTCACGGCACGCTGGTAAGGGCTGTAGATATATCTCTCTTCGCGGAAGATTTGTATCCGGAATACATCCTGAGTTCCGTGGCCGGGCCTCTTTGTTTGTCCCAAGACACGTCACCGCTTTCTTGATCCTTCGGCACATCACTTGTTGCACGCTTGTGACTTCAGTCCATTTCACCAAGTAGCCTACCTCGTGATTCCCCAGCCGTCACAGTAGGTCAGGCAACGAATATTGCTTCAAATCCTCCTCCAACGGCGCTACCACATGACCATACACGAGTCTCCTGAACTCATCACCGTCAAGGTTTGCCTTTGGTTGAGGAAACTTGCACTTGATGCACCGTTCAACAGCCCGCTTGTAGTTTGGACCGCCTTTCGTCTCGAGTCTGCCAAGCAGCGTGATTGCTGTCTCGTAATCTAAGAAAAACGATCCCAGCGTCGAAGGACCATGCTGTTTGATATGGGACTCGCGGAAGCAGTCAAAAGGTGTTCCGAGCATGATCTCAATGAGGATGATGCCTAGAAAGAGCATTCCCTGGTTCGGTTGCACGCCGCCAGCGAGGTAATGTAGCGGTTGGACGTCAAGTTGCATCGAATCCGATATTTCGGGAAGTTGTCTGATGACAAAGGCCTCCTGGAAATGTGTCGTGCCATTGCATCGGATTAGAAAAACGTCTTTCGTTGTCACCTTGGTTGTGAGCCACGGGGTTCCTGCCAGTTGGAGGACGCTGGATGCCAGGGTGTAGGCAAGTCGTAGCCTGTCCTCGTCATAGACAAGGGAAGGAGCAGTAAGCTGCTCGGTCAACACTTCATGGAGAGATATGAAGGAGCATTGACCGAAGCTTCCCGAGGGACGCAGATGACCTAATGCGTAAAGACCGTATCGTTCCGTTGCGGAAGCGTTGATTGCCGCTGGTCCGATGATATGGCCGCAACAACTGCTTGCTTGTAGGCTGGGCAGCTGTCTCAAGGATTCACAAAGGTCCATTATGATGTCTTCGTTTGGCGTTTCCGGCTTCGTGCTGACAACCTCAAGGGTCACAGTTTGAGTGGAGGACCTTGATGATGCTGTTACCTCTACCTCTCGGGACGAGTGGCGAGACAGCAGGCCATGGCTCTTGATTGCTGGCATTTCTGAGAAGGAGAAGCCAACAGTTTTCCGGGCCCGTTTTGTTGGGCGCTCGGGGACCACAAACGCAGTCGGCTGCTGGCAAGTGGAAAGTCGACATTGTGGAGGTCGACTGGAAGGTTTGACCATGAAAGAAGACCATGGTCGATCGATCTTTCCCTGTGTGGTGTCCTGATCGGATATTGCAAGCTTCATTGACAAGTTCCTGATCACCTCTTCATCCTCATCGTTCGGTATAACGCTGGTGTAGGAAGGTGTTGATAGCTTCAGGCCCAGAAGGTGTGAAGTAGGGCACTGGCAGGCATTCATGGCTGCACACAGTGCCTGGTAGATACCGCCTGACAAAGAGTTCATGAGACGATACAACCTTCCGTTAGACCGTTTGTTCCGCTCGGGCTCAAGGTCGCAGTTCTGGGAGGTCAATGCCTCAAGGCTCGACACTCCATCTCGAATGCGAGTCAAAAGTTCCAGATACACCGACCTATTGAGAGCGAATGATAATCTCTTGAGCTCTTTTCTGAAACTGACTCTATCCGGTAGGGGCTGTAACGAAGGTGTCTGTTAGCAAGACGCTCTCAGCAGTTTTCTTGGAGTTTGGTAAGAACATCCAGGAGCTCTCATACCTCAGCACCCGAACCTACAGGTAGGTTCAACTTGTCTTCTAACTCCTTGAGGGCTTTTTGGATATCTATGAGATTCTCCTCAAAGACACCGGCTGCTCTCCAGAGCCTCTGCCGAATCTTATGGTAAACCTGCTCTTCCTTCCAAAGGGGCCCGAACGGATTCTCAATCATTTGCTCGATGATTGGCGGTTGAGCTATCCCCATCAGCAGCTTCTCACAGACGTTTTGGAGCTTCACATGCTCTGTTTCCAACCCTCTCTTCAGGATCCTCAGCTCCCGTGTGTAGAATCGCCATTGTTGAATTGCCCCGGCACCTTTGGCGTACCCTTCCAAGGCAGAGATGATGAGAGGCAACGCCCCGAGGACAAGACCGGCGACTTCGAATCCTGACATAGCTTGCACTGGGAAGTGAGCTTGGCTGGTGGATGTACTGAAGAGCTGTCACAACCAGGCCCGGGCTGGTTAGCGGTGGGCGGGCATCTGATGAAATGAATGGGGATGGAGACACGGGAGTCAAATGGCACACGTCGCTGTCAACATTTGAGGTTGGTGGCTGCCAAACAAACCGCAGTGGCGCAGTCCGGTCCGTCCTTTCCCCGCGCTGCCTGACCCCGCGTTGGGCTTCATGCTGGCTGGTTGGTTGAGGTACATTAAGGTTGCATTCTGCCTGCTTACGGTACCTACCTCAGGTTAATGTAGGCGGCTCAAGTGTGCACTGTGTGCCAACCTCACCTCTCCCACCTCACTATTCACTCGGAGTGTAAGGGAACATCAACTTCCTCCAGTTGAGACTAGCAACAAGGAACCTACTCAACCTACTTGAGAGGTACGCAATTATAAGATCTTATTGATGCCGAAAAAGTCCTTTACTGGTAATCCGAAGCCATGGCGGATATCTCGTCCTTGGTGCCTTCATGCCTCGATGAGTTCAGGTCACTGAACGACAGTCTTGCGGTTCCAACCCCAAAGTGTGGCCCGGGAGGGGATGATGTCCCGGAGGATCTTCGACCTTCCATCAAGAATCAGCTGGGTAGATTCCGTGTATGGTCGATGAACCTGGGGGCACATCGGACGGGGAGGTCCTCGCTGGATTACCGGCTACAGGATGCATCGCACATCAGGACCCAGGTGATCAACCTGTTGAACGGCCTGGTGGAATGCCTTCAGGATGGTGAGTTTGACCCCTAAGGACTTCACAGCTTATGTTGCCCGTACAAGGCTAACGTGTGAGGTTGGCTATTTTGTACAGGAACTTCAATAGTCAGCGGAACAGTCGAACCTTGGGACAGCATGGAGCCCACCTCAGACGATGAGGACTCTGACAGTGACGGCCTAGAAGCCAATTGTCTTGCAGATCTCACCGAGCTATCCCAAATTGTGTCTGAAGCCTCCGAGATCATCAATTGTCTCTTCAGGCTATCAGTCTCGATCCACCATCCCGCCCCTCACGACCGATTCAGGCGGTCAGCAATGATTGATACCTCTCATTATGAAGCGTTTGACTCAGCACATATTCAGAATAAGTTTCCTTCCGCACATCAAGGGATCGTCAATCAGCTTGGAAAAGCCAACTCCTTCAGGCGCCAGTACTTTCGATATCGAGAGGAACACCATCGAAAACTTGCGCAAGGACTACCTGACGGGGGAATGGAGCCGCCATGCGATGACACAAAGACAATAGGAGACACCACCGTGGCTTCATCTCTCCCGCAACACCTGAAGACATCCAACTCGGGCGGTTCTCGTGTCGAAGACTTCGACACCCGTTCAGAGGCTGGTAGAACCGAGACCTCCTTTGCCCCTAGCTCAGTTCCTGATGGAGCTAGATCAAGGATGCCTTCAATGCCAGACGAAGCACAACAAGGTCCATTTGAGTGCCCCTTCTGTTACCGGATGATATCGGTTGAGACAACAAAAGATTGGAGGTGCGAATCCTGTCATTCTTAGAGTTCTTCCTGGAGTCATTGCCCATACTAACCACTCTCATTGCAGAAAACATATCCTCGGAGACTTGAGGCCTTACATCTGCCTGTATCCGGACTGCCCCGCTGCAGGGCAAGACTTCCAACGGCGCCATCAGTGGATGCAGCATTTCCAGCAAGCCCACTGGAACGTATTTGTCTGTCCTTTTGGACGTGAAGACGTACAAGTCGACGATCTACCGGCTCTGAAAGCCCATCTTGCGACATTTCACAAGGAACATGCCCAGAGCCTGAGCCCAGAGAGCCTCATTCAACTATCTGAACAAGAAAGACCGCTTGATGCGCCCAAGCAATGCGAGATATGCGGCGAAGATCTAGACTCATTCAAGGCATACACACGTCATGTTGGTCGACACCAGGAAGACGTAGCTCTGTTCGTGCTTCCGGATCGTGGGCTAGACGAGGAATCGCTGTCAGATGACCAAAACGAAGAATCTGAGCATCATGCTATCAAAATGTCAGATGGACTACCGCCTTTTCTATTCAACGATACCGCGGTTCATGAAGATGAGGATAAGGTACCCCCGCTCAGCCCTTACCAATTACTTGAGACCCAGTTGGCCCAGATCGCCCAGCAACAACGCGTCCGGGCGGCCCAGCAACAACGCGTCCGGGCGGCCCAGCAACAACGCGTCCAGGCGGCTCACCAAGCCCCGCTTGTCGAAGCACTGAGATGGGATTCTCGTGAAGCTGTGCCGCCTCCTTCCCAACCTTCGCAAGGCCCGCCGTCCATTCATCTTAATTCTCCTCCTTTTGCTCCGGAACCAGACTCGTCACAATTCAAGACACTCGCCCATTTCAAGTATAGGCGGCCCGATGGTTCAGTCGAGGAGAGACCTGAACACAATGTTCCTGATACTCCTGCGTCACCCCACCATACGCTTCAACCTACCTCTAACAACGACGATGCCTCACATGTACAGAATGAACCAAGGACAAAGGATGGATTCATCGCTTCAAGAACAGCTACGCAACGGTGGGAGGCGGAGCCGGTATCGGACCCGCTGCCTAGAGGTAGTGAGTTCTTTCAGCGTGACGAGATTGTGCCCTTTCCAGATTTGGAAATTTGGGACACACCAGGCCTTGAGGATTATAATCCGATAAGCTGGAGCTTGGAAAATAACCCTGACTACAATCCTGATGAACATTTGGGACCAGAGATCAACCACACACCTTCCTCCGCCAACGCGCAAGATCAACCAGGAGGTGCCGCTCACCGAGGGAAAACTCGCAAACATCGAAACAAAGCGAATATCAGCCATGAGGGCATGGATGAACGACCGATTGGTTTCCACTGTCATGTTCCGGATTGCAAGTATAGTGCTGCGACAGGAGGAGAGATGTTTTCTCGACAAGATCACCTTTGGAGACACATTTGCGAGGTTCACCCGCTCAAGGAGCAGGGGTGATATGTGCCACTGGGAATTGTCCAGAAGAAGAGCCCTAGAAGGAGCCGAAGAGACGACTTTGGCCTTGATACAGGAGGAGACTTGGAGTCCCAACTTTTCGAATGTCCGAGAAAGGCCACTGAGGAGTCTGAAGGTTGCCTCTACAAAGCAGGCAACGAGACAGATCTTCAACGTCATTTGTACACGTGGCACCCGGTCTGTAGCCAAGAGAACGACATTGCTAATTGGAACATGAAGTGCGATTTTCCGGATTGCGAATACAAGGGGAGAAATGATGATCTGTGGAGGCACAAGGAGGCCGTCGGTCATCATCGGAAACCCGGACAGCCTTGATTACTACCTCTGCCAGGTGACCATTTCTCCGTTACGCGTCTGGTCTTCTCGAGTCAAGCTTTTTTTTCCTCTGCAAATTCCAATAGAGAAATAGTCCCTTGGGATACCTCTACGTTTTCCCGTCCAGTTCCGAGGATAGACTTTTAACGTGCGGGAGGGATCGTGTTTTTTTCCGTGGGAGCATTGGAAGGTGGCTTGGAAGTGATTGAAGTGAACATGTGGTTTGATATGGGCTCGATTTCCAAGATTCAGGTGATCGAAAACGTGTATATAAAGGGAAAGAAATTGTGCTATATACAGCCTCATGCCATGATGGTTATCGTATGCGAAGCTCCATCTGTCTCAGATTGAGATCTTTTATCGAGAAATGTGGCTCAAACTCTGTACTCCTAAACCTGGCGCATGTTAGCCGCTCATAGATTTGCCCTTGGGCATCTTTCTCAGCCGGTCGTAGGATGAGCGCATGGAGATAGGAACGATCTTCATACATGGAAAAGACGCAAAGTGCAACGAGGCCTATAGTGCCTTCCCTGACTCCGTTGATTACTAAGCATGGAGGTCCGCCAAAAAGCTTAGTCGCCAGGAACCGGGGTGAAGTATATACCCAGAAAGGGGGCCTTGTGCATGTGATGCTTACATCAAATACCGGTCCGCTTATAATGAGAAAGTTCGGGCATTGGTCATTGTTTTCCGCCCGGCGTCGGATCTCTTGATTGTCCCTCGACCAGGTAAGGCATTGTTTATCGTACGAGACCCGTATTTCGAAAAGAAACCCCTCGGGTACATAGAGGTAGTACTTGGCTCGGTGAGCGGGAGCGTGCTGAGCTTCAATGACGACCCTATATTTAGCAGTTTCCCAACCAGCCCACGTCCAGCTCGGAAATCCTTTTCTTCGTGTCTTGGCTTGATCACTCAACTTCGTCTCATGAGTTGAATCTCTCGGGATAAAGAAGTATCGCCAGCAGTCCCGCCAAAACAAGCTGCTAAGAATTGCCTGCATTCCAGAAGCAATTTCCCGAACATGAACGGTCCCAACTGGATGCGGCCAGAAATCGGATACGGTTGAGTCATTCTGAGAGTTGCCGAAATCCGAAGAGCTTGAGTCCATGACCGGCAGCCCATAAAAGAACCATACGTCGCATATGTTTCGGAAGGATTCGAGGATACCTTGAACTGCATTGATGGTATCCTCTTCATACGATAGTATGCGCTTCTCGTAGTCGTGAATGCGCTTCCAAATCGATTCTTCCTGCAGTGATGGTACCTCTACATTGTAGAGGAGGTGCTTTAGAAACGGAAACACCCCGCTTCGGGAGGATGTAATGGGCCACCTATCAAGATCTATCCAGTGGTCCAGATGTCCGATGCTTTGCATTGACTCGCACTGGAAGTAGACCTGACGATCTGTGAAAACAAGTCGTCGTTTTGGAAGTAAGGCCTCTTGGTAGGTCCAGCCACGAGAGTTCCAGGTAGATCTTGATATATCCTTATTTGGTGCCTCGAAATAAATGAGTGGCATGTCCCTCTTGCCGCTGCGTATTGTTGTCCACACTGGTTGAAGGGTTGGGGGTGAACTAACCCCCGGCAGCCCGTACTCAGCATCATTGCCGGCCGCTGCAATGATCGTTAGGACGGACAGGGAGTAAATCTTGCCCATGTTTTTGATTTGTATGCTTTTCGCATCGTGGTCGCTTTGTGGGATGCAGTACCGATCTACCCAGAGATATCGGTATCCAATCCTTCGTACGGTTTCCATGGCGTCGTTGACCACTTTGAGCCGCTGATTGCTGTTGGGTAATACTGGGAGGGATGTATTGGCATCCAGCACTGGCGGTGATGTGATTGAAGCTCCCCAAACATAGCTAAGTGTAACGTACTTTGGACTACACCTCTCTGCCGCTAAAATAATCGTTTCTGACTCGCAATCGATAAGGCAGAAGCTGGGGATATTTTCGAGAGCGGTTGTTGCCAGATCAGCATGGCAGTTGTAGTCATGTTCCGAGCGACACGTGTCCAGCCACTTTTTGATGAGTTCCCAGTCCATTGTACTTGTAACCTTGTCATGCCCATCGTTATAGGTTTGGACAGGTAATATAAGGCGAGTGTCTTCCCAGTTTTCGAGCCCAACATGGTACTCGGTTTTCCAACCTTGCCAACTGCGAAGTTGAAGTTGCAATACTTGGGTCCTCGAAAGGTCTTTGTAGCGCCCGCAGCTAGCTTTCCCAACGCAGTAATTAAGGTCTACAGCGCAAAGGGCAAGAGACCCATCGTTTGATTTGAGATCAACCGCGGTATGAATGGCCATCCTTGATGCACAGTCCACTAGAAACGAGCAGAACGGGCATGTCTGGGAAAGGGTTTGAGGAATGATTTTCCAGACCTTTGAGGGTGAAACTTCACTGGAGAAGTCCTCATGTAGAGGTATATCGAAACGTGCCAAAAGGTCCAGGGTGTGCCAAGATCTTGCCGGAATCCCTGATTCAAAATCGAAGATATCCTTGATGTCATTGCACACCGAACATAGATTATCGCCAGTGGCTCCTTGATACGAATCCAGGTGCTGATCTGTTGGGTTGTTGTCTTTGGCTAGTTTATGAACATGGTCGTCCGACCGGCTTTTAAGATCAGCTGGGTTGTCGGAACTGGACACTTCAGCTAAAGCAAGTGCATGAGGTGCGCTGGTTGTGGTGTTGTGGTTCAGATCCAGGGCTACGGTCGACATTGTGGTGGATGCTTGAAATAGGATGATGTGAAATTCATGTGGCCCGACGTGTGTCTTCGCGGAGGAGGGGCGGTTTGATCACAGATATTGTTTGGGAATATCCGATAGACAACGGAGGTGCCACCGCGAGCGAGAGGAGAGTGGCAGCAGCGGCGGGTTTTGGTGGCCAATCTTTGTAGGCGTCCCCTTGTTGAGGTAGGCTATTGCTTTTCGAAAGGGGGCCTGAAAGAGATAGGAGAAAAGCCAGCGAGGGGAACATCCAGAAGAGTGCCAGTACCGGGCAGTGTCGTTGACCTTATGCGATCTTGCCTAGTCAACCGATGAACGGCTAACGCAGAGGCGGGGGCGCTGGGCAATGTGATGCGAGAGATGTAAATACTCCGCGAGGGTCGTGGGCTGCCAAAATTGACTTGGAGGTCAAGTGTCGTCGATGGAGACACGATGGAATATTCGGCAACTTTGTCGCGAGAACGGACAGCCAGAGCGACCAACCTTTATCCTCAACAAATACCGATCACCAGCTCATGATGCTGACGGATACCGCCTTTGGGGCTCAGTAGCTCAGGAAACATGCTGCATGCAACTTTGTCGGGAATGGTCCGGACTTCCCGCCGGCTTGCCAGTCCGATTGAGGCAGCATCGGGGCTGTGCCTCATTACTGCACCGCCATAGGCTGGGGGAAACCACTAGAGATAACTGGTGGTGCCAGCTCAGAGGTACTATGGTAGACCGCCAACCAACCACACTGTTGCCGGCTGTTGGAAATGTCGTTGCCCAATTGTGCAACACATAGCTGCAGCTACACAGCCTCAATAATGTCGCGAAGCCATCTCTTCTCCCACACCATCTTTTCTCCAGAACCGCATCAGGGCACCACAAGGGAGATCAGGGCGTAATTGCTGGGAAACAAACCGAACCATTGAATACTCGAAAAACACCCTGCACTCAACCTCTGTCCAAACAGTCCTCAGGACCGGACCCCACCCCTCTTGCTTATCTCCAGCCAACCTTGACGCCTATGGGAATCAAGGCGAGATACCATTATGCGCCAGGCTGCGCCACGCTCTTTCCTCTGCCCCTTTTCCCCTCAGGTTTTGGCCTTGACAGTTGGATGTTTGCGCCTGAAGCACAACATGTACCAGACATGATCGGACTGACGAGACATCATCGTGTTTCTCTGCTCAGATACCTCCCACTCTTCCAGTCCCTCACCTCCAAATTTGTACAATCGCCGAAACTCAGCACCATGGGTCTCATCCATCCAATCGGCGACGCCCAGCCCAAGGACACCTCAGACGCCAGGCCCATGAACCTCTTCGACTCGAGATCAGAGATCGAAACATTCCTCAACCACAATTCCTCAGCAACCGTCCTCCATCCGCTCCACGAGACCAAGATATCCACCCCAAACGAATACGTTGGACCCCACTCCTCCACCCCCTCATTGTCACCCGCTCATCCGACAAATCATACAAGGCATGTTCAGCCCTAAGATCCTCCTTGATCCGTCCCAAGCATAGCTCCGCCTCTTCCCGCGCCGTCTGTGTAATTTTTCCCTCTTTGACGTTCCTGAGCAAGAGCCTCAACAGTTTATACGTGGCAACTCGGCGAGGGAGGGAGAGAAATGGAGCGCCGTGCGAAATGGCGTTCTCCAAGGGCGTAGCGTCGGAATCGGTAAAAGCTTTGATCATCAGCGACGCTCCAGAGCCGACGAGTGCCTTGATGACTTGCAGGACCCGCTCACTCCTCCGCCTGAAACCAAGACTGACTCCTCGACCCATCATCCATTCCGGGTCTTCTCCTCTGACAGCTCCTTCGTGACGAATTAGATAGTGCAGCGGGGTCAACCAACCCTGATCCAGAGAGACAGTGGTGGTAGGCTTCCCATCTGGGTCGCAGCCTAGACGGAGAAGATGTATGGCTTCATAAAAGCCGCTTTCGATGAGTACGTGAAGGAGCGGCGACTGCCCTGCATGGTGAGACCCAGCAGGGTAGGGATCGAGGCTGGCTCCTCCTTGGCGAACAAGCGTCTTGATAATTGGACGTAAAAATTTACGACCACTATACGCTGCACGCAGCAGGGCTTCCTCAAGAACGGTTTGTTGGGTGTGAGGGTCAACCATATTAACTAGATCGCGAACGCTTGGATACTCCAACATGGCGAATAAGAACTTGATCTCCTTCTTGGCGTCGGCCGTATGCATGGCTGTTTGGAGGATCAGACACCCGTCGATGCGTTGCGATTCTTTCAAAGCTGCTGGCCCGAAGTGATGCATGATGAGCTTTGCGATTTCAAGATGGCCTTTGCATAAGGCTAGGTGTAATGTCGAGCATTGGTGCTTTGGCCCTCCGTTGCGTCGGCTGCGATCTTCACAGTCGCACATGTCGACGGCAGCTTGGCCGGGCGTCTTGATCACCGCGCCCTCTTGAATCAGCCATACTACAGAGCGGGCACAGCCTCTCTCAATAGCATGCTGGAGTATCGTTCCCCGGCCATGCCGGCGCGGCTCGTTGAAATTACAGCAATTATTGTACTCGACCAAGGCATTGATATCAGCTCCATACGCTTTGGCTTGAGCCAACACAGGCATCGATTCATTGACGATACCCCACATGAGCGCCTTAAGGAGGTTGTTTGAGCATGATGCTAGATCTTTTCTCCAAAGTTTATATGGGTAGCAATACGGGTTGTTTGCATGCTTGGTGGTGCTGTACAATCGTGGCTCGTATATCGACCTCAGCCTATGCGAGGACCGAGACAGTACGGCCAGTGTGTTCCATTGACCATGGTCCTTTAGGATTTCCGAAATTATGAGGTGAACTTCGGGAGGTAGGTACGAATTTCCCTGTGCGGTGCTGGGGATGTTTGTGTCCATGGTTGTCTGGCCGTTGGGTTGGTAGAAGAAGGGCTCTCTTTTGACGCTGATTGGGGCGTTACGTAGAGGTACGTGATGTCTAGTCGAGTTCCAAATCGACGAGTTTGTTTTGACCCGTGTCTCAGTCGGTAATGGTCGTTGTGAAGTAGGTCGCAGGCTCGTGGGCGATTTGTCCATGTGAGTATCGTGTCCATTGATGGCAGCGAGTATCAGCCGAAAAGAAGGGATACCGACTCCCTCTCGTTGAGCTGGATCAACGGCGCGCTATGTTTCGTCGTCCCGTCATGGGGACTTTCGCTGCGAAAGAGGTCGCGTCGCTTATCAAAACAGCTGCAATGAGCTACACTTTTACCAATCTACTTCAGACTGTCCCAATCAGAGGGCCAACACAGTGCCTCTCCCCCTATGAGCTGCACAGTTCGGCGCACAGTGTATGATCGCAATGTAGGACACTCAGTTCGTCGTCGTCGAGTATTGATGTCTGACATTTAGCCGGACTTGCCAAGGACTGCCATCTTCTCGGTTCCTTTTCATCATGATCGTGGACTTGAGGCTAGTCGCGGGGAATGTTTTCGGATTTGAGAAATTTCACGACGTTGCTCTCATCCAGCCTCACTGCATCGTGATCGATTTGGACAGGGAACGCACACCTCCAATTCGAAGCCTATGGCATGATGGTTAGTGGAGCCAACGGCATGATTTCAGCTGCTCCTAACCCATAGACACTCATGGTCAGCTTGATATTGGGACCCTTTTCGTTGGTCTGCAGTGTTGCGTTTGTCCCGAAAAGCGTGAAACAGGAGACCGATCCGTCCCTGAACTTTCAGTAGCATAGGGCAAAATGAAACACGCAAAAACAAAAGCAGCCCTTCTGGTCTAGTGCCAACTGTCAACTACAGCCGTGGTGATTACCTCTCATGATGATATCCGGTTGCCATTCACAGGAAAATGAGATAGTAATACATACTCCGTACACAACACCAAATCATCTGTAGCCGGATGTGCGCTTGCATCACCCATCAGATCGGTAACTGAAAGAATGAAAAAAAGAAAAACGAAACCCCCCAACTCGGAACCGACGAGAAGTACAATGACTTGCACACGTCCCAACACCCTTCACTTTCTTCTCAACCTTCCTCCCTCACGCCTCCACGCATGCCATCCTAAACGAATCGGCTCGCGTTCTTCTTCTTCTTCGCTATCGTAATCCCAATCTGCTGCCGAAAGTTCACGCACCCGAACGTCGGACAGATCATGAGTGGCATGCTCAGCCCGCAAGTCCTGAACCAGTGTCGCCATGACGTCGTCAGCCCCTTCCCTGGACTTTTTGGAGATGCCCTCGGCCTTGACTTTGGCAAGCAAGAGCTTGACAAGCTTGAAGCCTGCAACTCGGCGCCTTGGTTCAACAAATCTGTCCATGTAGCTGACGGCATAATCGAGTGGAGAGTTTCCAGCCAAATCCGTGATGTCCAGCGACGCCCCGTGCTCGAGAAGAACAACAATGAAATCTCTGATAGACGGTCTGCGTTGACCCATCCACTCATGAGCCACATGCTCCTGCTGCCAACCAGGCGTGTACCATCTTTCATGTGATTCATGGCGAATGTACCAGTGCAACGGGCTCCGCCACTCTGGAGTAATCGGAAGAGGTCGGTCACCGTTGGGGTCGCAGCCGAGCCGCAGCAGATATGTGGCTGCCTCTCTGTCACCTCTGTAGAGTGATGACCATAGGGGTGAATGGTGTCCCTCCACATCTGAGCCATGAGGGTACGGCCCCAAACTTGCACCTGCCTTAACCATGGCATCAAGGATCTGCTCTAAGAGATGACGACCCTCGTGGTGAGGTGACAGAGCCACTTTGATGGGTGTACGATGGTCCAATCCCTGAAATGAATTGATTGACTTGCGAATTGCAGGGTTTTCGAGTGCCACAGCCAAAAAGCTGACCGAATACCCACTGAAAGCCGCCTTGACTGCCGTATTCAGAATGGATCGTGTATCAACCTCTAGTGAATACCGCACCGACGCTACCGGTTCGCGTCGGAGAAGGGTCGTGGCGGCAAGCAGGTTTTCATTGCAGAAAGCAAGGTGGAGACTGGAGGCGTGAGATCTGGACTGGGTGGTGCACTGGCACATGCCCTGAGCCGGCTTCCCAGGTATATCCACACGAGCGTGCTCGTCGAGCAACCAGCACATGGATACGTTGTTTTGATCCCTAATGGCTAATTGGAGTGCCGTTCCGCTACCATGCATTCCATGGGTTCTGTTGCGTCCCATTCTGTTCAGGTGGTAAGCCCGAACATCGAGGTTTGCGCCCCACTGTTGGGCGCTCTGCATAACAGTGACAGAGTTATGTCTCGTTCCCCACATCAGAGCAACGATGTTGTTGCTGTTGCCTCTACCTTTGTAGATTTGCTGCTCGTAGAAAGAGCAAAGACGCCGCGATGTCCTGGCTAATTTGGCCAGCGCACCAAGCTGCATGCCCGCTTTCAATGTGTCACCGATGACCATGTGTACCTCCAGAGGGAGTCTGGTAAATGGAGAACTGCCATCCGCAGGTGGGGTGTCGGGTGACAGTATCTCTTTGGGTTGTATTCTTTTGGCTGCCTTCTTCTTGGTTTGCGCCTTCTTAACTCGCGTCTTCTTCGGTGCCATATTGGCTATTTCATCACGTTAGTAGCTGATAGAGCTTTATTACTAAGTCGGGAGACGGCCGTGACTCACGGTAAATGTGACAGTAATGATCGTGTGGTGTGGATGTCGGTGTCGAAAGACGAAAGTCGCACTTGCCAAATGGAAGATAGGCAGTTGTGAGTGCAAGGGAACATCCGGGAAGAAGCTGGGTCGAAATGTAGGATATATAGGAGTGGGTGGAGATTGAATGAACAGGAGAATCAGCAGACCCGAGGACTTGTGGTGAAGGATATATTGCGGGCGTATTAGTTGTGGTGAATGGGAGATCGCAACGACTGCACTATAGGAGAACCTTCAAAAGCTCACCTGGCCCGCCGCTCTGGCATCTGCCCCACCGTCTCAGTTCGTCCTAAGCCTTCGAGACCATTCACTCCCTTCAGACAGCGGTACTACTAGTTGATGATGTGCCTGCCACAGTAGATGCCTCTTTTCATCTCATGTTTTCGTTCGTGATGTGGCTTGGACCTGAGAAGCGAACCTGCTATTGCTCCACCGGTGCGTGAATGGTGAAAGTAGCCCACAATCTAAAAATGCAGGAATAAGACGTCATCGGAAGGTCCCGTTATTCACGTACCCGTCTCGACGATGTGAGCCACAGAGTGAATGGGATCAGAAGCGGGTACCTTAGTGAAGGCCCTTACTTAGGTAGAACCTGGACGGCTTGACCAGCCTTATTGAATATTCATCCCGCGCTTCGTATTGTCGAAATTCTCGGTATACGAATGGACCCAATTTTCGTCGTTCTTTCTGCTGATGTACGTATCCCATGTGGTTAGGTTGCGGGTTGACCAAATGGTGTATTTGGAGAGCGTTCAGGTGCCGGTTGGGGAGAGCATCGAGATGAATATATCAAGTGATGGTAACGTTGCCGCGCAGCTAGGTGGTTGGATGGCCGGTTTCTACCGCGAGGGTGGTGGCCACAGCAACGTTGAGATCGGCTGATATACTGACTGCTAGGAATCGCAACATCCAACTAATGTCGCAAGTTGTTCTCCATACACCTAGCAAACAAGACTCTGCTTTGCTCGTCGGTTTCGTAGAAAACAAGCCGACGAGCTTGCTATTCGTGTGAATAGCTGACAATGGCAAAGAATGCAAAGCCGCTGGGATGTCAGTCGATCGAAGGAGAAACGAGAACAAAGTCTCAAAGAGGTCATGAAGCTTGGACCCAATGCCGTTGCGGTCGAACTGACCTGCATCCAGAACTGCGGGCCTGTTAGATGATGTGAGTTAATCCATAATATCCTTCCGAGCTCGGAAGCTTCATATTTCCACATCTAGCGGTAGGAGAATGATGGACCCACTGATGTGTATAGGAAGGAAGGCGATGTGCAAGCCACAATGTGCCCAACAAATTTGAATACTGCCTCTCATTGCCTGTTACCAAACGAATAAATCCAAACAAGCCTTTACAACAACTTGGCAAACGATATATGCCACGGTGATACGTCTCAACAAACATGACTTGTATTGCAGGCAGCACAGAACATCGTTGTGGACACTGCTGGCAATGCACAATAAGCAACAACGGAAGGGAAAAAGGAGTAAAGATTGAACCAGACAAACTGCAAAACAAGAAAAAAAAACTTTTAGCCAAACCGTCCACGTTAATATCCAGATGTGAAACTAGGAATATGTCCAAACCCGCCGATCCCCCTCGCTCTAGGAGTGAAACACCACCACCCCTCCAGCTCCAGCTCCATCCTCTTAACGGTGGTCTTGGCCCTCCGCCGCTGCTCTTCCTGCAAACATCCTGGCTTCGCGTGCTTCAGCAAGACTCTCAACAACTTCACCGCCTCAAAGAGAACGATGTACTTCTTGGCCGTGTCCGCCCTCTCAGCCACCTGGTAGCGGATCACCAAATCCAACGGAGTCTTGCCGTCCCTGTCTTTGACTCCATCGACAGACGCACCATGTTCCAGCAGGGCAATGATGATGGGAGTGCTGGCAGCCAAGCGCTTCTCGATCGGGGAAGCGATATTCTCGATTTGACAAGTATAGAAGTCGAAACTAGGGTGACTCAAGCGAGAAGGGTTATCATCGGGATAGACAGGGAGGTTGCAGCGAGTGAGAGCATGCAGAACGGTTTCGGAGCACGCGCCGGCTGTAACGTTTGGATCGGCACCCAAGTCCAGGAGGATGCGAACGAGTTCGAGGTGGCCCTTGGCCGCGGCCCGCTTGAGCGGTGTATCGTTGGTGTACCAATGTGGGTTTCTGTAGACAGAGTTGACGCAGTTGGGGTCTTGACGCGCTAGTCGTGCAAGAAACTGCTTCCGCCCGTCAAACCACTCGCTGCTCGTCGGCGAGTCGTTTGGCGGTTCTGGAGCAAAAACAGCGGCGTGGACGAGGGCCCCTTCGAGAGTGATGCCTGCTGCGCGGTAGACCTGTGCTTGGGACTCGGTCATCTCAAGGTCCATGTCGAGGAACATGGTGGCAACCGCCCATGAGCCATTGAGAGCGGCGTAAAAAACAGGCAAATCAGTGCGAGGAGCAGACTCAATGACGTGGGCTCCGGCCTTAAGCATGTTCTGTATGAACGGAGGAGAGGCAACAGGAGAGCAAGCTGCGTAATGGAGCGATGTGAATCGGGACTCGATAGGAGTATCCAAGGAAGCATGTCGCCCTACATGCCGCAGAATCTCGAAAAATAGGTCGTGTTGGCCCGTGGCTGCTGCTGTGTGAAGAGCGACGGGTTCAGCATTTCCTTCTACGGCCCCTCGATCAATGAGAAGTTGAGCCGTGGAGGAATGATGATGACACAGCGCCAAGCTGAGGGCATCGTGGTTGAGGCTGCCGTGATTCTGGGAAATGCGTCCAAGATCTGTCAAGAAGCCCTGTGGGATTTGTGGGTCCACACACTTGCAGAGGTTCTTGGAGGGCTCGTGCAAAGAAGCTCCATGGTCAAGAAGCCAGTCGACAGCTCCATTCTGTCCATTCATCGCGGCAAAGTGAAGAGGGCTGCCCTTGGCCGGCCCCGTAAAGATGCCAGTCTTTGTTGGAAAGGTGTACTCTGGGCCTAATGGGTGAGGGCCCTCGGCCTTCACGGATGCTCCATGTGTTAGAGCTTTTTCCATCAAGGAAATTAAGCCGTGGTAAGCACCCCATCGCATGGCCCTGTCCGGATTGCCATCTTGTCGGAAGAGGATGGGCTCGTATGTGGCGCGGATGTGACGAGAAGTCTGTGCAAGGGATAAAAGTGTTGATGTGCGGTCTTCGCGGTCGATCCTGGTGATGTCCAGGAGATGCTGATAGATGGTCAAGTGAAGCTCGTGAGGGAGGTACGAAAAGCAGTCTCGGTCCATTGTGAAAGTGCGTTGGAGTCCAATCATGGGCTGGAATGCTGGTACGAGATGATAACTTCCGTTGAAGGACACCAAACATGATATACTTCTCAGGCTTTGTCATACCTAGGGTTTGCCCAGTGTCAAAGGACGGGAGGTTGTGGCCCTGGCGCATCACCTGACGAATCCAGGGCATGTCATTGACCTCGTGGACGATCGTGGGGTACCTGCCAAGGGAGGAATTAGGTAAGTAGGTACTGATGTACCCTTGCCCAGCCCCCACCGGTGTGTCAATACCCCGCCCGCGGCCCCGGATTTTAGCGTCCGATTCGACGTCGAAATATTGGGGAAAAGTGCCCTGGTACCTGTCCGTCCGTTGGAGCGCCAGATCCAACCACGCAGCAGTGAGCACCCAAGTTTCGTGTCATTTTGCGTCTGGCACGCCATTGTCTGGGTAAATTTGACAGGTAGACCGAGATCCCCTAGACACCTGTCATACGAGCCTCTGCCGATCATTGAACAAATCGGCGCCGTCCATGTTGTCCTTGTGATCAGCTCCTCCGTATAACCGCCTACCGCTACTTCTCCAGAGGGTCCATCCTCTGAGCCGCTGCTGGCCGATTCTGTTCCTCGCGAATGCGGGCATCACAGACACCAGGGAATACGCAGTTGCATCCAATCTCATCTCCCCGCCTGACGGTTCTCATGGTGATGGAGTACCTCCCCTGTCTGTGTACCATTTCGCCATTGATGATGTCAGTCTTGCGAGACTTGATGCCATGCGTGTAGCCATAGCGCGCGGGGCCGGTCATGAGCAGAAGCGAGCGAGGAGGAAGCACAAGCTCCCATGACGGGTTTTCTGGTGACGGCTCTTCCGGTTTACTTTTCACCGTCATCGTCGTCTGGCTGTCGGGAGCAGTCGCCGCGGATTCTGGGTTGGTACCAGATGCACCCTCCATCTTGCTTTCTAATACTGACGACTGGAGAGATCTTCTAGGCAATCTCATCTTGCGGGCGTCATTTGCATCCGACATTCTGAACACCATGGGAACAGCACTTCCGTACGACAAGCTATACAGCGCTTCGCCGAACATGGAGTGCGTGTCCACGTGCGGCGGGATGCCGGCGCCAGGAGGGTAGTACTGTGCCGTGAACTGGTCGGGAAGGTAGTCTTGGACGGGCAGACGAGGGAGAAAGTCGGTGATGTACGAAGGCACCGGCGTGAAGCTTGTCTCGGAGGCGCCAAAGGTGGTGTAGTCGAAGTGGTAGCCAAAGTGCTGGCTGATGCGTCTCTTGCCGTCCAGGCGATGGTCGACGGCGTGGAAGGCGGCGATCATGGCGGCCTCCTCATCCTCCGTGATGAAGTCGTGGATGAGCAGCAGCCCAATGTCGTCCCATCTTTGGATCTTGGGATTCTCGGGATCCGTGACGGGAGTGGGCGCCGAAGGCATGGTACGTGGTGTCGTGTAATGAGGCACGTATTCCCGCCGCGGTTTGATGAAGCGTCGTCGTTGATGGAGCAGAATTTTGGCGGCGCTCCAAGCCAAACGCCCGCTGAAAATTTTGGCGCAACGGTTTAGCGGCAGTGAGCACCTAAACGCGTAGGTTTGCGACTGGATGGCCCGTGCACCTGCGTCAATCGCCAGCAGGGTCAGGGGGGCCATCTTGGGAGATGTCGGTCAAGGTCGCTTGAATCTGAAGGAGATGGGTGGACTACCAAACAATGTAAGAGCACGGTGATGAGGTAGGTGTACAACTCGTTGCAATGGTTGTGATGATTGAAAGAAGAAAGAAAATATTCGAGCGTGGGCACACGAGCGCATCGAACCGTCATGTCCGGCAACACCAGCGTTGCATCGCACCATCACAGCTGCAGATTGGCAGGAAAATGTGTGAATTGGAGGATCCCGATTTTGTCCAAAACAGAGAAAAATACTACAGGTAGACAGAATGAACAAAGACAACCATAGAGTTCAGGGTTGTAGAGGGGATTTTACTTGGAAAACATCCATCCATGACATGATGAATGGGGTCAGCATTCGTTGTTCTGAGGACGGGAGGTATCAATTGCGCACTTGATCAAAAACCAGCAGTTTCCCCTCTGGACGTGCGTCGCTCATCACAAGCCTTTGGGATGCAAGTCCGGGTCCACATATTGCACGGCCAGGAAGACGCTCCTTCCATATCGCGATTTTGTTCATTTCCCTAACCTTTTGTTCCTTCCAGCTTCAAGAAAGTGGACAACAAGGTCCTCAACCCTGGAAACATCGCGGCTTCCGAAAATGGAACTCTTCAGCTCCCCAAGCGATCCGGTCACAACACCACCTACGTTAGGTTCCACGAGGGGCGGAGGGCATCTGGGTGAATGATGCAGGCAACGCAAGTGCTGACGAAGGACTTCATCAACCTATCTACCAAGACTGCGAAACTTCAATAGCACAGCAACGATGGACAACCTGGCATACGAAGTGACGAGATCAGCTAGAGGTACCTAGCAGTGCCAGCTAACTGTCCAGATCGGACGAACCTGAAATGCAAGAACGTGAATAATAGTGACTCCCAACACACAATAGCAACCCAACACTCCAGAATGGCGACAAAAGAAACGCACGAGGTTCTCAGGCCACACATCCGAGTCACTCCCTGGTGAAGTGCTCGCACCTTCCTCCAAAATGCCAATATAAAATTCATACCGATCTGGTCACCGTCAAGGCAAGAACTTTCTTCTCAGAACCCACAACCGGCAAACCCCCGCAGTCCTCTGTCGATAACCCAGTCGAGAATCGACCAAACACGCGTCTTCCAAATCACAGGCAAGAGCAACAATCACAGGGAAAAAAAGGAAACAAAACATCAAAACCTCAATGACCAACATGTCCAACGCTCTGACCCAGCATGATCCCATCATGCAGTACGTCACTTACTTCTTGCCTAGACCTTCCTTTCTCTTTCAGATCGATACTGACCTTGTCATGCATCACCCAGGTCTTACAAAAAGAGACGCCTAGCCGAGGAAGCGGAGAGGCAGAGGGAGAAGAGAAGGCAGGAGCGGGAGAAGCAGAAGAAAGCGAAAGAGCTGGAGAAGGAAGCTGCTAAGGCGAGCAAGTAATCTCGTCTTGGTGAGGATGCACCTTCCTGTTTCTACTCCTTCTGTGGGGATGATGAGCAGAAAGTGAGGGGGACGTGATGATCAAGCAATCTAGTTTGCGATGTCTCCAGGGTGGCATCAAGCAGAGGAAGGAGGGAAGTGAGGGATGGCAACAGGACGAGAACGTTGGGGCGACGAGAGGTAGAGGTACTGGAGGTTGGTTCCAGACCTGGCCAACTGAACCCGACATGGCAAGATGAAGTCCATCATCACAGTTTGTATGCCACAAGAACGAAGTCTCGATTTCTAGTGCACAGATTGACCATAAACAAACGTGATTCATATGTGATAGGTCAAGTGTCCAAGATGGCCAACCTCTGTGTTTCCTGACCCGAATCCTTGAAGCTCGATGGAGAATATCACAACTATAAGACTTCCTTCCTCTCCACATCTATGACCAGTGCCAAAGTTCTCATCATCACCATCAAAGCAAACTAATAAAACCTCCAAAACCTCCAAACCTTCTCGCAAGACAAAATACCAACACCCACCTCACATCCCTACAACCTACCAAGCCAACCAACCCACTTCACCCACCAAAATGCCCATCCGGTACGTACCCACACCCCACACCCACTTGGTCACAACCTCCTCCTCTTCCTCTCTTTTTCCCTCTACTATCGAATCCCCCACCCCAAGACTAACCCCCCTTTCTTGTCCAAAATCCAGGAGACCAGGCTCCCCAAACGCCACCGAAGGCGGCCGCCCAGACGGACGGAACGAGAGGACGACTGAGGAAGCGGCCAAGAGAGCAAAGGAGGAAAGAGACCAAAAGAAGAATGGTTACACGCTCGAGGCGATAGAGAAGAAGGAGGAGAAGAAAAAAGACGAGAAGAAGGAGGAAATGGATTCCAAGAAGTAGAAGTACCTCTAAGGATTCAGTGATGGTTCTTTAGTTGTAGTGGATGTTGGTGCAGCGGAGGGAAAGGGGGTGGTAGAGTTGGGGGATGTTGTGGGATTTATGCCAGTGGGGGGATAATGGGATTAGTGTGGCGATGAGGCAGGTCAAGGAAGGGAAGTAAGGGGTAGAGAATCCTTAGTTAGGGCGCGTTGATTGATTTGTGGAAATGTGACTTTATTGCGTTGCCTTGGTCATATCGCTGTTTACCTTGCCTTGGTAAACGAAAGAATACTCTCATTGCTACCTCTATTGAATGTCATGGAACATGGATCTTGTCAGTTACACGGTGGTGGGACCAAGGAGACGATTGATCCTTGTATCGTAACCCACCTTCATGTAGCGAAGGAAACATATGCCAGATCCATGGGAGAGGTAGGTAACTCTGACGAAGTGGAAACGAGGACTTGCGAGCAAACAAGGGAAGGAAAGCCCCCTTACTCGACTTGCCTTGGCAAGTGCTTCATTGCTTGCTTTGGTATCACTTACCCTGTGTGCTATTCAGGCTGCAATTCGGACGGCACTGATTGTGAGTTGCAAGACCACGAGGGGAGTCGAGTATGACAGTTTGACAAGCAACAGATTGTAGGAAAACGGACTGAAAGGTCTAGAATTAGGGATTGCTCGGGGAATACTGCTTAGGTATGATGGACAAGAGACAAACGAGCCCCTTGTTTGCGTGAATGACCGATCGTGGTGATGCATGCTCCCGGACCCTGACATCCCAACCGGATGAAGTATGGCAAATACCTAAGGTAACTTCGCACACGCCCGCACACAGTTCCGTGAAGCAGAGCAGTTTGCCCCAAGGCAAAAGGTATAAAGATCATGGCCATGCACTAGTTAGTTGCTTCCTTTTTTTCACTTCTTTCATCATCCACAAAGCCTCAAACAGAAAAGCAAGAATCACTGAACAAGCTTCACCAAAAGCATCTCAAGACCAACAACAAAGATCCAAAGACGAAACAGCAAAAAAAATGTCTGACAACAAGTACGTCCCGAACTACCTGCCCCCCTTCCATCATCTACTCACTGTTTCTTGCTCTTTGCCTTGTTCGCTCTGTACGTAGACCGCAGACTAATGGCTTTGTTTACCAGCGACGCTGCTAAGAAGGAAGAGGAGAAGAGGAAGAAGCAAGAGGAAACTGCTAAGAAACTGATCGCGGAGGAGGAGAAGAGACAGGAGGCGATCAGGAAGGCCTGTGCACATATGCAAGCGAAAATCGACAAGGAGAAGGCGGAGGAGGCTGCTAAGAAGCAGAGCAAGTAGACTTGTTGTGATGCTTGGATCAGCGTGGCCAGCCACTGCAGCCAGCCTTGGATGTTGAACATGACGGGGGTTTGATAAAGTCTGGTGATGATCCCGTGGGAATCGGTGGGATATATGACTAAGGATTGAGAAGAAGACCTTCTGGATGAGACAGGAAAGGGAAAAAGATGTTTGCTACTTACGATAAATGATAGTTGGCTCACACCAACTAGAAAGTGATCAAGACCCAAATTGATGCATTGGCGTTCGTTGACTTGCCCAAGGAACCTGTTTGCGGCTTCTAAAGCTAGGTAGCCTCTCGCAATGAACCCGTAGTTGCTCTCTTGTTCTTTGGTATGCTGTCCTCATTGTATCTGTAGGCCAATCAGCAAAACTGTGCTACATGGCGATGTCGTGGATCGCTCTAGAAATATCGATGGCGTATGCCCCTCGCTTGCACTTGTGGAAATAAGATGAAGTAAAGACCATGACGCATGCTGCTCCAACACCTCAAAGGTCCAACACTGTGAAGCAAGACAAACGGCCTTTTTGAAGGAAACGTCCAATATCCCGATCCTGTCGAACTGAGGGCAGACGTATAAAGATCCTTGTCCTGCTGCGTGTCAGTGTCTTTCTTCTGCTACCATCACCAAAGTATCCATCACAGTGAAACGCATACCTTCTTTTCGAGCTCACAGACACTGATCAGAGCCGCAAACATGGTGTACTCAGACAACAGGTACGTCTGCTATCTCTTGAACACGAGCACCCTAAGGAACTAACCTCTGCTCTCCTCAGTGACGATTCCCAAGCCAAAATGCAAAAGGCTCTAGCAGACGAGCAAAAGAAGGCGAAAGAGGAAGAAGAGAGAAAGAAAAAGGAAGTGGAGGAGGAAGAGAAGAAGAGAATGGAGGAAGAGAAGGCGAGGCAGGCACGGGTCCAAAATACGTATACTTTTACCGTTCTGGTGAAAAAGGCGTGATGTCCCCGCGTGGGGGTTCGAACGACTGAGACGGGGATGCCGGGATGAGCGGGATGGAGGTGGTATCGGAGGTGAGCCCAACGAGTAGGTAGGTAGCGTTGCAGTCAAATGCAAGTGGAAGGTCGGCTAGGGCTGAGCTGACTGCTTGCTGAGTGAGCTTGGCGATGGAACATGGGTTGTTTGGCGGAATGGCAGAGATAGGTTTGTAGAAAGGGGAATGATGCCGGGAGGGAACGGAACTATTGATGATGGTGAGTGATTCTGTCCAGGTTGTAAGCGCTGTGCAGTGGCGTGTTCTGGTTCGCTACCATCCGAGATGTGAAATGGCCCTGCTATTAGTTCCATGATTTATTGCTTCAAAAGATTCTTTTTTGAGAACCCTCCTGTATTCGTGATTTCCTGCATCGTATCACGCGACCTGGAGCGACCGTGGAAGCTGCGACGGGCGCTGTTCCCCTCAATACAAGGCAAGCCGTGTGCCGGCAGCCTGTCCCATCGGGATCGAGGATCTTGTTATGCCAATTGTCGAGTTCCTCCCCATTTTGATCAATTTGAAGAAGCCGAAAATAAGGACCTGGTTAACGTCCTGTTCAGTCGTGGTGTTCCACGACGAAGGCAATCCCTGCAGGAATGCAAGCCATGCCGCGCCCTTGGGACAACCACCTGAAGGTACCTAGTGTACGCTTTCCTCGAGCGCCATTATCCGTCAAAACACGGCTCAAAAGTGCTGGGAGTTCGCTTGCACGACGTTGTACCAAGCCGATGCAGCTGTGAGTAAGCAATCAAGGACACTCGCTCGATTGCTCCATGTCGGAACTAGGCGAGCAGTTCAAATTGGCAGGTAGATTGATTTCAGGTTGATCATTAGCAAATAGCATCTTTCAATCATTATACACAATGTTTTGTCTTGCTCCAACAAACTGCGGTTGGCGGTTGGGCCCGTACCAGCCTTGACGGCGGCCGAATTACCTCTACCGTCAAGGGGACGGGATGTACCGACACGAACCTGGAAATCACCAACAAAAGTTACTTACATAGGTACCTACCTCTACGCCTCTTTTTCCTCCTGTAAGATGAAATGGCGTTACACTATTGGCGTTAAATTACTTACATAGCCCCATAAGCCACAGCGATTACCTCCACTGGAACTTGGGTTCCTCCAGGGTTGTGACAGGGCATACAGATGCCTGGACGTGGGGGCCGCCGCCGCCGCCCTCGGACAGCCCGACGTCATGGCCATTACCACCTCCATTGAAACCAATATGCCAAGCCATCACCAACAACCAAAAACCATCACCAACATGGAAGTTGCAGATTGATTGAAAGTATCGTTCAACAACGTTCACGACCATGCCCCTCCGAGTCCTACCACTTTGGAGCATTGTCGGAGTCAATTGAGCTATGCAATCGCAATTGCGAACTTCGAAGCGCGGTACATAACAAGATTCACACATCCCTCCGAGACCCTGACAGGAGGATCCGAGGCCGGTGTGGTGCGTCACATCACCGATGTAACTCTGCAGCCCTACGACAATGACCTTCCAGAACGAGACACAGTGTTACCATTGTTCGTGGGGGGAACGAAGCCTAACCTCCACATACGCAGAGTCCTAGACCAGAACAGCCTTCTTTGCATCTTTCTCCCGCTGGGATCCTTCCCAAGTAGGCAACTGTGGACATGGCTTACGGGCGGCGTACCGTTTCCATCGGTGGATTGGGAGCAGGGAGGACTAAGACTAGCATCGCGCGCACCGGCGTTGGCGTGGCTTCCACTTCTCACTACGAGAAAACCCGGAGTGGACACTGGCCCCCCGATGTGCCTCCTCCCGGCATTTTGGAAGTGAGGCTCCAGAAAAGCTTTGACGAACGACAACAACTCGCGCCGCTCGGTTGAGACCGAGGTGGGGCCGCGATACTGGTGAGCCTAGGAGGCGTAGTCCCTCGATAGACTTCACCGTGCCGCGCTAACTTTATTTTGCCACAGTCATGGGCACGATGAGCCCCCATTCTGCGCGTCAATGAGGGTCCTAGTGCCAATTTTTCCCAATGGTGATGACCTCAGCACCTGGCCTCTCCATTGGTGGTCTTTCCGACGGCACGGTGGTTTGGCAAGCGAATTGGTCGAGACTCGAATCGAGAGTGATGTACGTTCCGGACGGACTTGCGACTACATACCGTCGGGCTTAGCGAGAACAATGGACCCCAAGATTCAAGGCGTCAACATCTGGGAGAGGGATGTGATGTAATACACATTCGGTGTGTACATCACAGTGACAGTGCCCTCAGGCAGCGATTTGGGGGCTCTTCCCCATCAATCATCAGTCATGCTGCCTGGTTCTTACTGAGCGCAACTGCGATGAGGACTGAGGCTTGGACAATGTTGGACATCACACCGAGGGCACGTCTGGGATGGTGATAGGAGATGGACGAAGAGATATAAGAGTCGATGCTGCTGGTCTTTGGAAGAGGTTCTCGATATCTTCAGCAGACATTTCAAGCTACACAAAGACCACAGCAACAGGAACAAAAAGTCAACACCTACCTCAGTCTTTAAGCCCTTCGTCTCTCTTCACGATCAACAACAATATCAGCAAACACTCATCACAATGAAGAACATCATCCTCCTCACCGTCTCCCTTCTCGCGGCCTCCACCGCCGCACTACCTACCCCTTCCCCTTCCACCTCCAACTCTCTTTCTTCTTCCGACCCCGACTGCGGCCGAAGCGGGTACAACTGCGGAGACCCCGAGCCTTCTGACACTGCTGTCTTCATCACCGGCAGCGGCCGGAGCGGATACAACAAGGCCCGAGACCAACAGGCCGACACTGACAGTGGCCGAAGCGGTTATAACAAGCGCACTCCTTCAGGACGGAGCGGCTACAATAGGGTTCAGGAAGATGTTGAGATATCCGTTACTGCTGATACCGACAGTGGTCGGAGTGGCTATAACAAGCGTACCCCCAGTGGCCGAAGCGGATATAACGACATCGGCGAAGAGAACGGCACCGTTTCCGTGGCCAGTGGTCGGACTGGCTATAACAAGCGCACTCCTTCAGGACGGAGCGGATACAATGACATCGGCGAAGAGGACGACACCCACAAGGCTCGCCGCCGCGACCAACAGGCCGATCCCGACAGTGGCCGGAGCGGATACAACAAACGTGTTCCTTCAGGCCGGAGTGGCTACAACGGCGAAGAGAACGGCACCGTTTCCGTCACCAGCGGAAGAAGCGGGTACAACAAGCGCACCCCCAGTGGACGCAGCGGATACAACGATGTCGGCGAAGATGATGGCGCTGTTTCTGCCACCAGCGGACGTAGCGGCTACAACAAGCGCACTCCAGGCTCTGGAAGGAGCGGGTATAACGAGGTGGAGGATGGTGTTGAGAGCAACTAATTGCCTTGTTGAGTGGACGGACGTTACAGGCGGCTTTTTGTCTTTTGGTTATTGGATTTTGAGGAGTTCAGTGACTGGTGTTAGAGTGTTTGTCTGATGGTTCAAGGCTGGTATCAAGGAGTTTGTATGGTGGTGGTTGTGTGCTTCTTGGACAGTGGTCTTTTTGGGGGGTTAGAACCTTAGAGACGCCAGGCGGGGGCTGTACATATGCGAGATGTGGGGTTTGGCGGGTTGGCGATTGATTGGTGTGGTTTGGTGTTTTCCTTCTGCTTGCTACTTACTTATACTAAATCCTGGTAGAAATCTGTACATGTCACCTCACTACTTTGATTTGTTTGAAGCATCCTTGAACGTATCATATGGACGGCAATAGTCCAAACTGTGATCTATCTTCCTACCTACTGTTGTGAGGCGCCTTTCGCCCATCGTGCGATGTCGGGGCTATAGCGGCTTCAGGGGCTTCAGCCGGCGCTTTCTACCTGGAGAACCATGCTCGTCCCCACCATCCAGTGGTCTCTCGTCGTATTAGTGTTAACAAACATTAAGGACACTCATCGAAATCTGGTCATTGTCCCAATAGTTGTTGTCAGAAAATTGGGTTCAGTAACAGTGCATGTTTCTTCTACATGCCCCGCGTTGTGCACTTGGATGCTCTTGCCTTGGAAGTTTCTTTTTGAGTCTTGCATGTGCCTTGCCCTTATTACCAATTTCTTACCTGCGGAGCCCACTTTGGGCAAAGGAAACCACGACTGCCCTGACACCTAGTGGCAGGCTCAACTGGCAGAGTGGGGGCGAGGGGCGTTGAAGTGCTCGATGAGAACCTCCCTCGCGCCTCCAATTTCTCCACACAACACCAATATAATAACCAACGTCCCACGTATCACAAAGTCATGAAAATGCCATCTATCTTTTTCTCTTTTTTTGTTTCTCTTTCGAATTCTCACTTGGTGGCCTCTCCCTTTTAAATCTGATGCACCATCCATGTTCCACAGTGTGTCCTACCTGACGGCCCGGCGGTACCTGCATGCGGCACCAGCTCGCTCGAAAACCGGGCAGAGAAAGTTCGGACTCTCGCAGCCCCGCCGGAGTGAGGCGAGACGATGATGTGACATCTATATTCTTCTACCGATTGTTAGCCGCCCTTCAATTGTTCACGGGTGTTTAGCCCTCAGCCCTGTTTGTATGTTCAATGGCGCAAAGGGAGTTGAATGTAGCAGGTAGTTGGTGCTTGCAGGTTGCCACCTTGGCACCATGCGCGAGGTTCTTTATTTGAGTTATTGCTAACGGATTCATACCTCTAGGTGTTGCAGACTGCAAGGACATGTGGGTGATCTACCCCCGGTTGGCTGGCGGTGAGAAGAAGACTCGATATTGTCCCTGCGGAAAGATCCGAGTTCCGGACCCCGGAGTCGAAATCGGTGTCATGCCTTCGGCTTTTCGGACGTATCGCCGGTGTGTGAAGCCGGCTCGCCATCGGGAAAGACAATCCGGTTTTGAGCAGCATGATAATATTCATCTTGCAGTTTTCCAGGTCGAGTGCTTCCCTCGTACCTACCCTCTTGCCTTCCAGAGAACATCTCGGGTGAACAAGTGTTATCTTGGCCATCCTCGTAATGATCACAAGAGAGAGACTACACTAAGTCTGTACTATGGTGTTGTTTTCCGTCCCGCGGTGGCGTCAGCTTGTGAATGTCTCAAAGGTCTCACTTTCACAAAAAATGTTAGAAAAATCACAGTCAATTTACATTCATTGACATATTACCAGAATTATACTTGAAGCTATTTTTCTATTTGCCCATTATCTCTATTGTCATTACTTGTGAAGTACGCCTTCGTGTAATATAAACCGTTAGTTAGCCTAATTAACTAACTAACTAATACTTTTACTTCAACTACGAGCCAAGTGCAGCATCCTAAAACGCAGATTGTAATATAAATAGGTAGGTAGAGGTATAGTACTAGTCTCCTATCCCTCTTGGGCACGGGCCACAAGACCGACGCGTCAGGCTTGTGGCCCGTGCACCTAACTACCAACGAAGCTAGAGCCCAAAGGTCAAGAGGTCTTATAATAAACATTGTTGCGTCCTAGCTAACGGCAACTCCATTTCCCCCCCCTGCGGCACACAATGTAATACCCTGTTGAGTAAACCCTCTTTTGTGGCTTAGACTTAAGCTACCTGTGTTGAACCATACTGCAAGGAAGCGATCACGATGTGCAACGTGGTGGTGGTGAAAGTCTTGATTGATTGAGAAAGAGAGAAAGAAGAAGGAGGGTAAGATCCGACTTATATACAGGGTAGCCATATGTATGGATCGTATCCACTAATGCCAAGAGAATGTCAAGAACTGGTGATGGCTTCAACAATCTGTTTATTGTCTCAGACTCTCGGTGAATCTCACTCGATAAATGCTCTGCCTACATTATCCTTAAACATCACCGACCGCTTTGCCTACAAGGCCAGGTACTACAGCCGGAGTTCGATGACCCTCCACGTCACCGACGTTATTCCTCCGGTGCTGCCGCGCCGTAACGGATTCATAACCATGACATTGATCTTCCTCCACTGAGGAGGAAGTCCAGTCCGCATGAACCGGGTAACCTCCCAATCCTCTGCATGCGGAGGGAGACCGAACTCTCTGCCGCTCAGAGCATTGAGTGGCACCTGGAGGTCATGAAGTTTCGTCATGTCGACCAGACAGTCGAGCGTTTCAGAACGCCCAAAGCGCGCCTGGGGGACGGCGGTGAAATGGTGGTACCAGTCCAGTACCAAGACCTCGAGGGTGCTACGGTATGCGCGAAGGATGGAATTCCAAGTCACCCTCTGCGGCTGAGTCGAGTTAAACCGCTTATAGGTCACAAGCTTGTCAAAGCCGTGCAGCATGCGAAGTTCGCGCAGCTTGTTGTTTGTGCCGAGCCATTTCGAGAAAATATTGAGGTCGAACAAGTGGTACGGGAGCGTCGACTCCGTCTCGTTGCCCACGAGCGTTAGGCGCTCGATGGAGGGTGGGCAACCAACTCGGTAGCCCGGCACGTATCGCTTGAAGTTTGTTAGCGATAGAAGCGCGCCGAAGTCAAGGGTGAGAGATTTCAGGCTCGAGTGGCGATCCTCAAGTAGGCTGACGTAAATGGGAGGGTCGCGGACTGGCTGGCTCGCTGGCTCCGGTTGTTCAATATGGCGCTGGGGTGTTCCAAAGCTGATGCGAGCGGTTGTTAGTCCTGGGCATAGTTGGATGGTCGCTGTCATGAGCTGGTCTTCAAGTGTGTGAAGATTAATCTCGGTGGAATAAATCACGGGAAGTGAGAATGTAAAGTTGTTCCGGCTCAAGCGATGAATAGTCTCCTGAAATAGTGGTACAGTACGACGGAAAAAGTTCTCTTCGGGGAGCTGTTGAAGGGTGGTACTGGATAAGAGTGGCTGTATATAATACAGAAACTCGCCAAGGACCAGAGGCTGGGGCTTGGTGAATCGCATCGGCAATGGGCGAGCATGGTCCTCAATTTTGACTACCAAGAAGCGCACGTAGCGCCTATTCTCAGGATGAAGCAGCAAGTCGCGCAACAGGCGCACAAGCTCGCTGGTGCTCTTGACTACGACGACCTTGTATAAGGCGCGCCGAGCGGGATCGAGAAAAGTCTTGGAAACCAGGGACAAGGTTCGAAGGTCGCTGTACGACGGCTGCCAGATATAGGATGTTACCGAATCCAGGTATGAGTTGGTGATGACTTCGGTAAAGCTGTCTTCCTGTTCAGAGGGCGATACACCTGCGACATCGCCGCAGAATTGGGCGATTATCTCTAGTACTTCCTGGGGAAGCTGCTCAAGTGGGGCCATTCCCGCGGGAAATCGCTGGTGCTGAATCGTCGACATTGATGAAGAGATTGATGATGATGGTTGTGGTTTTGTAGTGTTGACCCGTTAAGGCTGGTCTAGAGAAGACGGATTAGTATCGACAAGATGTCTCACAAGAAGCAAGGAGGAACCTACCTCGAGGCGTGTTCCACGAATTGAAATAGACCGGAATGGTGCAGAGGTCTTGGCTGAGTGACAAGATGTTGAATCCGCGTGCCGAGCTTGAAATTGTCGCGAAGGTACTGTGTCAGTGTGTCCTTGCTCGTTGGCAAGCGCATGTACGATAACGCCCACGAGATGGTATTAGAGACAGACGGATTTGTGGCGAGTGAAGTTGACCACAGTCGCCGATTCGTCGAGTCGAGAAAAGCGGCTGTCTGCGACAGATGGTGTAATGTCGCAAACGGTTTCTCGCTCAAAATTTTGGCCAGAAGACGAAGTGGTGATGTTGGATTCAATGCCGCCGTTGTCGACTTCGGTGATTCGCGTCGTTGCGGGGAGTCGTGGTTGTCGTTACGTCCCCTTGAGGAAATCCAAGGTGGGCGGATAAATGTGTTGAGAGGAAAAAGTTGGCAGGAGGGGCAGCCAGCGGCAGGACAATCAAATAAAAACCCGTCGCCCACGCGGGCAGTGAAGTGCACCAGACCCGAACCTTTTTGGTCGGTGAATGGGTTCGGCCGGGGAAGGTGCGGGAGCAAGTTACTGTGAAGTGTGAACGGGCCCACTTCCGGGCAGCTCTTGCCGCCGTACATGTCTAGTTCGCGGCCGGCAACTACTTATCTCAGGTTCAATCATTCACGGGAAGAAACCGAGGACCGTCGGGCAGTGTCGCCCGGGCGTCCATGGTGATTTTGGTCAACACTGCCGTTGCCAAGAGGCATGGCTGTCATGGTAGAAAGAAGTAGCTACTTTTACTGCTGATCGCGATTCTAGATCAGATAACGCTGTCCACGTCTACCCCACACATCTGTATCCTTTCTCTTTTCGTGGTATTCCTTTTCCTAGTGTCTCTCTTGATAGCGACATGTCTAACAGAAAGCCGGCAAGGCCTATGGTTGATCCCCGGGTCGATCGAAGCAGCACCTGGATCATGGCTTCGGCGGGGCAATGTCGTTTCTTGGGGTGAACAGCAACAAGATGACCATCGAGGGAGAAAACAAAGCCAGATTCGAATCCCCCGAGGCATGTTCTTGGGGGATGAGAATAGCGGTGGTCTTTGAGACGGCGACCTCGAATAGGTACGTAACAAAAGGTGTAGTAAATACTGTAGTTGATAGAAGAGAGAAGGTGGGGGGGAGACAAGGACTGCAGGGAACAGGACAACATCTGGTCATATATGTACCTAGGCGGGGGCAGCAATGTTTGCACCGTATCTACTTGGTATGAAGAAATCCAAGATACAGTAATCACCTCAACATGTTGACGCAAGTGGTTCAAACTTGGGGTGTTTATTTGCTTTCATACTTGTCCTGATCTGTGCCTTCAACCAGCGAATGCTACTTCTACCGGGGTATAGCTCCGCAGTTTTCACCCTCTTGGCTGTCTTTCCATTCTGAGGCAAGTGTGACTCCGATGACTTTCAACTGTGCTTCTTTCACTAGTCCACTTCGACAAACCTAGGGGGCCAGGGCCCATGAACCAGCCGAATCCTCAAACTGTCTGTCAATACCACCGTCAGATCCCAACGCACAAAAGATTTGTAAAGATGTCATGTTCAGTCTCCGTGACTGCTTCCTCCGTAGCAAGGTTCTATGCGGCTAGATAGGAACTCCAATGGTTCTCCACGCGTAATCTTTATCCTCTTCCATACTTGGTTCAACAACCACAACCTCCAATTTCCTCAAAGAAGGGGGAAATTCAGTTTGAATGAGGCCAAGGATATTATGCTCGTCACCAGGTTGTAGTATCCGGATGCCCCTTAAGCGATTATACCTTGACGGAGGGTTGTCCGACTCGTTGTTTTCCTCCCCATCGCTCTCTTGCCCCTCGTCCTCATGTTCTTCATCCACCTGAAAAAGATCATCTATGTCCATTGCCGAGCCGTCGGGCTGCACGGCAAGTTCCAAGTCCTCCCAGTCAACATCAGCTGGCTCATGCTTTGGCGTATCGTCCCTGAGATAGTGTAGTGGTACCTTGAGGTACGCCAATTTCTTGCATTGTAGTGTGGAAAGAACCCCGCTGGGTCCGAACCGAACTCCATCGTGATACGTACCTTCATGGTAGCGATTCCCGTCCATGATGAGAACCTCCAACGTGTCTTTGAACATTGTAATTATTGTGTTCCAGTTCTGCTTCTTAGCCCCAGGCCACGGATGGCAATCAGCTCCTTGAAGCATTCGCAGTTCCCGCAACTTTTTGTTCGTGCTGAGCCATTCGTAAAAGTCGTCGAGGGGAGTCCCAAAAATGTAGCTGTTTTTGCCCACAATTTTCAGATACTCAACGGTGGGAGGACATCCGCTAGGGTATTCGGGAACCTTTTCACGGAGTCCTAGCAGGGACCAATAGAGTGCACCAAGATCCAGTGTTAAGGACTTGAGCCTAAAGCAATCCTGCCCCAGAAGACCGTTCGGCAGACACAAAAAGGCTTCTGGTGCCAATGGAAGCGATCCCCAATGAATGAAGGTGTTACGATGAAATAGTCGGGCTCCCCTGATTTGAGGGCAAAGTTCCAAGATGGCTCTTAGAGTTTGGTCTCCCAGAATTGGGTAAAATGATCTCAAGTCATCTGTATCTGGGATTTTCGTTTCAGCAGTGTACCCGCTGAAAGATTTGGGGTCTCTTGGGATATAGAGTTGCAACAGGCGTCCGAAGAACTCGACGTTTTGCAATTGGTCCAAGACAGGTGTGCGTAAGAGCGGGCCGAGGGTCCGTACCAATGCCGAGATAGGATCGAGGATGTCGGGAGGATTTTGACAGTCGTAGTTATTTTCGCGAAGCAGCGGAGACGTCACAAGCCACTGCACATACTTTCGATTTGCCGGGTATTCCAGCAAACTCCGGAGTAGGCGGAGCATGCCTATTGAGCTGCGTGTCTTGCTAACCCTGAAGAGGGCCCGTTGTGCGGGTGCCGTGAACGCTCTAGACGCCAGTGATGACGATCGAAGATAGTCGTAAGGTGTGGGCTCTGTACGACAGGGGACTTCCAGATGCGTGTCTCGAGGTACGTAGGGATACGGTGTTTCATCGTCGGGAAAGTCAACCCGGTCGCGCCCTGAGACGTAAGCAATGTCGCCGACAAATTCGAAGATCCTCTCCCAGAGCTCAATGGGAAGCTTGTCGATCGACGTCGTTCCTGGAAGACATGGTGGGCGGATATCGTTGAAGGTGCTGTAACCCCCTTGCGTGATGTTCTTGAGGGAGTTGTCGCTCTTTCGCTGTGACATGATTTCGCTCGCAGTCGATGAAGTGGTGCTACTGTTGGCATCATGTGTTAGTATGATTCTGGAATCATTGCGCGACAAGGGGAAGTTGATGGCAAGGATACACACATGTTGGCAAGATGCTAGAGAGCCGTCTTTGGGACTATTGCCAGGCTGGAGAGGGGCGGGCGTAGAAGCGAATGTCGAGGTGGGTGCAAGGTATAGGTCTGGCTGGAATTGTCTGGGCGGCGAACGCAAAAGGTTTCGGTTAACGGAGGAGGGCGGCCTGAAGTTCAAATACTGCGGGGTGTGCTGACTCACTGAGAAGATAAGTGACTGGAATGTGACAAGTTCTTGGATAACAAACGGAGGAAAATGGAATACTTGACTGGCCAGCATACTGGATTCTTGAGTGGGTAGGCAGGATCACAAGCCTGTTAGTGAAGGCGCTCAAGGCGGCCGGCAAAACGAGGTGGAACTCGGAAAGTGCATTCTCCAGCAGTGCATCCTGATGAATGTTAGTAGGTATTCAAGGAAAAGGCAAGAGCATTACACTGGAGTGTATCACGATACCTTACCGCGTTGAAAGATTCATGTGAATCCTTCGCAGTCCCACTCCCGAGTGTCCTTATTTGGCCGTGACTCCCAGCAAGCAAACAGTACATAATGCTCTTTGAGTCAACCAACTGCTCAAACACTTCATTGTCGAGAAGCAAACGCCCGTGTCATCAAACGTGGACACCTGCGGTATGCTAAGAGGGGCAACAGATCCTATTCGCACGTCAACATCATTGCATCTGGGGATGTGCCATCGGCTGGAAGGCCTCAAGGCTCTCAAACTCACGCTGCTAGTGGCTAGCCGGGACCTCACAGTCTGCCGGTGAATGGATGAATATAATGAGCAGTGCAAAGCGAACGACCGTATAACGCCATGCCTGGGAGGAAGACAAGAGCTTGAGTGGTTGGCTTAAGTAGAACAAGTATGGCGGTAGGATTTTTGTGATATGAGAAGAAATGAATGAGGTGAGTGGTTGAGGCGTTGATGCGACTGCGTTGACTCCTTTCGGCATCTCACCCAGGACAACAGCCTGAAGAAGGAACCGACCCCCGGCTGGAAATAACGGCGCGAAGGCTGAAATGGTTCCTTGAACACCTGGCAGGAACAACTAGTCAGCCTGCCTTTTACTTGCGGCTGGCCGTGGTAGTGTGGTAGGTAGGCAAGCGCAACGGCCTAACTGCAGAAGAACTGTGGAACAGAACTTGCGTATCATGTCTCTGATGGTACTCTCATTGAACTGCTCGCTGAAAAAAAAAAAAAAAAAAAGAAGGAAGATGGAGACACATGTGTCAATTATTGACCGGAGAGACCGAAACAGAAGGAAACAAAGTGACGATACCTGAGGTAGTCCTCAAGATCCTAGAAGCCGATCTCCTATCAGACATATCGTTCCTCCCATCCTAGAGGAACCAAACCAACTGATCGCTTATTCAAAGCCGTGTTGAACCATACGGAAGGGAGTGAATACGGGGGACGACATTGTGGTAGTAAAAGTCTTAATTAGTTGAAGAGAAAGAAAGAAGGAGTGAGAAGGAGGATGGAATCCGACTTATATACAGGGTAGCCATGTGTGGATCGTATCCACTAATGCCAAGTGAATACTAAGAATTGGTGATGGCTTCAATGAGCCGAACCTTGGAGGTCTTGATAGGTGCAATAAAATTCTGAGTTACTCCACCTAAGCCCTCGAAAGACCCAGACGATTCGAACACCACAATATCCGCCTTCTTCAACCCCTTCGGGAATTTGGTCCGGACGAGGTCCAAAACCTTCTGTCCTTTTTTTGGCACGCGAAGTGTGTGGCCGTCTCGCCGCAGCATGTACAATGGCACCTTGAGGTAGGCCAACTTCTCGAAATCTTCCAAAGAGAGCATCCGCGTGGGGCCAAAACGGTCTTTTGAATCTCCAAACCTCGAATGGTACCCGTCGAATACAAGAAGTTCCAAAGTGTCCTTGAAGAGATGGAGGATGGTGTTCCACGTTGGTATGCTCTCGAATGTGGTAATCTCTTCATCTGGGCATTCCACGCGATCGTCGAATCCATTGATGACCCGAAGCTCCTTCAGTGATGTGTTGCTGCGAATCCACGAGTGAATGAAACTGAGGTTTATTGGCTGGCCTGAACGATTGCCGAACAGCCATGGCCCCAGGAGTGTAAGCCTTTCGATGTTTGGAGGACATCCTCCTGGATATCTTGGCCTGGCCGCTATAGAGTCAACCCGAACCAGAAGAGCATTATAGTCGAGCGTAAGAGATTTGAGTTATGGGAAAGTATTGGAAGGGCCGTCATCTAAGCTGGCAGGTACCTTTGTCCTTGCCAAAGCGTGTACTTTAAAATCGTATATGCCGCAGCATATATGAAAACCGCTTAGAAATGGGCAGAGCTGAATGATCGCTCTCAAGACATAGTCTGCAAATTTGAGCAGAAGCATTGTGGAGAACCCTGTCGCAGTGTAGTTCCAAGGACGATTGTCGCGAAACTCTTCAAATGAAAGACCGCTTTCAAATCCGCGGAAGTAGCTTGCGTCGTAAAGTTCATCGATCGTTCTTGTTAGGACAAGGGGACGCAGTTCCTGCTTGAACTGCGCCAGAGCTTCCTCAGCAACATTGTGCTCAGAGCCCTCGCGTGTAACGAAGAGAGATCGAATATGCCGCCTGTTCTTGGGGTAAAGAAGCAGGCTTTTCAGCAATCTCATAACACACCTGGGACCGCCGACTACCGCAATCCTGAACAAAACGCGCTATGCTGAGTCCGTAGTGTAAAAGTTTTCGAAGCCAGCGCTAATGACCGTAGATCCTTGTAAATTGACGAGTACCTAGGCCCAATAGGTGTCGAATCTATGGAGCAAAATACCGAGAAGGGGGAGTCATCCTTGTCGAGCAGAAAGAAGTTATCGAGTTCGCGCGGATCGGGCTGGAAGTCGGAGGGGGCGTCGGCAATGTTGCCGATGAACTCGCATATCCGCGCCCGTACCTCGACTGGGAGATGTTTCAGGCGAGCCATGGTGGGAAACGAAATGCGCTGAATCGTAATTGCCGTCGTCGGATCAACCGTACGTGATGCGATTGCGACTCGGTATGTAACTGGTCGAGGTTGCTGTTGTAATCTTTGACGTCTAGTACTTTCAAGTTGTTGCGGTTGAAAACTGGTCGAGGTTGAGGTAGAAAGTTAACCTTCCCCGCACGAAAAAACTGGCGTGTACACTACTATAGTGTAGTAAGTGGGAAATGGACAGTCGTACCCCTGCCCAGAAATTTTGGGGCGCCCAGCTGATGACACCTGCCCTTGTATGCAAGTGCCGTTCTTTGGCTGCAGAGTTTCGCCTTTCCAATGTGGTGACATCGTCGCCCAAAACAAAAGAAAGAAGGAATGGAAATGATACCTACTAATTATTGATCCACACCTTGCTGAGGCATGAAGAGGACAGTGAAAATGTTCAAATGAGCGGGCAGAAAAAGGAAGTGGGATTTGCGATCAGATTACTGTAAGCGTCCTCTCTTTGTCCCAAGTAGTATCAACAGCCAACTGCATAATCCAGAGTCGTCTACGTGAGTTATGATCCATCGCATTTGAAAGCTGCCTGCTACTTTGTGCCATCCGTCTTTACCCTTCCTACGCCCTTCCTTCACTCATACTATTTGTCCAGTTGTGTGGCCGTCCTTGCCCAGATCGATCCTCAGCGCCTTGACCTTTGTGACTCTATTATCCTCCACTTGCTGAACCATCATAACTTCAGCCCTCTCGAGTGACTTCGGAAACTTTACATCTGCTTCCACAAACTGGCGAACATCTTGGCCTTCGTTAGGCATGCTCAAAAACTCAAGTGGCTCCATACCGTCCGGGCATCTTCTGAGATAGTGTATCGGAACACTCAAGTATCTGAGCTTTTCCATCTCCGGCAAGCATGATAGCATAAGGCTTGGACCAAACAGCCGCTGTTGCTGGAGTACCCGGGGGCCAAGGATGTTATTGGGACGCAAGTGGAGCAGCGTCCCAGCACCATCCAACACAAGCTGCTCCAGGGTAGCTTTCAACTTGAGAAGAAGGTTATTCCAGTTATGGACTGGTGAGAGAGCAATAGTACCTGTACAAATCCCGTACCATACTCGGAGTGTTTTCAGCCTGGTAAGGGCGCTTAGCCAACCGCAGACATGGCGCATACGCAGCGTGTTGTTGCGGAATTCGTGGGTTGTTGAGCCAACAATAGTGAGATGTTCAATGTTCGGTGGAAATCCATCATTGGCCATCATCATGAACCCATGAAAAGCTTCCAGAGCACGAATGTCAATTGTTAGAGTGTTAAGGAAAGGGTCGCTTTCGAGCGCTTTTGTCCACGAGGAACATGTACGAAGAGGCCAGAATGTACATGGATCTTCTTGTTGCCTCCAAGACCCATTACTGCAGTGTAAATGAAACGCTCTTAGCGACTGGCATAGCTGAAGAATGCTATGCAAAACCTCAGTGACTAGTTGGCAAACCTTCCGGCTTTCAAGCTCGTATGATGCTACGCGGTCCGATGACAAGACCACAGGAAGGCCGCGTGGGTATAACCGGTACCTGAGTCTGTAAAAGTAACGGTGGTTCCAAAGGTCGTAAGTATTATGCCGGCCAAAGAGAGCAAGGTCGCCGAGTATGTCGACGAAAGCAGCCCAGCGGGACGTTTCTATCACAGAACGTCGCTTCTCTGCGTCAGGATTACGAACTGAAACGGCCAAGAGACACCGTATGTAGAATCTGACTTGGGGAGATTCTAGCAGAGTTCGGAAGAGCTTGAAGTATGCCGTGGGGTCCCCAACGATGACCACGGCAAAGAGGGCGCGCTGCGCTGGGTCACGGAAGTCTTTCGAAACGAGGGAAAGCGCACGCAGATCGTCGTAAACTGGCTGAAAACTCAGCTGGGGCTTGTCGCCTGCTTTCTGTAACGGCTGCCACTTATACGTGTGTCCGTTGAAGAAGCTGTGGCCATAGGGGTCGATGCGGTAGTTGCGTTGGTCGTACAGGTCGAAGTCGCTCAGCTCACGAGCGATCTGCGCCTTCAGCTCGAAGGGAAGGCGCTGGATGCGCGCCATCCTCGGGAAAAGTGAAGTATTTATCGAGGCTACTCTTTCGAGGGAGGTAAGTGGATCTTTCCACACTTTCACGTCGTGGAACAAACGGTCGGGGCCAGAGGGACCTGTGGATTGAGCTGGTCAGTTTGTCTTCAGATTGGGTGCCGTCACTCAGGCAGTGGATGGTGGGAGGGCGAGAATGATACCTTCTGATTCTTAGGGGAGGAAGCCGGCTGTCCTTGCGTGGTTATCTACCACCTGCGCAGCGGAAAATCGCAGCGCCTGATCGTGGTGGCCTTTGGATTTGGAGAACTGGAAGGGGTTGTCGCAAGGGAAATGCTAGAAGATCGGATTCGCGACGGCGCGGGGCTTCTGTCAAGCTTAGGCTGCATCTGTTTTGGTACGGTTGCAGTACAGAGGAGGTTGTCGTATAGCTTCAAACCGCAAAGCTCGGACCACTTTGGAAATACACCGTATAACCATCCACCCCGCCCCATACTATATTACTAGGCTCTCTATATTCTCTAGAATTTTCAAGGCATTTACAGTGTATTGGTTGCTTACGTACGGCATATACGGCGCTTTAGGGCTAGTACGTATTTTGGTGGTTTTGTACGGTTCAATTGAAGTGTACGGTTTTTTTTCGCTACCTATATATAACTCTAACCCGGCTGACGCTAACCTGAGGGGGCCGCAAACAGTATTTCTACAAGTATATAGCAACCGACCAAATGATTACTATTTTACACGGTGATCGTACAGAAATGGTCGTGTAAGGCGAATTATACGGTAACCGTACTAAAACATATGCAGCCTTAGCGGTACTTGCTCGTGGGAAAGTGGGTGTGGGTGAACAAGGCAGTGTAGTTGTAAAGGTGAGGAAGCGTTAAAAATAGTACCTAGGAAGGAGACGAGGTAATTGAACTGTAGCAGTTTTCTGGCGGCAGGGAAGGAGAAGTTGCATGCCCTGGTAACAGTGGAAGCATTAGATGGAAGCCACGAAGCAGAAGAATTGCTGGAATATAACGGCAGGCACACAGGTTCGTTCAGTCCGCGGTAAACACGGCGGTAACATTCACTTGGACACCACGCTATTCCATCCCATCGTGCCCGGGCTCAGATTTGCACCAGATGTAGGAGTGTCCGGATCCATACTTTGAAATAGAAAGTGGAAGCGAATCTCGTTTAGCACCGAACGACACTGTATCTCGACAAGACTTTGGTTCGAAAGATTCCGTCCAAGGAAGGAAACCCTACGGCAACACTTCATGAAAGCCCACCTTGCCTTCGTGGGACATGAAAAGTAGGAGTGTATAGGACGTCACAGTTTCCTTGAAGCCGAAGTAATGCAACCACCCCAGTTCTCTGCACCGCACCTTCCTCATTCCCAACCCCCACTTTATTCTCTCTTGTTGAACCATGTACGGAAGGGAGTGATCACAGTGAACGACATTGTGGTAGTAAAAGTCTTACTTGATGGAGAGAAGAAGAGAAAGAGTGAGAATGAGGATGAAATCCGACTTATAGATAGGTTAGGTAGCCATATGTGGATCGTATCCACTGACCACTAGTGCCAAGAGAATGCCAAGAACTGGTGATGGCTTCAACATCTCTCTCATTACCACGGTCCTGATCCCCCTCATCACCTTATCGAGCGGGATGTCTCAATCCCCTTACCTTTCTACCTAGGTATCCCCACCAATTCCGTTTTCTTTACACCGCCTATCAAGTTGCTCCGTCATCAAGAAGGACATGCCAAGGAAAGACGTATGACCCTTGACCTCCCGTTCTTCAAGCGAGTATTCACACTTCAGGAAAATGGTATTCTCCAAATCCAAGAAGTCCATCCGAATGACTCAGTGGCGTAGTCCAACCTGTTTTAAACGTGGAGGCTTACAGGCCATTGTTCTCAACAAGCCATTGTTCTCAACAAGCCATTGCCTCAGCACGTACAAGCTTGTTGAGAGGCCGGGTCAAATCTTGCTGTAGGAGTGTTCAATAAGAGAGAGGTAGGTAATGTTGGAGGGCAGACGGTGCTCACTTCGGTGGGTGAATTTGAATCGTCCAATGCAAAGAAAGAAAATCTCGGAAGCAGAAGAGGTTTCGGGTAAGAGATCTCGGTATGGAGGGATTTGGGGCAGGCTGAAAAGGTCGAAGTCTCGGAGCAGAGGGCAGAGTCGAATGTTGGCACCGAGGGTTTTGGACATAAACTGGAGGAAGAGCCGACTTGATTTGATCTGGTGTAAACCTCGATGCTTGTCGTATCACCGGCTAGGTCTCCAAGACAGCGCTGCTAGTTTTAGCACCAAGAGCGTAGAAGTAATGTTGTATACTAGGATGCCGGAAAGTGGGACAAGGCCGAGACACACTCCGTGCCAAGACCGAGATTACACATGCGGATGTGGTCGAGATTCGGAGGGAAGTCGCAACCCAGCGGCCCACAGAAGAAACGGTATCCAGGACGATATTATGTTGATCGAAAATGGTGTATCAGGATGAGTATAAGGAAAAGATAAAGATGATTTGAAAAAAAAAAAAATTGCCAAGGCTGTCAATACACCTAGTCATCTAAGTGTATTTGAGCCGTGCCTAATATGCGAAAGATAATAACCTTCTATATGCCTTATAGGTCTCTAAATGCAGATCCAAAACAAAATGCCACCCTAGCCTCTCGATACGGGTTGTGCCAGGCCACCTCTATCGTATGACCGTTCTGTTCTCTGTGTCCGAAGAAACAACCCCGAAATATAACAGAAGACGCCAAAAGAACAATAAGGAAAAAGAAGAAAGAGGGAAGGAAAGGAAGAAAGGAAAAACCCAACGAGCAATCCACCAAACCCATCTACACCTCATCCTTATCACTCTCACTATCCTCCACGTCCTCCTCCCCACCACCACCGGCGGCAACCACCCTCCTCCTCCTCGCCTCCTCCTCTTCCATCTCCTTCCACGTCGACCAACTCAATAGTCCAAACGCCATCATGATAAACACCCCACCCAGCATCGACGCCCCGCTCAGCGGCTTGCCCGTCATGAACCAATCCGACATGGCCACGATGAAAATCGTCAACAGGCTCGCCACGGAGCTGAACACGGGACTCGTCAGAGAAATCAGCACCAGAAAGCTGCCCGCAAAGCTCATGTTCATGACAATACTCCAAAACAACAACCAGGCCGCCCTGCCCGTGGGGACTTCAAACGGTTCGATGCCCGTCCAGTGCAAGATGGGGATAGGAATCCACAGCACGAAAATGGTGAACACCCCGATCATACTTCCAAAGGTGTTCGCGAACGTGACGCTTCGGAAAGCTGAGGTGCCTTCAGGCGGACATGCGAAGCGTTTGTAGAGGACTTCGTAGAGGCCGTAGAGGACGGATCCGACGCCGATGATGATGTTGCCTAGGAAGCGGGTGCCGCCATTAATCTCGCCTGCGCCCGAATCGGGATTACCGTCGCCGTAAGCAACGATCAAAACACCGAGAATCGCAATGGCAACCGCGACGATCTTGCCCATGTGCAATCTTTCCTTAAGCAGCGGGATACTAAATGCGTACGCGAAAAAGGCACTGCAGTTGTAAATGGCCGTCAAGTCCGACGGGGTCGTCATGCTTACGGCCAAGTACCAGCTCAGTCCAGCAACGGTAAGTGCGCAAGTGACGCCTGCTGTGGTGTAGACTAGGTACCGCCATGGTGAGTTTGCTTGTTGTTGGTGGCCTCCTCCTCTCGATCTCCCTCTTCTTCTCCTCGGGGTTTGTACATCCAGCTTTTGGTGTTCCACCATGGATCCGACCACGCGAACTTCCCACAAGACTTGCCGCCAAAAGGGCCGCCAGGGAATTTCCCGCTTCAGTAACCGCAGGACAGCTAGTTGTAGGGGAAACAGGAAAACCCAGGAGCCGTGGGTTAGGTAGAGCATGCAGTAGGCCTTGTCCCATCCTAGATCGTGTTGGACAATGGAAGCGAGCTCCGTTTGCACGGTGAATGTCACCAGCGAGACGAGGAGGAAGAAGGCCGCTAGACGGTAGCGCAGAGTGGTGTCGAGGTGAAGGGCTTGCGCTGCGAGGGGGACGGGCGTGATGGAGCGGAGGGAGGTGGAGGTTGTACGGCGGGGGTTGGAGGGTCGACCGGAAGAGGAGAAAGGGGAGGGGTCGGCGGCTGAGGGGTCGAAGTTGGACTCGGAGTCGTAGAGAACGGGATGGTAGGGGGAGGGGGTACGCCGGCGGCCGCGGTCATCGTTGGAGTTGGCGTGCGGAAGAGAGGAGGAGGGGTCGAGAAGGGGGTGGGAGGAGTGCGTGTCGGGCGCCATGGTTGGGTGACGGTTGGGACGTTATTGTCGAGGGGCGATGGCGCATTGGAGGGTGTTGTGATGGGATTCGAGGTCGAGATCGGGTACTGGTTCCGAGTGGTGGTTCGCGATGTGTTCGTGGAGATGGCGACGGGAGAGGGTATGGAGTATTCTAATAACGAAGCGACGAGCAAAAGGGACGGCGAAAGCAGCGAGAGCGCGTCAGTGAGAAAGAGCAGATGGCCTTCGAGATGCTATTTAAATAAAAGCGACAGTAAATATACAAATCATCCGAAGAAAGGAGCCAAGGAGAAAAATAGGACAGCTGACTGTCCGAAATGACGGATGGTTTCGGTTGTACAGATCGATGGAGATGAAATCAGGGTTCGGGGAGATGGAAGTGGAAGGGAGAGAAGACGAAATGCGGGAAACGACGGCGGCATGTGCGCCTCCTTGCCAACTGAAACGTGGGGGATCTAGCCAACTCGCCAATGAGATGCGTCGATCTGAGATCTTGTGGGGAGCCAGTTCCTGCACAGGGCTGAAACGATCCACGCACGGGACTGCAGTGGGGGGCTATAGCGCGGTTACAGCGGACCAACGGGTTTTACAGCGGGTACCTCGCTAACAATTATTTTGTACATGACATCGTCACTCCGCCCTCGTCCGAGACAAATCGGATGAGACCAACCAACAGGTTAGGGAGACTGATCCCCTACCGCTCAAAATAATGGTATGATATATAGATGAAGACATAAGAAAGGGGAAAAATGGCCATTGCAAAACTGTGATAGACATAATAATAATTCGAAAAGACGTCGGCCAGCGTCCCATATGGATATTTTTATCTGTGAATTGCCTAGAACTCAAGATCAGACATGTAACAAAGACGCTTAGATGTATAGTGGCAGTACACCCAAGGTATAATGTCAAAGGTCTCAATTATTTTCTCCAGTACGAGATAAGGTATGTATCGGGCTAGATGGTGATCGATGTTGATAAGAAGAGGGGGCGTAAGGCCCAGAGATGAGAACTCTCGCTAGCTAGAAGTACTGATGACCAAAAAAAAGGCATGTTCCCTGTAGTGATTAGGCTGTTGGTATTGCGAAAATTGAAGACCAGAGGAGCCTCTCTAAACCTGCCGCATATAAATTCGTCGTGTCATCCATCAATCTCCTCATAAAAACCTAGACACACTCCTCCAATTGCTAGGGCGTCGGGGAGCACCATTGTCCAGCAGAAAGCGCAACGTCTTTTTGCCCTCAGTTGTCGAGGAATCGTGTGTTTGATTCGGCGGGGGCGGTCGTTCGGTTGCTGGGATTAAGAACCTCACTGACTTCTTCTTTTTCGAAAGGATGGAGGTGGTTGGTTCGTTGCCATCATCGGTTGTGGGGACTCCAGCGGCCAAGTCAATGTCATCTTGGTCGACACGCCGTCTATTGGCTAGGGGAGAACTATATCATTTTCTTCAGTAGCTGAGCAGAAAGAGGGTTTATGTCTGTTTCCATCGTTGGCCACCTGGAGGAAGGGCACACATACCCTTGGGAGTCCATTATGCTTTGACCGCGCCTGGCTTTTCTTCCGAGCAAGCCCCTTGAATACAAGGCAGAATGAAGAAAAGGAGACCGATGGTGCCCAACAGGGGAAACAATAAGAGCTTGTTTTCGAGAAACGGAACAACAAAAAAGATGAGCAACTCGCGAAGGATGCCGCCCGTGATTGGAAATACCACCACTCCAAGCTTCTTGGCGTTGAAAGACAAAATGGGGAGGGCGAAGAGAAGGAATAAAAAGACTCATGAATCCTGGGCTCTGGGAACGTGTGCTCGTTTCAGACGCATGTTGATATCTGTCCTTCATGTCTTGCATGTTTCCAACCGGCCATGGCTTCCCTCGGTGGCAAAGCCTCATGTGAAGGCATTTCGGGGACCAGAGACACTGCATCTCCGTGATCTCTAACTGCGTGATAAACAGCTCTGCGGTAGGTGCGGTAGGTTGATGACATTGGCCACAGAAAGGTTCTTCAGCGAGAGAGTGTCCACATAGCTTCAAGCGGCGGCATGCACAAAATATCGGACTTGCGAATATCTTCGGAGGGGGCGACAAGTGGCAGGCAGGTAAAATCACCCGCTTCGGCCGAAGAAGACACTGCAAGACGCAAATCGGGATGACAATATTCAATGCAGCAGTAGGTACGACATGTTGTTTTTTCCTTGTTATAGGAGAGGGATACCGCCTCATCACCTCTGGACATGTTCCTCATGGCCTTACAGTATCAAAATGCACAGCAGTTCTTTCATGGCCAAGCAACGAGTTGACGACAGTGCGCCGCTCATAGCACGCCTTTGACTGCGATGGGCGTGGATTGTCCGCAAGTCTATGTCTCATGAAAATGGTGAAGGCGCCTTCAGCTGTTTGCGCTTTGTTGTGGAAGTTGATGATTGGGATGAAGAGCCAGACTACTGAGCTCTGTTCGTGACTCCGTCATGCATCGCTTGAGAGTTGCACTATCACACTAACGTGTAATTCTGCAGGGAAGATGTTAGTCATGCCCAAATACGCTTCCAAGGCCTCGTTTGCTTAGCGCTTTGACGTTGGCTTCTCCGCTTTGTCACGTGAACTCAACTAGATTGCGGGCTTGGCACCCAGGCACTTTAACTGGATTCGCGTCAACCGCGTCGCCCGCCCGCAATCACCGCGTCCTTTTCGTGCCTCGATTTGCACCTCCAACCTCCTAGCCAACCACCACGACGAGGAAGAGTACTGATAGCTTGAACGAGGCAGTAATCAGATACAGCATTCCCTATTTGCTGCCTACCCTACTTACGGTAGCCATAATCAATTAGCAGCCGACTTCTGGTAGTCCATCAGCCCACTCACGTTTTGCTCAGCCCGTAGCGATTCTAGCTCCCCCTCAACCGCTGGGGACATTTGCCCTGCGCCCATCCATTGACATCAATCAAACTCAGATATGGTCAAGGAAAATGTCGGGGGAAACCCCGAACCGGGAATCTACAGCGCAACCTATAGCGGTGTACGTCTCTGCCTCTCTCTCTCCGTAGTCCCCTCCTCGTCGCTCGTTTGGCGCAGCATGTTGCTAACCGTGTGCTGTCATGGTTTGTAGATTCCAGTATGGGAGTATCAGTTTGGTGTCGATCTCAAGGAGCATGTGATGCGCCGTCGCCACGATGATTGGGTCAACGCTACACATATCCTCAAGGCTGCCGGCTTCGACAAGCCCGCCCGAACGAGAATCTTGGAGCGCGAGGTACAAAAAGACACCCACGAGAAGATTCAAGGCGGATACGGGAGATACCAGGGTGCGAAAATCATGTCAAGGTCTCTGTGAACCTCCTACCAATTGCTAATTATCCCTCTCGCCAGGCACTTGGATCCCCCTCGAACAGGCCGAAGCCCTCGCTCGCCGCAATAACATCTACGAACGGCTAAAACCCATCTTCGAGTTCCAACCGGGCAATGAAAGCCCTCCGCCTGCGCCTAGACACGCCAGCAAGCCAAAGGCCCCCAAGGTCAAGCCTGCTGTTCCGACATGGGGCAGTAAGTCGGCCAAGAACGCCAACCCCCCTCAGCCTGGCACCTTCTTACCACCCGGTCGCAAAGGTCTTCCCGCCCAAGCCCCAGACTACAACGATGCCGATACGCACATGCACGACGACGATACCCCCGACAACCTTACTGTGGCCTCGGCCTCCTACATGGCCGAGGACGACCGCTACGATCATTCACACTTCTCGACCGGGCACAGGAAACGGAAGCGAGACGAGTTGATAGAGGATATGACGGAACAGCAGCATGCAGTCTACGGTGACGAACTACTCGACTACTTTTTGCTCTCTAGAAACGAGCAGCCGGCCGTGCGACCCGACCCTCCTCCCAATTTCAAGCCCGACTGGCCCATCGATAACGAGCGTCACACATGTCTTCATTGGGCCTCTGCCATGGGCGATGTCGATGTCATGAGGCAGTTGAAGAAGTTTGGAGCTAGCTTGGACGCACAAAACGTACGAGGAGAGACACCGTTTATGCGAGCGGTGAACTTCACCAACTGCTTCGAGAAACAGACCTTTCCGCAGGTTATGAAGGAGCTCTTCTCCACCATTGATTGCCGGGATCTGTCAGGTTGCACAGTTATACACCACGCTGCTGTCATGAAGATTGGGCGTGTCAACAGCCAGTCGTGCTCGCGGTACTACCTAGACATCATCCTTAATAGGCTGCAGGAGACACACCACCCCGAGTTCGTACAACAGCTTCTAGACGCCCAGGACAACGATGGTAACACGGCTGTCCACCTCGCCGCCATGCGCGATGCCCGAAAATGTGTCAGGGCCCTCCTCGGCCGTGGTGCCAGCACCGACATCCCGAACAAGCAAGGCATACGTGCCGAAGAGCTGATAAAAGAGCTCAATGCCTCCATCTCCAAATCCCGCTCCAATCTGCCGCAACGATCCTCTAGCCCATTTGCTCCCGATACCCAACGCCATGATGCCTTCCACGAAGCCATCTCCGAGTCCATGGTCACGAGCCGCAAGAACTCACAGCCGAACTACAGCAGCGACGCGGCCAACACGGTGCAAAATCGTATCACGCCCTTGGTCCTCCAGAAGCTCAAGGACCTCACCGCCACCTATGACAGTGAGTTCAAGGAGAAAGACGATGCCGAGAAGGAAGCCCGGCGCATTCTCAACAAGACCCAGTCCGAGCTCAAAGCCCTCACCGCCTCCATCGACGACTACAACTCCCGCCTCGACACGGACGACGTAGCCGCCAAGACGGCCGCGGAGATGGCCACGGCGCGACATAAGGTGTTGGCGTTCGTGACGCACCAGAACCGCATATCCGTGCAGGAGGCCGTGAAACAAGAGTTGGCCGCACTGGACCGTGCAAATGCAGTCACGAACGGCACCTCGACCAAATTAAAGTCATCTCCATCTAAGAAACCCAAACTCTCCCCCACACCAGACCAAAAGGACAAACCGCCCAAGGACGAAAACGAAACCGAGTCAGAAGCCGAACACCCAGAACCCCCCGCCGCAGCACAACATCATCAACAACCAGGCCCCTCCCCCAAGACACCGAAGTCGAAGACCAAGACCAGGAAGAGGAGGAGGACGACTACACCCACCGTCTCTCTCTCGCCGCCGAGCTGCGGTCCATCCTCCAAGAACAACGCTCGGCAGAAAACGACTACGTCGAAGCCCGCGGCATGCTAGGCACAGGCGAGCGCATCGACAAGTACAAGCATCTCCTCATGTCGTGTCTGCCGCCGGATGAGCAAGAGAACCTCGAGGAAAACCTAGAGGAGATGATCAAGTTGATGGAGCAGGAGGATGAGAGTGTTACTGACCTGCCTGCTGGTGCCGTGGGTGGCGGCGGGGGGAATGCTGCTGACGGTTCCGGCGGAGGAGGTCAACCAAGTAATGGGAGGAGGGAGAGCGTGTTGCCTGCGCTGAGGGGTGGGAATGGAGATGGGGAGATGTCGAGGAGAGGGAGCAGGACCGCTGCTGCTGCCGCCGCCCAGGTGGATGGGGAAAGGGAGATTAATGGTCGAGCTGGAGCGGAAAGAACGGAACGAATCCAAGAAATCGCGGCTGTTTAGAACGTGGACGCGATGAATCTGGCTGGGGGGTGGTGGCAGGGACCGCAGGGACCGCACGTCCCGCAGTGGGGATATGATGGATATGGATACGGATATGGTATGATGCAGACGGATTCCGGTTTGACAAGTCAGGTATGTACGATGCATGAGGTAGAGGGAGGCATCGCAAGTCTGGTGTGGCATGGTGACTCGGGAAGAAACGGGAGCGGCAAAAGATGGATCGCAGGAGAAAGTGGATATGCGGAGCTACTCCCGCGAGTGAAGGAGGAGGAAGAGCATGAAGAAGAAGTACATGGAGAGGAGGAGGGTCAAGTTTTGCCTAGGTTGCCTCCTATTAAGAGTTGGTTTAGGGATTAGAAAACTTGTGGTGTGTTTTTTTGGCCCCTTCTTGTTGGGGGTTTCACTTTCTTGCTTCCTACCTATCATTGGCTTCAATGGTTTTGCTTGCTTGCACGCTATGGTTCATGGGTGGTTGGCTGGTTGGATCGATCTTGCTGTTGGTTCATAGGTACTCTTGACTCTAGCTTTTGCTTCTTCAAACTTGAAACGGGCTGTTGTGGCATAGATAGTAAAAAGGAACGGTGTAGATGGTACGTCGGTATTGAAATGGCGGAGAGAAAAGGAAAATAAGCGTAAGGGACGCTCAGGGAGATAGAGCAAGGGCAATACCACGAATATCACAGGTGAGGTGTGGCCTTGGGCTCTACAAGCGATACACAAAAGGCGTACTGGGTTCATATTTGTGTAGGTACATACTTGTTTTGTATTGTATTGTGTTGTGTTCATGGCCTCAATCTTAACGGTATTCCTAGGTATGCACTCGTCTACCTAGCAAAAAGTCAGTGCAATTCTTTTACTTGAAGATCCCTATATCTAGTACCTTCCATATCACCTTGGTCGGCAGCAGAGGACCGCACGGGCGGTGTTCATCGTCTGCCGTCTGGAGGTACCCGTTTCTTCTAGCAGTAGGTAGGTACCTAGCTCACTTGGAATTTCGACGGTGTAAATCAATAGTAGGTAGAGATAGTATCGAACTATACAAGTGTAGGTATCGGCGGCAAAATCACGATAAAGGACACAAAACCCCTACACACAAGCCTATCTTATCTAGGTACTTAATTCTCAAATAATCAAGGTACCTTACCTAACTAGGTAGGTAGAGGTACCTACCTTTGCCGCTTCCACTGCACATACCTACTTGTGTCCCTTTTCCTTGTTCTCCCGTAGGTACGACTAGGTAGCTACCATACCCCAGGTAACAATCTTTGACACTCGGTACCTCGGATTTAGAATATCGACATCGATCCTTGGTAGCTTACCTAGGTACCTCTAGGTACCTAGCTCCGCCCGTTCTTTCTGCAAACCGCAGTCCGCAGTTCGGTCCGCAGTCCGCAGTTCGGTCCGCAGTCCGCCTTTACCGCCCCCCTTACGTCCGTCCGCTGTTAATGCAATGCCTTCGGCAAGCTGTGTGGTGTGCGGTGGTGTGCGTAATCTATAATGCTGGTCTGGTAATTCTTGCGCGTTACCGGGTATAGGTAGTCAACAACTAACCAAGTTTCGGTCCCTTCATTTTCGGCTAGACTCCGTTCCTTAAGGAACATGAATCGACGGATTGAAGTTTTATCTCTCCGTCGGCAAGTTGGTGTATCACTATTACATCGATTCAGTCCTTTCCAAGATGGTGGCACCCGTTCCGTTGGTAGGTACGGTAGGTACTAGTAACCGCACTTCTTCGCATTACTGTGGTAGTGGGCTACAACCGTTACGAGGTAATGTCCCGAGTTATGGACGCCGGACCGGTGGTGTTAACTCAAATTTGCTATTTTTATTTCTCGCCTTTATCTTTTTCTTTGTTTCTTTTTTTCAGTGTCGAGAGGTAGGTACTAAGTATATCAGTACTGTAATCCTTTAAAATGTATCAGATTGGAGCTATCACCAGTCTTTAGCATTCTCTTGGCACAGGTGGATACGATCCCCATATAGGTGTGTAGCTATCCTATATATAAGTTGGACTTTAGAGGTATTCTCCTTCTTCATTTTTCCCTCCTCCTCCTCTCTCATCAATAAAGACTTTCACTACTATGATGTCGTTCACCGTGATCACTCCCTGCCGTATGGTTCAACACGTCATATACATAATGCCCCTTCCTAATCCCCCCCTGGTAGATAGATTAACGATATCCTTCATTCCTTCCAATTTCCAGAATGCCTCCCTCGGTTAATCGGTTTATCCACAGGGCTGGGCTGACAGTCTAACCAAGCATTCCTTCCAATCCTCCCCGTCCCCGACTTCCCGTGCGGGAGAGCGTAAGCTGCATAGCATAATCTGCACGGGGCTTCTGGAAGAATGTGAGTGATGTGGGGAAAGGGGTAAGATTTTGTCAGAAGGGTTGATAAGTCCGAGACCGAACGCTATCGGAGTTTGAGCTTTGATACATCATATAGGAATGAATGACGACAACTAGGAAGTATCTGTGATGGAATTCCTTTTTTCTTCTTTTTACACCGATACAAGCCTCATGTATCATTAGGTATGAAAGATGGGGAAGGGGTCGAAGAGGAGTGTTCCCATCATCTGTCAGATCCATGATGCATTTCGAATTCGGCATCCAGCTTCAACCCTAACATCCATCTTGGAGGTACCATTTTGTCCTCACACTGAACAGGAACAAGCAAGTCCCATCACATATGCGCATGCAATATGGCCATCATTTAGAATGGGCGGCTTTTCCATAGGGCTGAATCTTTGACGTTTTGGGCTTACACTACATGTACATACCCCACGTGGGCGCTGAGACTGATCGGCCAGTCAACTGTCAACAGGGTTACATTGTACTCGCTCGCGGAGAATGCCTCACCTTGTCTATCTAATTTGTGGGACTGGGTGATTTGGGTTGAGACCTTGAATAGAAAAAAACAAGATGCAGTGGATCGACATCCGACATGGTAACGAGAAGCAGTAGTCCGGGACTGGAATCATGGAAAAGATGCGGTGCATAGAGGATTGAATGATACAACCAAGGCCTTATCGGCATCGACAACTAAACATTTGGGACTTGAAGATACCCTTGGAGATGTAAAACTTCCTTTTGTCTGGAGTAAGGTATAGTGAGTGAAGGGCTGAAATTAGACGTTGAAAGCCGGATAGTAACAAGAAAAAGGGTATTGCAAAGAATAGCGAACAGGATTGGAACTGGGGAACCATCACCGACTTGTATCCAAGACCTTTTGCGCGGAAAAGGGAGAAAAGAGACAAAGATCTATTGCAAAGAAACAGGTCATGACATCGTTCACCACACCTCTTGAACCCTCTACCACACTACCACACAATGAAACAACCCCCACTCCATGGCGCCGTGAATCGTTGGGCGAACTCCCCCACTAAGATAACAATGCATAAGAGAACCAATGATGCTGATGTTCCCAAAGAACTTCATCAAACGCCTGTATGCAGTCCATACCGTACTCAACCTATGGGAGGTGCAGCATAGACCCGGAAGCAAATTGCCCCACCGAGCGCTGGATACATGTGTGTGTGCTTTCTTTGTGCTTGGATGCCTGCAGTGCAATGCATGGCGGCTGAGGCTCGAGTCACCTCCAAAACCTAAAAGGGACTTCCTTGGTGTGGGCTTCCCGGTGAGCCCTTGAACAAGGGCTAATATCGTCGATCCTCGAGTGGTACATTTGGACCATAGAATCCGCCTTCATTTCCCAAACATGCGAGACAGACACCCCCACCATACACCTGTGTGTGTCGTTGCCAACCGTGCCCATCCTCATTGATAACAGAGATGATTTCCCCATGAACCTCGGTCTCATTCTGGTGCCGATTGCCGACTGACGCGCGATGTCCCATATGTCCTCCAACGAACTGATAGTCTTGGGAAACTGGTGGAGGTCGCGGGAATAGTGGTGATGGTGGCAGATCGCTGGATGGATGAAATACTGACGAAGATGTTACAGTAGTTCCCCTTGATGAAGAAGAGCTGCTGCTGGGTATAGGTACACCAACTGGCACACTCTTTGTGTATGATCTTCGACGCGGTATCGCCGCCGCCTCGGCAGGAATCGAGCTGGGGATGTCAAAAGACGAGGTGTGGCCGATGTGGTTCGGATTGGGCTGATGGATAAAGCTTCCGTCCAACCCTGGTGGAATTAATACCACAGATGTGGGCTGACGGTTCTGAAAGGCAAAGGCCGTCTTGTCCAGGGTTGGCGGTGTCAGAGGTGGTGGAGGTGGAGGCGTTGTAAAGTGTAGTCTAGGCTCACCAACAGACACACCGTGCAATTCGTCATTTTCCCTCTGAGCAGTTGATATCCCGAACCCATCGATCTGACGGGATTGTGTATGCAGACGTTTTGTTCCCCTCCCCTCTTCCCTACTCGTTAAATCTGGGCTGGTTGTTCTATCGGTACTGGTAAAGGTCCTGGAAGGTGGCATATGTCCTTGAAGCTGATCGAGAGTAGAACTCGAACTTGAACTTGAGGATGTCATGGGCTTCTGGCTGGTGCCACGTGATGCTGTTGCTTCGCGATCACTTCGATGGCTGTGTTGATTGTTCTGATCGCCATCCATTTTCTGTGGATGCCTAGACGGGTGCGGGACTCTGGTGTATGCACTTGAAAGTGAACGTGACAGTTTATGCATCGAGGTGGGCGTGGCGAGGACTAGGTTTTGACTGAACCTCTTTGGATGTGATCCTTCCGTGAGCTCTGCCCTAACTAGCTTTGCACGACCCGATGATGCCTTGATTTCTTTGACCTCTGGTTGGCTCCCGCAATTCGCCGAACTGGATGTTGATGATCTTCGTCGGGGGTTGACACACCAAATGGTGACGATGATCAGAGTGACAGCAATGCCCAAATATGCATGGACAGCAAAGAATCGCGGATGATGCTGATGCGCAGGACGTGGCTCCAGCTGCGTGCTACTACCAGCAGGGAGATTGATGGTGGGCATGCCTACAGTGTCTCTTATTGACAGACACTTCGAAGGATTACCCGATGTAAGCGCAGCTATGCCCACTGTAGTTCAGACTCGGTGGTTGGCTAGCTGTCGCCTACCGTGAATGCGCCAGGTACATGTAAGACGTCCACCTAGCCTAGATACCGCTGTTAGCAATCCATCTTGAGCTGGCCAAAGCCGTTTTGACAACCACGTACCTATTGGTGCGCTATCCAAGAAGAGACTGCCACCTTTTTGACTCGGAACACCACAACCTAGGTCCTCCTATACCCAGGATCACAGTGGATGTCTTTGCAGGGACGAGCTGGAGAAATCCGAGAAAGACAGAGGAGATGACGTGTGCCAGCAGGACGAGACAGGCTTCCACTCATATCCAAAGCCCGTACTGGAGCTCAAAGGCAGGCTGGAGAAGACTCGAAACGCACAGGTTACCGAAAGATGAGGACTTGAAAATTGAGTTGACGGGCGATCATGGCGTCTTATAAGGTTTGGCATGCTTGTGCTTGCCTCGGTCCTTTTTCTGACGGACAGGGAATTCCTGCAAGTTTGCACCTGGGAGGAATGTCATGGAAAGTGCGTGGAGGTGTAACGCCAAAGGAATACTCTCCGGAAAAAGAGTAATGTCTGAAGAGAAAACATGGGTCGGAAACGAGGGGCATCTCATCTCAGCAGGGGCTGGATCGCACTAACGAAGAAGGGTTAATTAGGCATCGGAGGATGGTCAGCATCCTCGAGGTTCCTTGGATAGGACAAGGGTCGAGGCAACGGGCGGCCAAACTCAAACCTCCGATTTCGACCGTGTCTCGGGCTTTGGGCGAGTCGGTGGTTAAGGCGAAGAGACGTGCATGAGCTATCTGGCGAGACGAGCAGACAGGCCGTGATATGTCGACTAGCCGGCTTTTGCAACTTTGTGGTACGCGGCAAGCAGGCGTCCTTCTGTGATGGGCGGCAAATTCTCCCAGCCCTATCAGCCCTTTGTCGCTTGCTCGAGAGACGGATTCACTTTGACATAGATTAAGCACCTGGGATCCATGTGAACAATCGATGCAAGGACATCTGACGACGGAGTAGCGTGATTGGATCAGACTTTGCGAGGTCAAAGTCCCGAGACATGTGGTCCATCGTCATTCCAGCTTGTCCGGCATGTCCCATGCTTCATTGGGTCCTGCTGTGGAGTTCAGCCCTGACGATAATGGGTGACAGTGGAAGCGATTCGATGCCGAGGCCAGACAGGGCTTGATGTCCAGGGATCGCTTGGTGTTTTGCTTGACTACACTTGGAAGACCAGTTGGCATAAACGTTAGCTGGGTACTCCTGGCACGCCGGACGAGATGTCCCCAACCTTTCCAGGACTCAATGAATGGCCAAGAACAAATCCGAAAGGCACCAATACGGTGTATTTGAATTCTGGAAGAGCTTACTCATAGTATGAAAACGCCTCGGCAAGTTGACCCGAGGACTCAAGCTAACCATCAAACCAGCATTGGACCGTATTAAAAGAATGCGGGGGTTTCAGTAGGTCGCCGATTGTCAAGCCTTGATGGCACCGTAACAGTGCGTGTTAGGCGACAGTTTGGTGTTGATGGAACCCACCGAACAGCGGTTCAGCTGCAGTGACAGTACAGCGCCTGAACATCACTGTGTCCAGTGCACCAATCCCCTGTCTTGGTAGCCCTATGAGCCGCCACAGACGTCTGTCTGCAGTAGCACATTTGACACGCCCATTCAGTGTTCCCAGATTGGCATTGGTTGTTGCATGTGTTGCCCCCTCGTGAGACCTTGTTATCGACTGATGGGTACTTGGGCCGATTCGCCTTGCTGACTCCGAAGCGCGTGGGTCATTGGGTCGGCGGCCACACTAATGTACAACCAGTTTGTTGGTAAGAGACAGGGCACTAGACGCCAACCGATCTTTGCATACAGTGGATGTGGCAGGATGGAGTAAGACGGGAGATTCGAGTACGACAGCCAGTGATAAACCCTTGACTGTTCCTGGTCATGCAGCCCTGTGGTGCCTTGTTACCATCTGCGGTACGCGAAACGGCTCGGATGAAGTTCTGGGAGCGGTGGTTGGGTCGGGGGCCCTAAAAGGCGCTACTACAACTCAAGGAGACGTAACGCGAGGAGGGACTGGGTCATCGTTCGTACAGAATGCAAAGTATCATCTTGGATAGGCGCGTGGCGGCTGATGGGAGCGCACCTCTGCTTGGAATTGAAGTCGTGGGTTCAGCTCGGATGGTCGTGTCTAGCAGGGCTGTGAAGAGGGATCTTTGCGATTACGACGATGGATTGGAAGTTGAAGGACCCAACTTAATGGAAAGGGAAAAGCGGACGATGTGATCTTGGATTTGCCAAGCTTGAATGGTTGGGATCTTGGTTTGGTGTTCTGGAGGATCATGTGGAAGGAAGCCACTGAACACCGACTGCAGGCAGAAGTGAGAAGTGGGAGGAGACGGTCCGACCTCGGTGGGGCCCGGGCCCGATTGAAAACAAAAAAGAGGGGCTCTTTCCCAACCTCAGTGGGGCTAATTAGCCCACGGATGCTCCTTCCTATGAGCCACCACCACCACACTCGGACACTCGTGATCATCGTGTTGTTTCTCGTCAGGCGGCCGGCGGTGAGCTGGTCGAGTAGAGGTTGGACCTGAGCCACATCGTTGCTCCTCCTCAAATTGGCATACAGAATGTAATTGGTCAAGGTACCTAGGTAGGTAGCGTAGAGGAAACGGAAAATGAAAGGGCTGGTCTTGACCCTTCCGCTACTGAAAGAACCAACTTTCAGCTGCTCTGATGAGGCTAATAGAGGGCTTTCGTCAATCACACACATGTCGTATTTCCTCTTCAAACTGATCTTGATTCAAGAAGAACGGCCCCCACCGACATTTTCAGGTACCGTGCTTCCGCGTGTCAGTGGTGTAGATCTCCTTTCAGGTCGGAAGCATCCGTGGGAGGCCTTTGACTTGGCAGCTGAACAACGTATTCCAGCCGCACAATCTGGGAACAAAAGTCGCCACCATAGAGTGTATTTTTGGACATCAAACAAGCGGTCTAACGTTACTTTGAACAACAAGAACGATCGGGAGACAGATACACAATGTTTGCTGTGGTCGTCATGACAGGAGCTGGTGGTTCGTCTCTTGGTAAGGTGGTGGTGGTGCCTGCTTTGCTTTTTCTTGCGGGTTAAAAGCGCCCCCGTAACGGTCAATGTGCCCCACCCACATTGCGCCATTCCGCCTGCAGCCCTCCCAGGCGCTCCTTCCATCTCAAACAGCTTAGGTACGTGGAGGTGTCCAAGATCTCCACGTCTTCTCACCGATCATTCAACTTCAATTATTCTAATCAACCGATGTCATTAGGTTGGCTACCTTTGTCGGTGCTTGCTAAAGTCACATTTCAATTCACAAGTGACAGTTCACCACATCGAGACCCCGCGGCACCCGAGCCAACAACAGCGAAAACATGATGCTATCAGATGCTGACCTTGGCGCTCGTCTATGTCGCTTACCCTGCAGACGGCCGCGTCGCTTCGGTCGGGTACGAATCCTGATTTTACCTACCCGTGTCCCCTTTTTTCCTTTCTTTTCGTGGTTCCGACGATCCAAGTTCTGGCAACGGCTCGACACCCTCTTCACCATCCTTCAGCCCTATGAGACACGTCTTGACTACATCCGGGCCTGATGTCTTGTTTGGTACCTTGATACCATTGGATACTAAATACGTTGTATTCTGCTTGCCATGCCATCAAACACTCCTCTCTCCAAACCCGTGACTGCGATTTGCTGCGACACATGTTCGTCGTCACCGAGAAGGACCAAAAGCCGACCCTTCACCCAAAGTCCAGCTCGACCAGGATCCGGTAACGTGAATGTCCCACAATTGAAGACTCGTGGTCCAAATGACGGACGGAGAATGATGTCGTTGCCTGCTGACCCTTCGACAGTTCTTCCAGTCTGCCACAGTGGGGTATCCACCAAATTACAGGGCCCGTCCCCGCCATCTCCAGGGTCACCTCCACGGATCCTCGTCCAACACCAAATCTCCTTTCTGCGAATGCCCACGTAACCATCCAAGCATCTTCACTACTCAACCTCCACCGAGACACGTAATACGGTCCGTCAGGTGTTTGGGGATAAAAATGGATAATTGGATCAAACCATCTCGAATATCTGTTAGGGACACCGCTCCCACTTCGACACCTCGCCTCCAAGCTACATCCCGCTGCGTGGAAGCGGCGCTTGACGATGCGGATATAGAGGCATCCCCGCCGTCGTTGCAACGTGCTGTTTAGCGCCTATACACTGTATCCTTCCCGATTCGGTATTCCCTATCCGAATTGGCGGGTGCCCATTGGTCAAATCCAAGCATTTCGTACCCAACCGAAAGGCTTGGAGCATGGCAAGGCACAACAGCGCTGTAGACCGTGAATTCAGCGCCTTCCGACCAGTGGACGCAACAACAACAATACCAAGCCGCGGACCACATGGACCACATACATGGCTGGGGAAACTTTTGATATGGCTTCATACTGAAGACAAGTCATGACTGGGTAGGATACGATATGGGGGTGTGATTCCTCACGGGAAAATCAGGACGGTACGTACCTTGACCGACAACTTGTCCAGCTGAGTTCAGCTGGGGGCAACATGAGGCTGGAGTTTGCCTCCAGCTCATATACACTAAATTCACGGGACATTGAGGCTGCGCAGCCAGAGATTGCGCATACCATCGTATTGCCTAGAAGTATTCACTGACCATCAGGCAGCAGGGAAGTGGAATTGACAACTCCAACAATGTCCATCAACACGAACCATTGCGTTCCGATCGTCCTGCTACAATAGCAATCTGGCAGAGCCGCATACTTCTCGTCCCTGTCGAGCTACACAACACCCGGCAGCTCAGTCAGCGATGACTATGCCCATTCCCCCCGCCGCAATGTGGCTCAGAATCAGAACCCGCTCTCGTCATCAGGATACGGTTCAGCTACCCTCCGACCGCCGGTCTGAGACTACGTTCATCATATTCTCCGGATCGTATCTCCAACAAATGGCGCCCAAGAGTCACGATACGGGGTGTAGTTACTTCATATGCTTTCAATGAGCCACAGAGCGGTCAAGCAATGTATTTGGCTTTCTTCGAGATGAAGCACCTATTACAGGCAAGGTCCTCGACGTTACGACAAGCCATCCCATCGTCACAGACATTCTAGCCATGCATGAAGTCCCAACAAAACCAAGATAGCATCTGTTCTTCACAAACTCGAGTGCCGAGTCCTGATAATGCATAACCAGCTGTTACAGTGTCGGATGGGTATTCGTGGCACTAAGAATGGGACCCACACCATCATGCGCATAGGGCTCAAGGCAACTTGGACCAGATCCCTTGAATATGCGCTTCTCTTCTCTGCTTGGTCGGAAAACGAACTCATAGTCGAGCTTCGCACTTCTTCGTCTGGTAGCCAGTGGTTCCGTCGAATAGCGAACGAGTTGCGTCCATTATCATGACCCAACCACCCGTGACGAATGAAACCCAATCTCCGTCTCGCTCATACGACCTTCGACCGCCCCTTTCACTACACCTAACCCAAGAAAGTTCGCGCATTGGTACCCTTTGGGCAGCACTCGCCTCACTTTCGGGTAGCACTAGAGATTACCCAGATGTTCAAGTACGGCACGGTGGTTAGTACTCCGGCGGCTATGTAACTATGCGGCGCTAGGTTTCCGATTGCGGCCGCTTAATCCCGGGACCGACTGCGCTCCTACCACATAGAACCGCACATGTGTTGTTACAGCTCAAGCAAGCGCTTACACAACGGTAGGTTTTGACAGATGGATGGGTATAAGGCTCTGGGTCTGCTACTCTGGCGTAGCTTGATTTCTAAGCATTAATTGACACTCATACGGCGTACAGACTTCACCTGACATGCTTTCTTTTCGCATTATTATCATGGATGACTAAACAACGGAAGATAAGCATGGCAAGTCTTAGCGTCGAGTCAGCAAAGGCTTGATCATGTGTGTGATCAGTGATCTCGATGAGTGACTGATCACTGGATCAGAAGGGCGATGAAAGAGATGGAGGTGATAGGCTGAAATCCGCTTCTTGGGCTCTGGGCTTCCAATGTCATGCTGTTTACAGCCAGCCTCACGGTTACCGCTATGAAAGCCGACCACCAAATGGATCTCCAGTGGGATCTTGGTCCCAGCCATTGCTGACCTAGAGTTCTCGAGCGATACTTCCTAATTCGGTCAGCATTGCGGTGCTATCCAGATCAAGGATTGGAAGACAAATGCTACATATACGACTAACTGACCAGCTCATTGGGCGTGTCATGTACCTGGTTTAAACGTCCACTTCGTGGTTGGCTATCAGTAAGTATACGCGGGTTATTATAAACATATAGTTGTTGTGAAAGGATATGTTGCCTGTCGAACAATTGAGAGGACAGTGTCTACCTACCTCCCAAATGACTTCAAGGGCGTTAAGCTCCTTCCATTCCTTACTCTCTTGTCTTTACGCTTCGAACCTTTCTATAATGTTTTCACATCAAAAGTAACCGTCAGATAATCGGAGTGAAAGCTGACATCACTCGAGGTGGTTGCTATTTGCACCCAGCGCTCGGCAGACCTCGCTTTTTTTTCAGCATGCTATTACGATCATTGATGATAAAGTAGTAGAAGAGCGTCAGCCTTGCCGGGCTTCTTCACTTTAGCTTACAACTCCCTCCTCAACGTTCTCTCTCCTTAATCCAGTTCAGTTTGTCTTTTTCTCTTCCTCCTTCTCCTTCTTCTCTCTCCTTCCCTTCTTTACTACTTTACAAGCTTCCCACCCCGGATTATTAGACCACCACCAACGAACTAGCACTCTTCATCCTAACGAAAGTCCAAGAAGAATCTTTCGGTTCGGTGCTAAAAGGACTTGGGATATCTTGTCCCCGACAAGAATTTATGAGTGTTGTCTAGGTAATATCGACATCCCTCGTAAATAAGGGCTTTCTACGCCCTTCGCGCATTTTCACAATTAGAGGTAGCTACAAGTATTTTGAGTGTAATGTAAACTAAAAATTCACGGTCTTATTACTTCCTATCTCCCTACAACACATCTCAAACCTAACCATCCACCGCCTACCTACTTTCCAGCCTTCGCAAGATTTCCTACCTACTCTCAACCATTACTTGTTTTTAACCCACACCCTTCTGAACCGATCAAACACCCAAATTCGGTTATCTCTACATGACTTGCACGGGATAGACGCAGAGTTACGCTGAAGAAGGCCATGGAGTGCCGCACCCGGCGGGGATATACGGGCATTGGGAGTGTGGGAGTTCGAGGTAGAGATTTGGCTGCTTGTAGTGCTGCCTCTAGTAAGGGTGTGTCCGCAGAGGAAAGTGATGGTGATTTGACGAATGGGGATAGCGTTTGGGATAGCGTTGGTGGACATTTTTGTAGACTTGTGGTTGGAAATCGGGGTGATCTGGGAGTTTGGAACCGAAGAGTTGACGGGACAATGGTTCTCGAACAGGGCCTAGCTAAAAGAAAGGTTCTGTTGGGGTTTATATAAAAGTCGATAGAGATAGAAGTTTAGTGTTTGGCTTCCAGATCCACTTTCGAGAACATGGAGAGTTGTATAATGATGATGCATCATAAGCTGGAGATGCAAGGAGTGACCAAACTGGCGTCTCCTAAACACCTTACCTTCCGAGTCTCGATACAACCAGATTGGACACTAGGGTGATGTTGCAACTTACCTACTTCGAAGAGCAAAACTTCACAATCTCAAGTTGAGATCACCATCCTACCACGAGACTGTTGCTAAACCTGAAAGGTACTTCCTTCGGGTGCTCTGAGCCACTCTAACGTTGTTTGCTCAACCATTGCTTAGGTGGTCATTGAAAGGTCATTGAAAGAGTTCAATTATCGATGCATGCGCGGCAAAGTTCCCGGCGTAATGAGAGAATGAAAGTAATAGCGAAGTGATAAAGGCTGGTCACCATGAGCGCGACGCTGAGTGAGGTACGGCCATATGTTTTTGAAAAGTGAGTTGACCGGCACTCAATGCTTGACTGAAAGGGCACTTGATAGTAGGCACATGTGTTCTATGTGTAAGATACCAAAAAGAAAGAAAGAAGCAAAAAAAAAATACAGGTGGTTTTGTGTGTCTATGTACGGTACCTCTAGAGATGGAAGGTGCGGACTTGCTTGGCTCTGTAGAGGTACGGTTGGTCTGCGGACGGTTTGATGAGGAAGGGATAGCGGAAGCTACAAGGTTTTGGGAGCTGCCTGGATCCTATAATGTCGAAAACGATGTTGCAGTTGCTGTCTACTTGGTTTCTGGACTCTCGGTGAGCAAAAGATTTTGTTCCGGAGTCGGAAGATTGAACGGCAAATTTCTGCGTTATAGATTCTATTTAGAGAACACCTTCAAGCTTTTTCTAAGATGAACGGTCAAATAGTTCATGATGGTAGGTACATTTCTGTATTGGCTATCGTTGATTACCGAACTATAGAGGCAGTGTACCGCAACGTCACGAAATTTCCAGCCCCTTCTCTACGCAGTACGCTGATTCTCGGTCATGTATTCTTCACATTTTGCCCAGTTCTTTTCCTTGAAGCGGGTGGTCAGACTATCTCAAGCTACCCCAAGGTACCCTGGTCTCAGTGGGTTCGAACCTCACTACTTCCCTAAATTCTCCTATCAACATAGTCTTCTGACGGCACAGAACATGGACAATCGCCATATCTGTTATATACCCGTACTGTGAGGGCAGCATGGCAGAACGACCTTTAGCCAGCTGAAGCGTTTAGCTGATAGTAAAGTTGAGATGGAATGTGAGGGCTGGAAGGCTCGAGATACATGACTGTACCTCTACGTGGCATGTTTGGGCCGTGTCTGGAACCAATTGTCCAGGTCTGAGGCAGTGAACAAACGATTGTAGCGGCCCAGACTCTTGACCGCTCAACTCCAAGGGTATTTCTAACTACCTATTTACCTCTACATGTACCTCTAGTCACCTGCAGTTGTAGGCACGGATAATAAGAAGGGCGAAGTTGGAAGTCCGTGCCCTAGCTGCCCAAGGCAAGGTAGAGGTACCTAGAGGTATTCACTGAGGTGGGCTTCCTATTCAGCGGCATTTTATTGCCGGTACTTCCACTTTGGCTGCCTGCGGCTTTTCTCCTACTTTCCTCTTCCGTTCGTGCGCGAGGATCAAGAACTTTTCTTACACGCGTCTTCACCTTCAACAAACGACCACTAAAACTACACTCACATACAAGCCCCTCAACTAAATTCGTACTTGCAGGACGTAGACTTCTTGTGCTCGTTTCTCCTGGTCACTATCTTCCACCAGTAACAACTTCTTTACACGCATTTGGTCTGTCTGCGGCATCAACAGCGATTCAGTCTTCTCGTCCGCGCAAAGAAATCAGCCGCGACACTGAAATATCAGTAATCACTGCCCGGCCTGGCACTAACCAGAACATCGTCACCCACTCGCTGGTCATCTGTCTGAGGCGTAGTCTCCATACCTTATACAACTTCCTAGAGGTATGCCTCCACACGCCTCCATTTTTCTACATCTACCTCTACTGACCACTAGTTCTCTAGTCACCTCTAGCCGCCAGCCACTCTGGTCACCTCAACTTCAAACCTCAAAACTCAAATTCTCCCATCTTGGTCACCACTCACCCAAACCCCACAACCTCAACTCCTCAACCTACAACCCCCTCAGCCCTAACCCACCGCCAAAGATGTCCTGGGGCCCCAACGCCAGAAACCCCAACAACCTCATGCCCAGGGGAGCCCGTGACTACGACCCCATTGGTCCCCTCCACTACGTCTGCGGCCACCTCTGCGCAGTTGGCACCCAGCTGTTCACCAAGCCCGGCGACAAGGATAAGGGCGAGAAGGATATGTTAATCCTGCCTCCTCGTGAGTACTTGGTGGAGGTAGCCTGGCCGTGCTCGGAGTGTAAAGATTCTCGGACCTGGGTTTGGAAGAAGGGAAATGGGGTGAAGAAGGGGGAGTATGTTAGGAACGAGGACTTGATGCCTGTTGTTGGTAGTAGGGCTCCTGTTGTCGTTGCTGGGGCTGCTCGTAACGCTATGGCTTCCTCCGTCGCTCAGAAGCTTGAGAAGGAAAAGGAGGAGGCGAAGGAGAAGGAGAAGGAGAAGGAAAATGAGGAAAAGCATATGCAGCTTGCGAAGGAGATTGAGCGGCTCGAAGAGGAAAAGATTTGGCTTGAGAAACAGCTTGAGAAGCTTTTGTTGTTGCCCTAGGTGAGGGATCCTCGCTATGTTGCTCGTATACCTACTACCAGGTATGGAGAGTGGCCAGGAGAGCTGTGGTAGGGACTTCCAGTTGACGAGTGCGTTTTCCTTGCGATCAAGTTTGCGTGTGGAAATGTTCTTTACAGGTACCTCTAGGTATTGGCGGTGTCGCTCACAGTCACGCGTTATTCTTAACGGGAGAAGATGACGAGATTGGAAGAGAATTTGAAAGCAACCATCGCAATTCCAAAGTTGAACAAAAAAGCTGACTCCAGTTGCCCTTCGAAAAGTGCGGTAATTACCTCGTAGTAGAACATGCGCGATGGTGGGTGACGACTGAGACAGTATCTCGCACCTTCTTTCTCCTACTAGAGGTACCTTTCATCTTTCCCATCTTGCGCTTTCTCCCTCCTACCTATTCCTTCCAGGTTCCTTGTTGTCTTGTACACCCTTCCTTTCTCCTCTTTGTTTACAAAGTCCACAATATTTCTTTTCTTTTTTACTGCACGATCGAAAGCATCCCTCCGGTCAGCTCATCGCCATCAAAGCAACATTTTCAGCGCTCGTCACTCCACCAACAGTCAGAGATGGGACTTCTTGTTCTCACGGATATTATCAAATTTCAATCATCCCCTAGCCTCCATTCCCATCGGCAACAAAATACGTCGACCCAGCTCTCTCGACTCTCGCTACCTACCTCTACGCTCCTCGGTTCATACTTTACTGCTGGTAGCAATGAGCGCCACTACTCCGACTCTTCCTTCACCCTCACCTCCTCCTTCACCTCCTTTTTAACCCCCTCTTTCACCCTCTCCATCACCACCGCCAAATCCTCCTTCAAGATTTCCTTAGTTTCTTCCATCATATTTTGCATCTCCCTCAGCAATAACCCATACACTTGATCATAAGCATTGCTCCTTGCCTCCCTCTTCACCTCCTCCGTTATTTCCTGACACGCCTCTTCTTCCATCAGGTCCATCGGGTCCATCAGGTCCCTCAGTTCCTCTTCCAGTATGGCCTGCACGTCGCCTCGTATATCTTCTTTGATGTCTTGTGTGTTTGCTTCCGCTCCTCTCGATGTATGTCCCTCTTCCCCCCTGGAGTCTGCTTGTGCCCGTCTTTGTTCTGCACGTTTTCTTTTCCTTACCTCCTGCTTTAGTCTTCGTCGTAGACTAATCTCAAGGTTACCTCTAGGGTTCTGTCTAGAAGTGCGTGCTGGTGCCGGTCCTGGTAGCAGTTCTGATATCCGTACTCGCTGCGGCATATTCTTCTCCAGCACGGTTTCTGGTGCCTCTCGTGGTACTCGCAATGAGGGGTCAGAATCAGGTCCCACTATATTGTCATTCCCATCCCGCCGGACCCAATGATGAACCGGTTCACCTGGTGTAGCAGGAAACCGCTCGGGTGAATACACGTAAACTTCCCGACGGATGCACTGTTGGCAAGGGTATGGCATATAATTGTAGCGACGATAGGTGTATGAATATAGAGGCCGGCATTCAACGAATGGACAGACGTTGGAATGAGGAGTTGGCTCGGGATAGTAGTGATAATGACCGCATCTGAAGGTGATGTCGCCTTGAAGCATTATGAGGCACATGATAGCGGTTGTTGGGGGTTGGACCGTTGAGGGCTTTTGGAGGACTGAAGTGAGAAGGTGTCAGTTTCTGGCTGTCCTGGGGCGCTCAATGGACCTAATGTTTAGTGGGTTTTTGCGATCTGTACGCAGTTGGATGACCCTGGGAAGCGTGGCGATGGTGTGACGACTGGAGCACATGGGTGATATTGCGGCTATATAGACCAGACATGATGACCTGATTTGGAATGGAACTCTTCACTTCGAGGTCAGTCCAGACACTACGTTATTAAAATCCATGTCTTTCTACAAGCTCGTTACAATGGACGTCAATTGAGACGCTCGGTCAAGAAGGAATGGAATTGTTAGAGCTGCACGTTGTGAACTCTTCAACGTAATTGCGCTAGAGATCCAGGACCATCCACACAAATCCAAGACCAGTAAACCTTAAAGATCTCTAGTTAGAACACGAGAAGATACAGCTTCAAGCACGAAGCCCCAACCAACGCGATGCAACATCTCACCGAAAAGGACACTTGAAAGGGGGAACTTTCGGAAAGTAAAGTTTGAGTCGGTTCGAAGTATGAAGGTTCAATAGAGCATTCCACAGGGCACGCAAAGAGTCTAGGTTGCTGAGTGCTAACACAACACTCTCAAAGCACCCAATGCAAACAACAACCCATGTCTCACTTCCACGTTATTGAGTTCATTCATCATTCCAGCTCTTGGAAACAGATATCGTCAGGAAAACGAGGCTTGCATCCACGTGGTGCCCAAAACCACATGGTTTCTTTGTCCTGTGTCTTAGCTTCGGAATGAGCTGTCACCTGGAATTATTCTAGAAGTCTTGTCTGTTTGAGTTGTGATATGTCGTGCTTGGCATTGAAGGCTTTCAGTGAACTTCAGGCAGCTTTCCAGTCGTGAGAAGAACCACCATCAATGGTCTGGAAACGACATGCACATGCATGCATTCATTGTTGACCGGAGACCCCGAAGACCCGTGGTGTCTGAAATGGAACATGGACCCTTTCTCCGGTTTAAACTTTCGGTAGTTTCGCGGGTTTACGTCGCCAAAGGGAATCTTTATAAGACGTTGCCGTTGTCTTTTGGTCTGTCAATGGTTTCTTCCATTCGGTGTTCCACTTCAGTTCAGTGCGATTCCTTTCTCCCCTTGCTGGCGTTCCTTTGATTCTATAATCTTCAGACTTTGTTCTTTCCATCTTTTTGAGGCTTTGACCTTGCCTCTCTTCTCTTAATCAACACCATTTAATACCACAACCGCCGGTCGGTTCCTTCCTTTTGCCCAACCAAAGCACCATACTTGACACCAAAGTATCAGTTTTATCGACCACACTGCAACCGTCCGCAAAATGCAGACCACCAAGATCACCTTCATCGTCTGCCGCAACGAGAAGCGCGGCGCATACGAGAAACCACCAGGTCCGAAGCCTGTTGGTCCTAGTAAGCCTTAGGGAACAGAGATGATACTATAATCTCGATCAGATCACGGCCATGTAAGTCCCAGTTAGGCCTTCACCTTGAAAGGGTTCCGCTGACGCAAGAAAGTCAGTCTTCCATCTTTACATCGACTTTCCTCTCCAAGTCACTCACTTGGTCACTTGGGCCACGACGTGATTGCTGGCAATCACACATCACATACTCTCGTTTCCGTACATGGTAGACGGGACTACTTTAAATACATTCCTTCACGACATAGCATATAGACTTGGACTTGCATTATAGACATAGAGGCTGGCAGGCGCACGCTAGCATCAATCTAAACTTCCACTTCATTTCTTTTCTCTCGTGCACCTCAGGATCGAACTCTGTGCATTGAAGAAAACGGGAGTCATCAATCCGCTGCATCTAAAACTTCAACCCCATCTCCCTAAAAGCCTTGACACTCCCCTCAAACACCTCCCTCCTCTTCCCATCCACCTCCTTCCACCCCCTCTGCTGATCCACCCAGACCTCCTCCCTCTCTTCATTCTGCAGCTCCCCCCACGTGAAATCCGCAAACTCATTCAACTCCATTCCAATATCTCCCAGTCCCATCTCCACCAAGTCCGGCTGAATCGTGTGCAACTCCGTCTTCACCGCGGGCGGCATGATTTCCACCACTTTGATGTGCTTGGTATGCTCTGCCTCTGGGCCCGTCAATTGAGCGCGGAGGGACCACACAAGCGAGTGGGCGGCGGCTTTGGAGGCAGAGTAGTTGGCGCAGCGAGGGAGGGGGATTACCGAAAGACCGGAGGTGACGACGATGATGGAGGTGGGGTTGGGGGCAAGAGAGATCAAGTGTGGCATGAAGAGGGCGATCATGTTCAGGGGGGAGAGGTAGTTGGTGGTGAGTTCGGTGGTGTGGGCGGCGAGGTCGATGGTGGTGGGGTTGGTGAACAAGAGGGTCTTTTGGAGGCCGGCGTTGAGGAGGATGGAGTCCAGGGTGGGGTAGGTGGTTGTGATGCTGGTAGGTGTTAGTAGGGGGATAAGAGGGGAGGAAAGGAATGGGAACGTACTGCTTGACCCAGTTGGGAAGGGCGGAGAGGTCAGAGATGTCAAAGGGCTCGGCGGCGACCTTGTCGGAACCGTGCTTCTTGACAAGGGCGTCGAGACGGTCCTTGCGGCGGCCGACGGCGATGACGAAGACACCGCTGTTGATCATGCGCTCGGCCAGCGCAAGGCCGATGCCGGAGGTGGCGCCGGTGATGAGGACGGTCTTGTAAGGGAAAGGCATGGTGACGATCGAATGGTGAAGTGATGGTTGATGATGTGAGTTTAGCTTGACAGAAAGAGTTGGCGAAGACGTGGGTTAATATATATTCTAGAACAATGGCGGTTGAATTAATGTATTAACTCCTAAGTCCGAAACTGTGGAGTCAGTCTGGTTCGGCAGTGTAGCAATCCGGTAGGGGTCCGTTTACCTTGTTGTGGGGCCAACATCGCCGGCGTGACATGACCTCACGACTTCTTGATGATTCCATGTGCGTGAAAAATATGTAATCAACTGAATCATTATAAAGCAAAGATGCTACACTGCGACTTGAAGGATCCTGCGTCGGCCGAGGAGTATTGTAGTTTCCGTGTGATGTTGCAATTTCGAGGTTGCGAGAATGAACAATAATGTCGTTGCCTGGACCAGCTCGTTCATGCACGGGGTAAACTTTACGCCGAAGATATGGAGTGGGCGTTACTCCAAGTGCACCACCCTCCTCACCGGCTTCACCTTTTCAAACTCAACATCACTCTGCACCGTAACAAACGTTCTCCTCTCTGCCACTTCTCCCCTTCCGTCCTGGCTTATAACCCAATCCAACACAATCATGTACACTGTGTCTTTGACAAACTCTTCGTCTTGTGTGTGCCTCAATCTCTCGACAACCAGACACTCATACTCCCCCGTCTTGAGCGTATATGGGTGAGGAAAGTTTCTCTCCGACACGATGCCGAATGGTTGCTCATCCTCATTCTCCGGTTTCTTGAGGAACGCCTCGCTAAACGGCTCCGTGCGGATGTAGAAGTTGCAAACGTAGCCGTTGATGGTCAGTTTTTTGCCTTCGCAGCCGACAAACTCCGGAACCATATCACTCTTCACGTCCCTCCCTCTTCGCCCTTTACCAGCAGTCACAAGCGAACCATCTAGCAAAGAGGTCTGATCGAACGTGACGTGCCCCTCCCAGCCGCACCAACTCCACGACGGAAAGCCCTCTCGCCTTTGCGGGCGGGCGATGTCCCACGGCGGGGAGTCCTTGTGTAGCCTCTCGGGCTTGGGAAAGGACCAATCGTGGGACCAGCCCAAGGTGAGAGGAAATTGGCGCAGGGGAAGGCCCCATTCGAATCCGGAAGGGAAGAGATGGCGCTGGAGGGCGGAAAGCAAACCGAGACAGGCGTTGAGGGAGTCTGAAGGCCAGGACATTTGACGGCTGGTGTAGTCTATGATGAGACCTGTGTAGAGGAGGATGCGTTGAGGGTCTGTTACGGAGATCTAATGGGTCCATCTGTTAGCGAGGAAGCAGCATAAGGGAATGGCGAAGGGAGAACTAACGTCGGTATCAGTAAGGTTAAACCCATTCATCAACTGCCTAAAGAAATCCATGGGCCGGTCCGATAGATGCTCGTAACAACTGGGATCATAGGCATCGGGTGCTCCAAAGCGCTGGCAGGAGATGCCGAGCTGTTTGTCAGAGAAGAAGAGGGACCGCTTGGACAGCATGCCTTCCTGGAAGGTCCAGGCCCGAGTGTCCCATGCTGAAGCGGCCATTTCGTCCTCGACGACAGCGGGGATGGTGAAGAGCGTGCGGCCGTTGATAATCTCATGAAGTTGCATCTCCCGTTTCCGCGAGACTCCGCAAAGGCCAGCGTTGGAGTTCTGGCCAGAGAGGGCAACGAGGGTTACGGTGGCGCATTGGTAGATGAGATCCATCATGGCGAGTTGCTGAGTTTTTTCGGCTTTCTCTTGGACGGAGAGTGTGTCCCAGGGTTTCTGATTGATGCAGAGGGCGTCGACCTGGAGGGATTGTCAGTTTGACGTCTGCAGATGACTTGACTCAGGTTGCTTACCCAGAGATAGCGCTTCCCAAGTTTCTTGGTGACAGTGATGGAGTCCTCAATGGTCTGCGGCAGAGTCTTCTTTTCCAAGGCCCCTTCCTCCGGCATGATTCCACCCCAAGTATAGCTTAGAGCGACATACTCGCATCCCTCTGGGTAGGGAACCACCTTGCGTTCAAGGACATCGATCATCTTTGTGGTGAATAACTCCTTGGGCTTCGTAGAGATGCAGTATTCTTTGTGGTTTTTCCAGCAAACATCGAGACCATTCCTCGCAAACCCAAAGTCAACAAACGGCTCAATCAACCGTCCATTGTACTGTTTCCGGTCATGGCACGTGTCTTCAGTGGCCAAGCATATAGCAGGGCCCGTCATTTCAGAGCTTTGCACACCTGGTTCATTGTCTGAGAAGAGCAAAGGAACTTGGAGGTCGTGGATCATGTGGCTGAGATGGCGCAGACCCAAGAAGATGGCACTTTTAGTCCTTGTCTCCTCAGCAAGGTACTGCCAGCCGGCATGTCGGACATAGGCAGGGTAGGGAGTGAGCCTCATGCCCTTGGTGTCGGGACGTATGGCCTCAGTGGGCATAATGCGGTAAACGAGCCGGCAGAAGGGGCACGACGCTTGCAAGGTGAGCGATCCGAGTTCACCGAGGTCGAGCTCATAGGGCTTGAGGCGGACGAAGTAGTCCCTGAATTTGTCACTGTCTTCGGGAATGAGGCCCGAGGGGAGTGGCTCCGAGAGCTCGAAGACCTTGAGGGGGTTGTAGTCGGCGCATCGTTTGCAGAGCGAGCTGGGCTTATCTTGGAGTTGCTTGAGAAGCTTTTCATCATGGGCAGAGAGCGGGCAAAGTTGATTGAACTGCTCCTCTGGTCCGAAGTGGTCCGACTCTTTTGCTGAATCTCGGGATTTCTGCTTGGGACACGGCGTTGAGGCAGGCTCAAGCTTTCGGCAGAAAATGCAGAGTCTGAAGTCGGAAGAGGCCATTGTGAGGTTAGTCGTGTTGGGGTGAGCCAGGTACCTATGACAATGAAGATGGGTGCAGGCTTACCAGTCCTTATGTTCCAGCTAAGCAGAGAAGGCTCTGCGGACTGGACTTCAGCTGAGTTGTGAAGCTCGCCCGTAACTGGCTGCCCAGTATCTTTGACTCCATCTCGGCTGATGCATTGCTGCCTAGAGGCTTATGGCGGCTGACGATTGTGGGAGGTGGCTAGAGCCGGCCAAGTACGATCCTTGTCGTAGCATCGCTTGGAGATGTGGAAAAGTGGTTGATCAAGACTCAAAGGGGCACGAGTTCATGGAGCTGTCGAGGTGAAGAACAGCCCGTGTTAGTGGTCTCTGCCATTGACGCAGTGTTCTGGTGGAGGTGCGCTAACGTGGACGCTGTAGTCGTGCAGAAACAGGACAACATGGCGCAAAGTGAGGGTGTTCGTCCACTCTGGGCATGTCCAGCAGGTGATCGATGTTGGTCTCCCACCGCCATCGCGATTGGAAAGTCATCTCAAAGGAACAAGTTCAGATGAAGTTCAAGTTCGGACGAGATCAAGCTGGGAGCGGGAGCATCCACTGCGGTGTCGGTCTTGTCCCGCTGTTAGTTGCCGGACTTGCCGTAATCGGGACGGGCACGACTCCAAGCGGGTCGCTCCCTCCCTCCACCTCGAGCCGGCGATTGATGGCGTCACCAAGTCCGATCTTACCCCTCCAACAAGTAAACAACATCAACACCCTCAATTGCTGGTGTTTGCCCAAACTCCGATACGTTCAATTAGAGGCCCTCAGCGTCGTAAGTAAGTCCAATGTGCCCATTTGTGACATCGGAGATAGGCGTTAAAACCACTAACCCCTGCTCACACCGTGACTCCTTCTCCTCCTCCCCCACGCAACCCCTCATGCGGGGGGTGTCTCCATGTCAACAAACACCATAACATATAAACATGACCACCCGCCCTTTTCCAAGAACAATTGAGTTTCAAGCCAGCATCTAACCACCCCAATCCGAACCAGATAAAGATACCAGACCAATAAACCCGCCAAAATGCCCCTCATCGCCCAAAACCCCCAGCCCCGCGTGATCCTAGGTCTCATGACCTTTGGCACCGACCCCGAGACGGGCGCCCGCGTCACCACCATCCCCGAGTTCAGCAAGGTCCTCGATCTCTTCCAGTCGCGGGGATACAACGAAGTCGACACGGCGCGCATGTACATTGGTGGAAAGCAGGAATCCTTTACTCGCCAGGCGGGCTGGAAGGACCGCGGCTTGACTCTGGCTACCAAGGTCATCTACCCCACCAACGGAGGAGACAACACGCGGGACAAGGTCCTGGAGAGCGCCGACGTTAGTCTGAAGGAGTTGGGGACGGATTGTGTGGATATTCTGTATTTGCACGCTGCTGTAAGCTGCCCCCTTTACGCAAGGATATGTGCCGTAAAGGGAAAGGAAACTGACGGGACAATTAACGACTAAAGGACCGCAAAACCCCCTTTGCCGAAACCCTCTCGGCCATCAACGACCTGCACAAAGCCGGCAAGTTCGTCCGCTTCGGCATCTCCAACTTCACCTCGTTCGAAGTCGCCGAGATCGTCATGACATGCAAGTACAACAACTGGGTCCTGCCCACCATCTACCAAGGCATGTACAACGCCATCACCCGGTCTCTCGAGACCGAGCTCGTCCTGGCGTGCCGCCGCTACGGCCTCGACATCGTCGTCTACAACCCCCTCGCCGGCGGTCTCTTCTCGGGCAAGATCAAGTCGCACGACATGGTGCCCGAGTCGGGCCGGTTTTCCGACGTCAACAAGATGGGCGTCATGTACCGCGGCAGGTACTTTAAGGAATCGACCTTCCGCGCCTTGCAGGTGGTCGAGCAGGCGGTGGAAAAGGCGGGACTCACCATGATTGAGACGGCGTTGCGGTGGATGGTGCATCATAGTGCGCTGAAGATCAAGGATGGGAATGATGGGGTGATTATTGGTGTTAGCAGTATTGATCAGCTGGATAGCAACTTGACGGACCTCGAAAAGGGACCGCTGCCCGAAGAGGTGGTGAAGGCCCTGGATGAGGCGTGGAAGATTGCAAAGGTTGATACGGTCAATTATTGGCATGGAACGGTCGAGTACGGGTATGATGTGAGGGAGGCCCTGTTTGGGAAGAACGCGAAATAGGTGGAAGCTGTATGTAGTGCGGTAATGATGTTATGAATTGGCTGAGGCAAAGTCTATGGTCATGTTGTAGCCATTGTCGTGACTTTGATGTGAATACTTGTGACAACCTGAACATGGGAACAACTCAAATGAGACTTGACTTTACTGCGTCGGTACCTATGGCCACCGTCAAGATAGGTCCCCATGTTAGTCCCACTAACCCGCTCCGCCCCGACTTCCGACTGCCCGCCCGCCCGTACCGTGTCCGTGCACTCCGGATGCCGTACCCCATACCGTGCGCGGCGCGGCGCCGAGCTTCCAGAATTCGGCCAGTTGTCTCAAAAAGTCCCGCAATTCAGGGCGGGGGGGGGCGCAGCGCAGCGGTTCCAGAACTTCACTTCTTCGGCTGGACCAGCATCCCCGGGCCGTCCGGAACAGTTGGGTATCGTATTCCAGGTTTTCCAGAAAGGCCGTGATCCCGGTGTTTTTGGTTTTGGTCCCCACATGTCCCCGTGTGTAATTTCCGGAGGTGTTCTGGAATCTGGAATCTGAATCTAGTGTAGAGTTCTGAAGTTCTGGATCTGAACCAAGTTCTGGACTATCATGCTCTTTCATGCTCTCGATAATGTTGGGACGTCTTGTGTTTTGTCTCTCAGCTGATACAATATACCTATGCATATCAACTCTAGATCCTAAACTCCATACTCTGTAATTGCTTACCTAGTGATAGCCTACCGTGAAGCAGTTATGAAGCTATTCATTTATTTCTCAATTAGAAGCGACAAAGTCGGTCGGTCCGGCGAGCGATTGATCGACGGCAACACAGAACCGCAATTACGGCGATCTGCAAGGGATTGTCGTGTATTGTGCACACGTGTGCTATATATAGAGCCAAGGTAAGACATACAGTATTTGACACGTCGGGGCGCTGCGGGCCGGATCCAGTCAGTCCCAAACGGCGACGATATGTGTGCACTACATGCACTAGAAGTAGTCACGGGAATCAACATTTTGGGTTATACAGGTGTGGATGTTGGATAGTGTACTGAGTGCGAAACGACCATACATATACCACAGCGCAAGTCCGTCCGTCCGTTTGTCCGTTGTTGACGCCGGACAGAAAGATGGGGGATGCCATTCAAATCAATCCATCGTGGCGCCAGATTATAGGTAGTGTACGGAGGCGATCGCCAATTATCGTTCGTGGCAGTGGTATGCAGTCAACTGCCGGTCTGGACTCCGAAATCACGCGCGCTTCTCAAGCCCAAAGCTCAAAAAGAAGAAGCAAACATATGATGCTAAGCGCCGTCAATTACCTTTGATTGCCGTTTTTTTTGCGATCATCACCTGCACTTCGACCGGCAGCTGGTGCTGAGGTGAAAGTATGTATGGTACTGTAAAAGGTGGGAAGATTAGACGCCAAGCAAAGCGAAATGCAGGCGTGAAAGTTGACTTGCATGCAGCCGGCGTTTCTTTGCAGGAGGGCTCTTTCGGTTTCCGGCGGCTGCGATTGCGCTTTGCTGTCAATGATCGAGGAACCCGTTTTCTTTTTTTTCTTTTTTCCTTTCTCGCTAATAATTGATGTCTTTTCTTACGAATTTAGACTAGCCTATCTGACAATTGTAAATTGGATGAAAATGAACTCACAGGGCGTGTCAACCTGACCTGAGAGGTTCCCTCTACTGCCAAGTAGGCGAAGCCGAGGTACATGTTTGATTCTAGAACTGCAGTGATTCACCACAAAATACTCCTAATCATGTACCTACCTATTGAAGATTCAGGAGACGTTTCCCCTTCCATGGCTTCTTCTTCTTCACGCGGACAATGCGAACAATGCAAACAATGTTTCGCCCTACTCTGGCCCATGTTTCAGATTTTGATATGTACCGTGACCTCCGTCTTTTAGGTCCCCCCTCCACTCTCCAGGTCTCGCTCGCTTCGTTGCCCACGTACTGTACCCAAACTGAACTTCGACTTTCCCCGGAGGAGGACGCCCGCAGGGCACCGAAGGAGGCGGCTGTGCAACCCACTCACTGCACTGCACCACCATTCACTAGCTAGGTAGGTATCCAGGGACATGTTGCCATCCGCGACGAATCCACACTTCACACCCTCATCTTCCAGGTCCTCCAGGGCTTGTTCATGGCGCAAAGCAGGTACTGTACCCCAGATTGTTTTATATTTTTTGGCCTGTGTTTATGCTCTGAATGGTTACCGGAGAGCTGGTCTCCGTACCCGCGAATCTGGTTCAGGACCAGGACCAAGCAAGGCCCAGGGGCAATGACAGACAGCTGGAGTCGCTGGAGACCGACCAGGGAGGGGAGGAAAACACAAGTGAAGCTTCTAGGCGAAATGGAGAAATGACGATGGTCCCGATGTGGGGGAGGGGAATTGAATGATTTTGTTTTGTATGTAGCACTGCACTGCCGCTGTCTGCATGTCTGGCGCAAGCAAGTGAAGGCAACTAACGCTCCGCACTGCACCCGCCGTCTCTCAAGCCGACTGCGCCAGAATGCATGTCTGTGGTGGTTTGGTAACCACGTGGATGGGTCGTTCCGGTTTCAATGGCCAGCCAGGAACAGGAACCTGTCGTCAATATGTACATACCTACATATATCAGAATGGTGTGTGTGTGTCTGTGCAATGATGAATGTGGTCCAACTTGTGGCCGCTTCTTCAGCCCTGTACAAGCACAAGGAAAGCCGTCAGTCTGTTCCAAAAAGGTTCCTTCTGGTAATGTTTGTGTGCCGCACCCGCCCGTCCTTTGTGGTTCGTGGATTTCGTGACTTTGTTTGACGGTTTTGGAATGAGGAGACATGGTGATTGGTGGAATGAGCCACAAGGGAACACACACGTTATGGACAGGGAACCTCTTTCAAGACGTCCCTCTCGCGGATAGTATTCTCAAAAAGGATATCAATTTGTTGAGCATCCAACGGTGGGGTTACAATTCAGACATCAACACGAGGATTCTCGGCGAGCTTGAAGGGTTCTGACACCGAAACTCATCACATCTTTGCTACCACTCTCCAATGCTTCAAGATTCCTTTAACCGAAAGAACAGGACGGTGTCAATGTGACAACCCAGGATCTGATCGCGGGAAGTGCCTGAACTAGCGGTACAGGCTTTGTCTGTCAGCACACGGAAGAAGCACCTAGGACGGATCGTCGGAACAAAGGAATCGAGATCGAAAGAGGCTTCGATTCCGGGCAGTAAGGCATAATCCGGTGCCGTCTCTTCGTTGTTTCGTCCGATTCTTTTCAGTGTCGACATCAGATCGTGATCATCGCGGTCATCTTGGTCTGGACCCGGTGATGGGTTGATACCAGGAAGATGGCAGATGCCCAAATGATGGACAGGAATGAATGATGAGGGCCCAGGGGAAGTTCCGTGTTTCGTCTCACTGCACGGGTCGGTGCGGGACCACTTTTAAATGTTAAGGAAGTCGATGCTTCTGTGTTCTGATAGGCTCCTTTGCTCACATCGAAGTTGTCCAGGACAATGTGTGATTGGCCCGGTTGAGTGTGAGCTGGTGGTGCATGCCCGCTGTAGCCGCCAATACAGTTGGATGTCAACAGAGGACCTCGCACTACTAAACATTTTGGGGCCACTTCTGCACCCAATCCTGTTAACGTTATATAGATACGAGATAGCAATTCCCTCTTGCTCCTCACCGGACGCTTACCTCATCTCGCATCGACGTGGTAATTGCGCTCTCCCATTGGCCAACCAAAGGATGCTTTCCCCTCCCTTCGTGGCAGTCATTCCTGTCATTCCCCCTCTTCAGGCTTTTGGCGTTCGCTCAATCATCGCTGGCTGCTATCCGCTAACCCTTGTGACATCCCCACTTCCCCTGCTGCAGTCAGCCAATCGTTGCGGTCCCTGTTGCTCTTGCTGTGCTCGCTAACCCGGGGCTTGCCCACACTGTTTTCACTTTTCCCTCCTTTTTGACTCCACCTCCCGTCCTCTTGTCCGCCCCGCCCGGATTGCGCCGCCAGCACGCGTTCTGCTGGTTCACGCCCGCTGTTCTCTCACCTATTCTGGCCTGTCCGTGGTCCCGGCTTCCAGGTTTTTGCTGGGCGGGTTGAGGTGTCGGGCGGCTCCCCCTGCCCGTCCAGGGCACTGTTCCCCAACGTGATGCCCTGCTGTGGTGATTGTGTGAATGCCCCCCGATGAGGGTGCTCGCTGAGGTGTGTGAACTAGGGCCAGGGCAGCCCAGGCTGGCCACTGCAGCAAATCTGTCCGCTCGATAGGTCAACTGCACCGCACTCACTCTTGCCAATGTCGACTTATGCGCACTCTGTTCCCGGTCTCGACTTCTCTCGGCTCTCTCCAGTCTTCTGACACTTCCGTCTTTTTCTCTCTTTCTTCCTCTTTTTCCATCGCCATCTAGATCGCCTTTCCTTTTTCTAGCCTCGTCTGGCAACAACCCCCCCTTCCTCTTCCTTCTTCCTCTCTATTCGTGCAAAGACGTCGGTCGTCGTCACTGTCTGTCGTCATCAGTCGTCGTCGTTGTCGAGAATTGTTGTTGATTTATCTCAATTCTTCACTTGTTCCTGTTCCGTCTTCTCTGCTATTCTACCTAGTGTGGCACCTTTGCCGCTGTGATCACTTCCATCAGCCAGGTTTCCTCCTGCCCGTCCGTCCGTCCGTCCGTCTGAGCCTCGTTGATTGAAAAAAATTGACAAGACCATCCCCACCGGCGACGAGACGTACCCAAACAACGCAACGCGCCTTCGTCGCTTCCTTCGGCTTTCTATCTCGATCCCCTCTCGACCATACGCACTGCACCACACCTGACCACACCCGCCCGCCCACTATTCTAGACCGCACACAACTGCAGAAATCTCCCCAAAATCCAAAATCCAAACAAACACCCCCAGCTGGGCAAAAGGAAAGAAAAGACCGATCTCATCGACAACAACAACAAGCAACAAAAAGGTTATTCCTTTTAATCCTTGTATTCTATTTTCGGCTGCACACGCTATTTGCTATCACGATCCAATTGAATCTCGCGCGTTTTCTGTCTTGTCGACCTCGGCCTCGATTGGTTTTTTTTTCTCGACAACACGCAACGCACCGCACCACGCATTCGCACTCCAACCACCACGAACACGCATCGTTCACACAATAATCTCTGGCAGCAACATTCATCAAAGGCGATTGATTGTCCTTGATTCGGAAAGAGCCGTATACTAGGATCATCGTGGAGACGTGATCCCCCAGATACAGCAATCACACACACGCACAGTCAGCTGTTGCTGCTTCTTCTGCCACACACACTTTGAGAGTGGAAGGAAGAAGAAGAAAAAAAAGGATCATCAGTCCTGTTCATTGTTGTTCAAGACGCTCCCGTCCCTTTGGAACAAGTGGAAAAAGGTAGCTCTGGCCAGCTCTGTCCTCTGTCCCTTTGTCTGTCTCCATTCCGAGAAAACAAAGGTTTGACTTCTCCACGCGTCGTCGCTCCCCGCTAGAGGTACTAAACCCGACAGCCACACACCACACTACGGCCTGCCACCTAGCCAAGCATCCCCTGCCGCTAGCAGCTCCGTCTCTTCAGCTTGTTGTCTCCTGACCCGGTCAAGTCCAGGCTTGCACGCACTGTCTTCGGACCACCACCGCACTGCACCTTTTCCAAGGTTCGCACCGGTTCGACCAGATTCGCCACCTCACTCCTCCTCCTCTCGACAAGTCATCAATAGAAACTTGAACAACCCCACCGTCCTTCCTTCTCATTCACCATCCCACCGTACGCGCGCGGGGTCTTTTTTACCTTCTCTCTCCGCCGACCGACGACCGTCTTCTACTTGCAACTGTCGATCCTCGACCGCTTCTTTCCCTCTTCTGTTCGTCGCTTCGGCTTTTGAACGCTTTGCCCGCTCATTCGGCTTCCATCATCAACAGCACAATCTTTTGACCTTCGTCTCTCGACAATCTTTTAATTGGAACGCATTCCGAATCATCTTCAGCTGTTTTTATACTACCACCACCATTGCATAATCTTTGGGTTGGGGTCTTGGTACAGGCTTCTACGACTTCACATCGTTTTCGCATTCTTCGAGAGAAAATAGAGCGGTCGCAACATCAGAGCGTTTGATCACGTTCTTGCAGCAACCGGCATATTCTTCCTAATATCCATCCATCATCATCATCATCACCATCAAAAATGGCGCACATGCAGTACAACCAGCAGGCCATGCCCTCTGGTCTGGCCTCGAGGAGAGGTGGCCAGAACATCAAGCCTCTTTCTTTCGACTTCAAGTCCATCCCCGAGAACGACACTGGCATTCCCACGCCACGCACCAGCCGTTCTCACCTTCTTGCGGGTTTGAGAACCGCCCCCAAGTCGGCTACCGCTACCAGCTTCGCAATTGGAAACGGTCCCGCCTCGCCCACCGTCAACCCTCATGCCCGGAACAGCCGCAACAACTCGATCACTCCTGGCATGTATGACGGCGCCAGCTACCTGAACGGACCTAAGACGTCCATGCCGACCTATGGCGGTATGCACCAGGCTCAACACCAGGCCATGCAACAGCAGGCTGTCTACAACGCTGAAGTGGCCGCTTATCAACAGCAGCAGCAACAGCAGCAGCAGCAGCAGTACACAACTGACCAGATCATGGTCTCGCAGCTTTCGATGGATGACTCGGTTCAGGGAGAGCTCGATCCCAATGTGCACGCTCAACTCATGTACACTAATCACGTTCTGGCTCAGCGTCAACAGCAGTTGCAACAGCAGCTGCAGGCCCTGCAGGCGGCTGCTCAGCAGCTCCAGTCCCAGGGTTACCGTATGCAGGGACAGGCCACGGCCTCGCAGCAGAGCCACCAGTCGACTGTTTACCAGCAACAGATGCAGCACCACGTTCAGCAACAGGTGGAGCAACTCCAACAGCAGCGTCTCCAGCAACAGTATCTGGCGCTCCAGCAGGCTCGTGCGCAGCAGGCGGCTCAGATTCAGCACCTTCAGCAGCTCCAGGCCTTGATGACCCCGGCTGTTACCCAGCAGCAGAGCGCTTACTCGCTCTACGATCCCACCACTGGCCAGCAGACGCTCTACGAGGCCACCAACCAGCTCGCCAACCAGACTGCTCAGCTTAACCTCAACAACTACGGTGGTGTCCAGCAGCCGGCTGTCGGCACTCCCCGCTTGCAGGTGTCCCCCCTCCCCCGACCGAGACCAAGTCGAGCTCGCGGAACTCGTCGCCTCCTCGCCGCTTCGAGTCGCCTGTCGTCGAGACTGCCGTCAACCCCCTGCCTCCCCCGAGCGCCAACGCGTTCCGTCGTGGTCACAAGAAGACCATCTCGACTGCGAACGGCAACAAGAACCAGCTGACCATCTCGACCAACGAGGAGCCTCCCAAGACTGCTGGTCTCAAGACGTCCACTTTCCCGATGACCCCTATGACGGCCGGTTATGGGCCCGGTCAGGCTCGTGCTGGTGAGCACCCCGTCCGTCAGCCGCGCAACCCACCCTCGCTGGACGAGCTCAAGTCCAAGCCGACCTCCAAGCACGAGGGTAGCAAGAACTTTGTGGCTCGCACCCGCCGCTCGGCGATCCACAACCTTGTGCGCGCTGGTCTTGAAAGGCGCAAGGAGGCCCGCTCCTCTGGAAGCATTAGCCCTATTTCCGAGAGCGCCGACGAGCTGGTGGAGACACCCTTGACGGACAACGACAGCGACTCGGGTCGTAGCGGATCCGGTATCCTGCTCGACCACGACGATGCCGAGAGCAGCCTGCCTAGCTCACGCACTAGTACTGGCAGCTGGGGCGCCATTGGCTCGGACCGCCCGAGCTCGCGTCAAAAGACCAACCGCACGAGCGTTGACAGCACCAACTGCTCGGATAACGAGGCGGCCAGCCGTGACTCTGGCAGCTTTGCAAGCTTGTTGAAGAACAGCAACCGCGGTGCCAAGACGGAGGCCGTTGACGGCCAGCAGCGCAAGGCGAGGCTTGTATTGACGGCTCAGAAGCGCAGCATTGGTGCTTGAAGTGTCGCTGGTACACAGGGATTCTTTCTGCCGGTTTGGTGCCTTGAAGGGATGGGTTGGCGCTTAAAGGATACAATGTTATGCTAATCACGATTATGCCCCGACGTCTTCAGTTATCTTCTACTCTCATTCACGACACGTCCCCAACTGACATGTCTGCTGGGCAAGGTCGCTGTGCCACCTTGTCTTGGGCTTTTCGGTGTCCGCTTAACGGACAGCAAACGGGAAAACTGGAGAGGATGTGGACACATGGCTTGGTGACGCTTTTACTTTTTTTCTCGGTTCGCTTCAACCACGACTGTGTCTTGTGTTATGCATTTTTGGGAATTGGAATCTTTGTTCTGACATTTACGCTTTTTACGCTTTCACATTCTGTAAGGTTTTGGTTTTCCGGTTCTTCACGTTCGTTTCTTGTTTGGAGGTCTTTGGGGGGTTTTGTGTCACTTGCAAAGGGTGGCAAAGGTGTAACTTTCTTGGAGAGAACAGGGTTGAGAGTTGAGACCAGCCGGACATACATACGCAAATGTAAACATGTGTCTACAAATTGGGTTCAGTGATTTTACTCTCCGTGCTTGGTGACGAAGCATTGACTGACATCTATTTTCCATTCATTGTCTATCCTTTCCTTGTTCTCTTTTTGCCTTCGGTATCCCGGTGAGATGATGATGTTCCCGGGAGTCGGATCCAGATGCCAGCACCAAAATCGTGGTTAGAGGTAGATTGGGAGCCACGGCAGTTGTGTCTTCCGTCAGTGACACGATCACGGATTGGCTCCTTCCTCGAGTGTTTCCTAGTGCGCTCCTCGTCGCCTCAAAATTTCGCGCCGAAATCGGGGGTACCTCGTCCTCTATGCTATGAGGCAGTCGCGAGTTGCGTCAGTGACATGATAAGGAATCAGTTGCTCCTTCCTCTTTGCAAGAGCTACGCGACCGAAGGAAAAAGCCCGGCACTCGGACGGGAATTATCCGTTTCCTGTGGGAACTCCATACTGACCCGCGGCGCACGTTCGATCTTCGAAGGAACAACCACTCAACTTCTCAGCATTTCTTCGCTGTCTGGCTGCTTTTGTTCTCCCTTTTCTCTTTGTTCGATTCATCACCCTCCGTGCCTTACACCAGTTAGTAGCAACGCAGTTGCCGTCGACCAACATCACCGATCACTTTAACTCCGTACCTCTAACGATTGAGCTATCCAAACGCAGCATAGTCTGCCTTCGCGTCGCAACAGATCCCAAGGAGCCACCCACCTTGACAACATGGGAGATATCCCCAACAGGCAGACGGCTGAGCCGCAAGTTGACCGCCCACGGATGGGAAAAGAATGGATGAAAATCAACGGTCCATCAATCCTTGTCTGGGGAACTTGTTCGTATCTCCCAACCCCATGCGTAATCCGGATTGGGTGTGACATCTGACCAGCTGTTCATCACTACCTATAGTCTGCATCCTCGTGATGGCTTCAACTGAACTCTTTGTTCGTCTGTGGCAGCAGACGAGATCGGTTATGGAAGACGACGAATGCGCAGCCACCCGTTCGGACCTCGAGTTTATGGTGGTGATGAACCGAGTTGGGATCATAGTTCAGTGTTGTCTTTGCATCAGGTTGTTGTGGCCTTTGACAATGGGGAAGCCCGCGGACGGTTCCGCCTCGACGGCCACGACTGCGGATTCAGGTGAGTAGCTCCTGTTACCCCGGCATTGGAGATACGAACTGACGGGGGGTTTTGTTGTAGAGGACAAGAGCAATGATTTGGTTGAGGGACAAGCTGTGATGGAGGAGAAGAGCGCCAATCTTCGGGTTGTCTTGAGTGATTTGGAGAAGGCAAAGAATGACCTCAAGATGGCGAAGGAGTACCTTGAGGAGTCGAGGAAGGAACTTGAGGAGCTAAATAGGAGCGTCAATGCTCTGCTTGTTGCTCTGCAGAAGAAGCGGGCTTAATATTCCTGCATGTCAGGACTCGCAAGGGGGGAGAAACTACCGAGAAACTGGTGCTACAGTATTAACATAAAGTTGCTGGGAAGACCCACTATCGGTTAGTCCCCTAACACCAATACAATTTTAGTCCAGTAGACATACTGGTTTGTTTGTTAGTTCGAGACCTCGTGTCAACTTTCCTATGCGTTTTTATGGCGAACTAATGCATAAACTTACCTGAGCTATGCCATCTCTTATATTCAAAATGCAAGATTGAAACCAGCTAATGCTTTTTCATTTATCTCTATAAGCTTGGGGACTAGTAGAAATACATTTCGTCTAATGCACTATATATATTGTAGGAGTGCCTGGTGTACCATGCTAATAAATAAACCAGCGCTGGACTGTACACATCCCCTGCCATTACCAACTCCGGTCGAACCCGAGCTGGCGGGCTACCGGGCTCCCTAGCATCCTCCTCCCTTGCAGTGTAGTAATCGTGCGACTTCGGCAGCTGTGGCGCCCCTAGGCGAAGCTGAACCGTTAGCTCGGGAATCCCAAAAAATCGCAAAGATTCCCAATGACGCTTGTTCAAAACTTGCGGTCGCAATTTTGGCTGCCGAAAACCGACCAACCATGATCCAATACGTATTTAATACGTCTTTTCCCTGCGCAGCGTCCGCCGCAGGAGATTCACACAGGGCTTGGGCTCAGCTGGGGGGCTGGGCAGCCGAAGTGGCTTGCTGCTAGATAGACACTAGGGATAAGCAAACGACCGGAGATTGGCGACCATGCCCAAATTGGTTTGCTGGGCTATTGGCGAGAAACCTCATTAGAGGTAAGTTCGATAAGTAGCAAAGACCGTTGGGATGTCATGACTGCTGAATGCAGCCACTGCTGAGGTGGAGGTGAGGCAGCCGATGGGAATATTGAATATGGGGAGATGAAGTTTGGTGGTGGATGTTTGTTGTTGTTGATATAACAGCTTGTTGACGACTCCGTCTTTGGTGTACTTGACATTTTTCATTTTCATCGCATTTCTTTCTTCTTCTTCCAATACGCTGGACCGAGTTCAGTTGTTTTCGTTATTTTGCTGCACATCAGGCCCGTTGAACCTTCTACATTACCTCTGAACTTTGGATAGTAGCCATGATTTCGACAAGCGACCTTCACCTCCTCGGGTGCCATTTTGAGCAATACCCCGACTACCAGCCGCGAGACTTCAAGACAAATACGTCCAAGGACCACCCCCAAGAACCTGAAAACGAAAACCTGGGAGTCTTTCACTTCCCCGTCCTCAGCTTCGGTTTCGTGTTTGTCCTTTTGGGGATAACCTGTGAGTATTTACCTATCCATTCAACTTCCAACAACAACCACTACCAAGAAAGCTCAATAGAACTTTGTACTGACGAAGTAAATGAAGCAAAGGCACACTAGCCTCCATCTGCATCTTTCGCGTGCTCACTCATACCCATAACATGTACACGCTACATCAGGATATGGACATGGACATTGCCAGTTGGTCTGCTCGCTTTATGTTGCCACAAAACAAGTCGGTTAAGGATTCGTTGATGGGTGTTGCGTTTGTTGAGGCTTTGGCGAGGAAACCTCATGATCTTTCGAGCAGGTGGAGGGACGCATTGGATTTGATGCCCTTGGATATGAAGATGGAGTTGGACTTCAACTTGGAGGTGGAGGCGATGCCGGTTGAGAGTGCGGTGTTAAGGTTGGAGGATTGGGTTTATAATGTTGCGGGGCTTTGAGTTTTGAGGTTTGAGATTGGTTAGAGGTTGGTCACATGGAGGTATTCCTTCAGGCAATTTCTCTTTGGGTTTTCTTTCTGGTGTACGTTTTGCGGAGGCGGGCGCGGGTTTGCTGGTCATATTTTCCTTTGTTAACTTGGATGGATGGATGGAGGTTTGGTGCTGCGGTACCATGTGCTCCTTCTCTTTTGTGAATTCTTTGGTTTATGGGCAACTCCATTGCAGAGTGTTCACTCCTTCCTCATCGATGTTTCTTTGGGTGCAGTTCTGCTTCTTCTCCTCTTCCTCGCTCTTTTTCGGTTCCTTTTTTCGTTTCTATTTTTTCTTTTCTCTAGAAAACTTTCGACTATTCCTCGTGCGCAAATAAGCACCCATCTTCAGTTTGGCTTTGTTCCATTTTCACCCGCCGTAGCATCTATGCTTTACCCCGAGCCCGTCTGAACCGGCTCCAAACATGTGCTGATGGCATAGTTGGAGCCGTTTGTTGTACGACCACCATCTTTTAGTGTTGACTGCATGGTTCAACAGGTGACGACCCAATTGACCACCATCCTTAATTGTGCCACACCTTTTTGGAAGTTCAAGTTGTAGCAGCCTGCCCTCGATATCATCAACTCCCAAGTTGCTGTCTGGGGGCTACTCACATGCCGTTATCGCGTTCTCTAACCAAGTGGTACTGTCAACTCCAGAATCTTGTCACCCACCTATGCTTGACCAACACGGGTGTGGCGCTCGTGATTGACCTGTACCATTTGTTTGGTTACCAAAGACAGGCAATGCGGTCCAATCGTGTCAAACCGGCTAACCAACCTTGGGCTCTCTGCCGTCCTGGGCTTGAGCTGGACATTGGTGGCTTGCAGGTGCTGAACGCGAACCGACAACGTTGAAGATGGGCATTGGTGGGAAGACTTGGAACGCGAACGTCGGTGTAGTGCTTGTGGGGAAGAAGATGGGCTGAGGTTGGCAAGCCACAGTGTTGGTATGACATATCACGATGCTTTCTGTTCGATTTCATCTGAGCTTACCGTCGTTTTGATCTCGAACCGTTACCCCCTCTCAACCACACCAAAGCCCGACACAATAGAGTTGTCCAAACCAGCTTCACCCACCCAACTACAATATCCAAGAACACGCTGACTCCGTCAAATAAGTCTCCCACGAGTAGACGGCGATGGAAAACCTTATCCGGGGCAGTCAGCTCCTTCCGCGAGATCACTTTGCGCATGTCGGTCATGGGGCCCGGAGAGAAGAACGACGAGAAGCTCTCCACTGAGCTAGTCGTGACATAGGTGTCTTCGACGTTATGTAGGAATGGGCAATGGTTTTAGTCTTGAGGTGAGTTCCGGATGCTTAGCTGCATTGGCTCTTCAGTGTCGGTTCTCGACCTGCATCGAACAAGAATGACAACAGATTGATGGTTTAGATGCGGTGTTATCTGACTCACGCATAATACCCCTCAGCGCCTGTTAGTGCACTATTTCAAGTGCGTGGCTGGTGTGTCTAATAATATGTCTGCATGCACTTTCGTTTCCAAGGTAAATTCCTCTTCACTGTGCTCTTCTTCCTTTGACATTCTCTTCCGAAAGTTCTCAACTCCCTGTGTCTTTTGGCCGAGCATTCACCGACCGATATACCCTTCCCCCCTTTCCGCCTGCATTCCAATCGAACGGAACGCTCCAGCTGCGCCACATGGGTTGACTTAACGAATGAGAACAGCAACTATACCACCCTCACCGTTGTGGATGCTATGCAACCTGCCTCATGCCTCCATAGAGTCTTCAGCACACCCCTCCTGAGCGACATAATGTCTTGACGTTCTTGACGTTCTAGAACGTCCCGGCTGAAGATACCAAGCTCCACCGCCAGGCAATAGCTTGATCGACTACTGGGATGTCTTTGTGGGTTTTAATATTAAATCTCCGCTGGTTCGGGAGCTAGGTCTTTCCCTGTCAGCCACGCGAACCTTTTTGGGTCTGGACTCCGGACCTGTTTGGGCGCTTGACTACCGAATTCGAACGTTGAGGTGGGTGGGACGCTCCCTCGGTTGTGGCGCCCACGTTGAAGCTGAACTGCTAGCTCGGTTCAATAACGGACTGCACGATGGGAATTCACCCTATCACGAGCTTGTTGATTGTTGACCGTACGATGGCTTGCAGCTAACGGATGCCGTCGATGGGTGGTATTGGTTGGATACCGAAATGGTGGGATCTTATCGGTCTGCTAGCTTCGATGAACGGGAGCTGAAGTTTTGGAGGTGAGTTGAGAATTTCGGTACTATTCATCTTTGAAGGAGCGTCTTTTTCTCGTGTTCCTCTTTCTTTTCCTCCCTCCTTCGCGCTGTTCGGTTGCTCCTTTCGGGCCCCTTCTTAAACATCCTGAATGTGCAGCGACTGATCCCCGACGATCAAGCTCAGAGTGACAGTCAGAAGCCATGGGATTCCCAGACGACAACGACCCGGCTGGCTACGAAGTCCAACAACAACCGTCCACCCATTCTGCCCCTTTGAAGGATATCTTCAAGACAGAAACAAACGAAGTGACCAAAGATGACGATGTCAAGCCTTCCCCGCCATCATGGAAGCCAGGCGCCCTCAGACAGTTCCCCGTCTATGGCATCCTCCCTTTGCTGTTAAGCATAGCATGTGCGCACCTCTATTACTACCTCTACTGTCCAACCCGATCCACCAACTCAGCTCTCTAACATCCATCTTCCCACAGGCACCGGAATAGCAATCCTTATCGTCCGCCTCTCCCACCACAAAGACATCGACTCATGGTCCGGCCGCAAGGCACCGCAAGTGCTGCTTTCGTACACGACTACCGTGGCGAACTCCCTCATGGGCGTGGCATTTGCTGAGGCGGCGGTGATTACCTTCTGGAGGGGCGCGGTGGGCGGGATGCCGGTTAGTAACTTGCATTATGTGTGGGCCAGTTCAAGCAGTGTTGTGGGCGCTTTGACGAGTTTGTGGAGGAGGAGGGCTGTGGGTGTTAGTTTGGTGTCCATCCTCGTGGCCATCTCGACACTTCTGCGCGGTCCTCTGATGCAGAGAGCGACCTATGTCGAACTGGTTGACCTCGAGGAGTGGGACGCGATCAAGATTCCAGTTATGGCAAACATGAGCGATGAATGGGGCGGCATGCTCAGCGGGCACGCTTTAACGGACCTGCGGTTTTCGCCTGGTTTTGCGGACGCGGTTGCCAGGTATCAGGCTCAGTCTCCGATGTCGCTGCTCGGGGCTGACTGTAAGAATTGCTCTGTCAATGTGGTGGTACGTTGTCCCAGGAGCACTCGATGTTTCATGGTCCAAGGAGGTTACTGACAAAGACACCAACAGGCCTTCGGTTTCCAAGTCAGCTGCACAGCTACCAACATCCCATACAATCTCACCGGCAGTGTCGAGGCCATCATGAACGGTACGCTTGGGGCGACTGTGTTCGACTCAAAGATCAGCATCGTCAACGAGTCGCCAAGGGGAAGTCTGCTGAACATCAGCGTGGTGCGCAAAGTCGATGTCGGATACGAGGGCAACCTGGAGCACAAGGTGTGCTTGCTTGCTCCTTCCTTGCTGAACTACAGCATGTTTCTCGATGACAACTTGTTGAGCTTCCAGTCAGAAAACTGGTTTGACGCCAAAGCTGTGGAAGACCCTGTTAGCCTGCCACCGGTTGACTCTTTCGTGGCGCCGATGTGAGTTGTTCCTATCTTTTTGTGCTCCCCCTGTTCGAACACAACGCAAACTAACCTCCCTCCCTTTCTTCCCACAGTAACATGACAATCCCCTACATCACCGGCTTCGGCAGCACCATCCCCGCCCTCCACGCCATAGGCTCCCTCCTCTTCGACTCCACCTCCAACGTCTCCCACGGTGGCGCCGTAGGCTGGACCACTTCCAACTCCGGTCTGCTCTCCAACCTCTACTACACCGCTGCCACGCCCGCCGCCCGGCGCAGTTCCGATCCCAAAGATTACTCCTTTGACGATCCCATGGTGGACATCATCAACGCGTACCGAGACATCGCATTTCGCATGTCTTTGCAGGCGGCGACTGAAGAAAACGAGGGGTTGTCGGATAAGGACGCGAAGGTCTTTCAAGAGGTGGAGTCGATAAGTCACCAGAGCATGGCGAGGTACGCGATGGACAAGACGGCGCTGGCGGTGGCGGTGGTTATTAGCTTGATTGGTCCCGTGGCTACGTTGATGTTGTTCTGGGGGTGGTGGAAGTTGGGAAGGAGGTTTACGATGAGTCCGTTGGAGATGATCAATGCTGTGCTGGCGCCTGGAGAGGAGGAGTTCTTTGATGATTATGACATGAATGGAAATGATGAAAGGGAGGGACAGTCGGGAGACCGAAACCAGAGGGAGGTGGCTAGGTTGTTGGCTGAGTGTAATCAAAAGGGTGATGCGTCGGGAGCAGATTTGGCGAACCATGTGAGGCAGAACAAGAAGGGGGAGGAGCCGGTGTTGAAGTATGGGGTTGATGGAAGGGGAAAGCTTTCGATGAAGGTGGTGGGCGGTGGTGGTGTGAGGCGGAGGAGGCAGAAAGAGGGGGGCTTTGTTTCGGGGTTGGTGGATGTTTTGTTGAATGATGGGTGAAGGGGTGGTTCAAACACAGCTTTTGCCGAGATAGAAAGGAGAGCGTGAATGAGATGTGGTACTATATGGAATCCCGCTTGCTTCTGTACGAGTTTGATAGTGTAATAATTGCATTGCCCTAGCATTATTTTCACTTGTCCAAAGAGAGACATACCTCTAAACAACGAAACTCCTGCTGTGTCCTCAGCACCTTTTATCCAACCACAACGCACTTCATCACCAACTGTCTAACATCCTCCTCAAAACCTCATCATTCATCTTCCACAACTGCGTCGAAAAGTCAATCGCAATCGCATTGCCCGTATACCACGTCCCTCTCTTCCCCTGCAACCCATACATCTTTTCCATCCACCCCCCCTTCATCTCCTCGGCACTAACCCCAAACCCACCCGGTCCATGATCCGAATACTCCACCACCTTCAACTTTTGATCTCCTCCAGGTTGCTTTCCATCAGGTACCTTGACTGTCCCAGCATCTACCATCCGCTCCAAACTCTCCTGCGCCACTTTGGTCGCTTCCCGCTCATCAAATTCCCCATAGCCCAACCCGCTCCCACTAGTCCCAATGCTAAACAGCTTGCTGTCATTACCATAGCTAGCAAACTCTAGGACATGCGGCTCATTGATGAAGGGCTTGTTGGGATCGATGGCTGCTAGGATAGGGGTATTATGCAGTTCGTATCCCCTAGGTAACACGGGCGAAGAGACGATAGCCGTGCCGTAGCGGCCGTATTTAGCGCGGCTAAAGAGATTGGATTCGAGAGAATCAAGATCGAAGGGGGCGAGGTTTTCGCGGGTGGGGGGGATGGCGAGGAGGAGTTTCCTTGCGCGGATTATTGTAGTGGTAGAGGTGATCGTTGCTTTGTTGGTGGAGGAGGAGTCCGAGGGGGAGGGGGAGGTGGAAGGGGAGGTAGTGGTGATAGTAACTTCTATATCTCTCTTGTCATCCGCGTTCTCTGCAGGGCGGCGGACGCTCGATACGAGTGAGTTGAGGAGGACATTTTCGGCTCCCAGACGGGCGTGGATAGCGTTGTAAAGAAGCTGGTTCCCGCCCTGGATATGGTACATGCCCACTTGGCCATAGAGGACTTTCATCCACGCTGGACTGAAACTCTGCAAAAAGGTGAGAGTCAAGAGATCAGTAAAGTTTCGATGGCGAGACGCCGGACCGCCGCCTGTGGATTCATACATCCTCGGTAATGCTTCGGTGACGTTCCATTTCTTGGCGAATTCGCCGATGGGAAGGAGTAAGTCCTCGGGAATTTGAGGACCAGGAGGCAAGTTCCAGAACCCCGGTTCGGTCATCTTGTCCCAGCCTTGGGAGACCATGAGGTTGTGGAAGCGGATGATGGCTGAAGTGATGCTGGAGGGGTCGGGGCCGGTGTAGTTGGATGGAAGCTCGAGACCGGTGGAGAAGTCGATGTTGCGGGCGGTGGTGGAGCCGCGGGGACCAAGGCCGGGGAGGAGAGTCAGGTTAAAGCGGGAGATGAAGTCGAGGCCGTCGAGGTAGGGGAAGTAGACTTGTACGCCGTATTCGCGGGGGGTGGGAGGGGTAGTGGAGGTGTCGATGTAGGTGTCTACGTGACCGCCCTGATGGCTGTTAGGATTGACAAGACGAAAAAAAGAGGGAAGGAGGGGGAAGGGACTTACGAGGATGGACTCCTTTTCAATCAAGACGATGCTTTTATTGTAGTCGTGTTGGAGTCGGAAAGCGGCGTGGGAGCCGGCTGCTCCGCCGCCGATGATGATGACATCTTTTTCGATGACTTTGGTGGAGTTGACGGTCGCGGCATGTACGCTAGAGAAGCTGGCAAGTACGAGATAGACATTGTAGAGTCCTTTGAGGGTCATTGTAACTTCCTTTGACAGTCAGCAACTTTTTATACAAGAAAGAGACAAATAGGTCCCAACAAGTTTTGTTGCGACATACACTGCTCTTATTTGCAGCTTGTAGACTTCTTGAAATACCACTGGGTGCAATCACACCCGTTGTCATCTGAATGTCAGCATCTCGGCATCCGGCAAAAGCATTGAGTGCGACACTGCAGTGCTACTGGAATCAGCGGATGGTAGAGTACCTTGTATCCAATAAAGACGGCACACCCGCCAGGGACGATTTGTGAGGTCATTACGCGTTTCTACCAAGGAGCTAGATGGTACCCATTGAGAGCTCATATATGGCCAATGAATATAACAGAACCCAGAATGGCTGTCGGACTTGCGATTCAGCCTGCGAGTGTGCTCATGCCATGCTGTCCGCCCGCAGATGAAGGGTAGGTATCTGCCGCTCGTACATGGGCCGACCAACCAGTAATCATATGCGCCCATCCTCGTCTAGAACTTCTCTGTCGAAACATTGGAAACTCCCGTACGCGAGATGGTGGGAGCGTGGAGTGCAAAGTGCAAAGTGCAATACGTCGCTCGAGAGTACTATCGAAAGATGGATAAAATAGGACCTTATCTCCGACACTGTCTAAACATGGGCCGATGTGTTAGTGATGTAACAGTGCAGTCCCTCTGGAAAATAGCGGCATAGCGGGCAATGGGATTTGCTTGTGAAGATTGGCATAACACTACCACGTGCGATGCTCGACTTTCTGGCAAGACGTTGACTGTTAAACAGGCCAGACCGTAGTTTCCTAACCGCACTTGCCAATGATGACCGAGGCTGCGTATGCCCTATCTCGTCGGCGTCCTGCTTTGCTCCTCCCAACACCCAAGTCGGGCGATTTCTAAGGCTGAGTTCCGGCACTGGAAGTACACATGGCGGTCTGTGATGGAGATAAAAAGGGTTTGGGCGCCATAAGAAAGTGTAGAGTACCAATGGTCAAGATAACCAGTCGGTTGGAGGATCAGGTGGAGCAAGAACTTAGATGTAGCCTTAACATGTTGAAATGTACAGGTGCGGTAAAAACAATAGTGGAATAACATTTCTCCTTCATGGACATAAACCACAACATCTTCCACAACTGCAGCAAGTGAGTAAGGAGTGAAAGGAACTTACAACGTGCTCTGGTATCAATACTCAAAACCTTTCACAAATCCAAATTCCATAATCTCATCATGATAGTCTCACGCCCAGCCTGGACACCAACATGGACAGACCGCCTCCTCCAAGTCCGCCTTCTCCCCCACCAAACTCCCTCCCTCCACTCCCTAAAACATAAAACTTCCCAACATGACACCCCCCAACATCGGCGCCATCAACGGCAACCCCAATCCCCCTCCATACCCAACCGGCCTCATCGGCCTCGCATACGGTCCCTGCGGCCTCACGTACGTGCCCCCTCCCACCGGTCTAGCACCATACCCCGGATACCCACGAGCACCATATCCAGATCCAAACCCATACATGCTCCCTTCAGGCCTCAAATACCTCCCCGGTGGTCCCGGGTGTCTCACATTCCCCCCATTCCTTCTATCCCCCTCATAAAACACCTCCGACAACCACGGCGTCAAGGGCTTAACAGCCACCACGCCAGGAAACATCTGCCCCGGTGGCTCAAGGTACAAGTCCACGCCATTGTCGTCCTTCCCCAGAAGCTGCGGGCGCGAGGTCTCCATCGCTTTCGCCATTGCCCGACGCACGAGGAGATGTTGTCTGAGAGCTTCGCGCTCGGCTCTGTCGCGGGCGGCGCGGGCTTCTACACGCTCGGAGTGGGTGGTGCCTGTGAGTGCGTCTTTGAGTTTACGGCCTAGGGATTTCTGTTCTTCTTCTTCATGCTCTGCTCGTCTCGGAGAGCGGGGGGGTTGTGGGCTGTGGGCTCTGGAGGGTCTTGATGAGGTAGGACGGGAATGGCTGTCTGTAGGGTTCTGATGTTTCAGCTGCTCGATACGGTCGCGCTCGGCTGGGGTCAAAGAGTTGAGAAAAGGCTCGTCGTCGTAGGGGTGGTGCCAGATGGAGCGGATGGGGTCGGCTTGGGTGTCGACGAAGAACTGGTGGTTGGTTTCGGGGTCGTAGGTGCGTACCCAGCCTGGAGGGAGAGGGCGGAGCTCGTCTTCCATGCTAAGGCGGGTTGGGGTCGGGATGCCGTCGTGTCCGTGCCCGTGGTGGTCGTCGCCGGGGACGTGGAGGAGGTTGTCGGTGTGGGGGTGGGTTTGTTGGCTGCCGCTGCTCGTGCCCGGTCGTGATGAGGTGCCGCCGCTTGTGCCTGGACGAGTATCGCGCTGGCCTGAACTTGCCATGGCTTGCTCGTACGAGGGTGGTGGTTCTTCGCGGTTTGACATTGTGATAGTGTCGCTGATTAGGTACTGATTATAGGGTTATGTTCTAGGTTCGGTAGTGTAGTCAATATGGAATGTCGTCGGTGGTTATAGGGTAGGCAGATGAAGAGGTGGTGATCTTTGTTGTTTGGTGGTTGATGAAGTCGGAGGAGTTCGTTACGTCAGAAGTCAATACGTCATTGTCATGCGCGGTACGACGTGCATAAAGAACGAGCATAGGCTGCTGCCTACCACAGCAGTTGCTATTGAGACAGTGCAATTCTGCCAAAATGCTGGAATTAGAACGTTACAGCGCACTAACTGCGGACGCATGTGCACTTTTTATGCTTACTACACTGTTATTCTAGTACTTTACTTGAGGCACTTATACAACGTTCAAGCCCCACAAATGACGAATGCCCAGGCAGTCATTCAATATCAACAACAACAACAACAATTAATTCATCACGGAACCAAACAAACATCACCGTTCATAGCCTGCGAACAATTGGCGGGCGCGCGACGTTTCCCAGCTGGAGATGAGGTTGTCTTGTAAGGCGACCATCATGCCGTTCAGGGGTTGTTGACATTTTAGGCCTGCCCCGACAACATTTGCACAATAAGGATCATAAAGATGCACACTCGGACACAAAGACAAGAGTTAGTGTAATGTTTTTTTGGGTTTTTATATGTTAGTATGTACAGGCAGTACTAATGAACAACCCAATCATTTTCCGAGTCCTCCAACACCACCAAACATCAGCTATTGTGCCATACCTGTCCTCCAAGTCAAACAGCCGAAGTGGACAAACTTCCTACTCCCCATTCCTCCATCAAGTCCATCCTTTGTTGAAAAAGTTCGTTCACCCCTCCGTCACCAAAAATCCTCATAATCATTTGTCTTTCCCGAACGGGCTTGGTCGGCTATTCAAGAGCTCTGGCCGGCCTGAATGGAAATCTTGCGACTCCCCTTCTTCTCCGACTTGGGCACCTTGATGTTCAAAATCCCATTCTCAAACTTGGCATTCACATTATCCTGATCCACCGGAGTCGGGAAGTTGAACACCCTCCTGAACTCTCCATAGCTGCGCTCGCTCAACCAGTACCTCGGGGCGCTAGGCTTTCCCTCCCCTTCCTTCTGCTCCTTCTGCTGCTGTTCCTTTTGCTCCTTTTGCTCTTTAGTCTCCTTCGTCTCCTTCTGCTCCTTGCCACCACCTTCAATCTTCTTACTCTCCGCCGGGCCGCCCAGACGCAAGTTGGGGTCTCCCTCGGTATGGGTGCGCTCGACGCGGCCCGAGATGACGAGGGTCTGCGGATCGATGAACTCAATGTCAACGTTCTTGGGGTCCACGCCCGGCAGCTCGCCTTGGAGGGTGTAGCCGGAGTCGTCCTCGGTCACGTCGAACTTGGGGTTGAAGGTCTCGAGGACGCCGCCGGTGGCGCCTGTTGAGGGCAGAGAAGGAAGTAGGGAAGAACCGAGGTTGGTCGGGATCAGGGAGCCGCTGCTGACTTGTTGGGCGTACTTCTCAAAGTCGTCGAGCATGCGGAAGAGAGAGGAAAAGGTGGGCTGGTTGCCGAGGGAGGAGGAAGGGTGGGAGAGGGCGGAGCGCGGGTAGAAGAGAGACATTGTGGATGAGATTGGTCGGGTTTGTTGGAGCTGTGGTTGGTGGCGGGTGATTGAGCGAGGAAGAAGATGGTGAGATCGAGTGGTAGAAGTGGTTGTTGGTTTGGTGATTCTCAACGGGATGGCGGTTGGAATTCTTCGCATGGTGCGATGAGGCTTGTTGATGAGGAGGAAGGGAAGAAGACAGGACGGGAGGAGTGAGGTAGGCTTTATACTTGTCGTCTGCTGTCTGGAGAGGTGCTGGGATGCGGGTAGGTATCTGTGGTGGTGGTCATTGCGACATCATTTCGACGGACTGGGTTGTTCGTCATAATGGCCCGAGGGACTATGCAATGCGGGCTGGACTCCGACCTGTTACAGCTTCTCCGCCATGCTCATGCTGCGACTTTCGTCTCGTCCAATTTCTGTCTGTGGTGGTGTTGGCGGGGTTGTGCGGGTGGTGGGCAGGGAAGGAAGGATCTGGAACGGCCGTGCGATGGCCGTTTCTCGTGATACGAGCTGCGTGGGTGTTCAAGATGACTTCATCGACCATGATACATTTGGCGCTCTGAAAAGTTGAAAGTGTTTCAACGGAACTTTTTTCCCGACCATCCTGGAAAGCACATGCCAGTCGAACCATATCGATTACCGGCCTTGGTGTTTACCAGTGTCACGAGATATGCCACTGATGCTTCATAACCTCTCGACAGTCGCTTTCAGTAGGTAGTAACCCGAGAATTGAGCTGACCATAACCTTTGGAATTTCTTCCTTTCAACATTGGCTTACTTCGATCCATCAAGGCCCCATTTGACTCTTTCTGATAGTATAATTGCGGTTGTCGATTTTAATCTTTGGTCTCGAAGTCCCGTCTGCTAAATTGCAGCAGCAGCAGGAGCAACAGCAGCAGCAACCATCTGAATGCAACAAAGTCTTGGCAACTGTCTCCGGCGTGTTTGAGCCTTTCCACGAGCTCGGGAACAGCATGTGCCATTGATGTAACCATTCCGACGCATCAGCGCATCATCGACCCGACCTTATCGAACGTTATCGAATCGCCAACGAGCATCGAGACTCAGCTCGAACGAATCGTCTGCTTTACCACAACTGAAGTCACGTATGAAAATGCGAGAATCTAGTCGAACATCGGGACACCGCTTGCATCGTATACTACTCGTCGACGGAGCAAAATCCCCGGGGAAACAAAAAGAGAAGCGTCGCCCACGAATCCACATCCCCGGCGCGACCCACTTTTCCCCGGCCATCACTCCCCGGCCATCACCTCACTCCATCCCCCAATCCAGACGTCGGGCCCCGCTCCCGCCAGGCCGACCCCTGTCTGCGAATGCCTTCATGCCATTGCTTCAAATAGTTCCACGACTCTGCTTGCCTCCCATTGGCTGTCAATGACTCTCATTGCTCCCAATGTTTCCCATTTCGCTCTCAACGACTCTCATTACTCTCAATGCCTCTCTGCTAGGTACCTCAAACTTACGATACCGCTTGTGATATCGAACCAATTAAAGGCAACATGATGGATGAGCGCCTCAATAAAGTGTTCATTCAGGCCACAAAAGATGGATGGATAACACTTTCCATTAGAGCTTGACTTGCCGCACCGTCCCCAATGTCCTCGCGCACCTTTTTTAACTTTACGCACCACATGTCAGCTGTTATAATTACAAGCCGTTTTCCTATAGAAATTTCGGTATTTTCAATGTTTTTGAATATTATAGTACATTAAGTTAAAGAAGGGTGCGTCAAGTTAAGAGGGTGCGCTAAGTCGTGAGGGTACGCTAAGTTATTTAGTGATATTTTATAGTATTAAAGTAATAATATTTCGATTTTTATAATAATATTAAGGCTCTATAAGGCTCTTAATTATTTATAATTAGTAGATTACTTTAATTATCAGGCTATATTCTATATAGATCCGGGTTTTTTAGGTAGTCTTTTAATAAATAAGTTTATCTAATTTCTTCGTTTGTTGCCTCCTTTTCCCTCCTCTTAATTATTGTCCGCTTCCTCTAATCTATTATTGTGTAATTTAGAGTAGTAAAGTATTCTTTCTTAATATTATTATTGTTAATAGCGTTTAATAGGGAGTTTGGTAGAGAGTCCGGCGTTGGAGTAGTATACTTGCGGGAGGTACGTGCCGGGTGGTTGGAGGAGGTTGGAATTTTCGTTTTACCTTTACTTGATTTTTTTAATTTACTCCTCTTACGTTTTGGCGGCTGTTTTGGCGGTTGGCTATTATTATTAATAATAATATATTTTTACTTAATAGTATTAATAGTATTGAAAATTTCTAAATTGGGATTAGAGATTTTAATTCGAGAGTAATTATATTTTGTACTACGGGGAATACGGCTATTTCTTTTAATTCGAATTGCCCTATAGGGATTTTAGGCTCTTTTATTAATATTGGCGATAAGGGTAGGGACAATGGTTTTATTATTAAAGGGACTATATCATTTTTTTAGCCTCCCTTTAAAAATTATTTTAATTACTAAAATAATACGGAAATACTAGTTTTAAATATTTAATACCTTTTTAAAATACTAGAAAGGATAGTAATTAATTTTGTTAATTAGTATTTTTTAAGGATTATTATAATTATATTGCTTTAATAATTCGTAAGTATATAGTAAATTATATTAGTTTTTAAAATTATTGCGGTAGGAGGGGAGCTTTTAAGGGTAGGGGTTATAATTTAATTGTATTATACTAAATGTTATAGCACTACCCGGACAGGTCATACCCTACCTTACTCTACCGCACTAACTACATAGATGCAATTGATTTGATTGGTTGTAGATTAGATAAGGAAGAGCGGGGCCGCGGACCTAGCTTTAGAAGCATATCTTCCACCGCCAGCCGCGTATACAACTCTTACCTTTTATTTTACTCTTTAATTATAAATTCTATATTAAATATTAATACTACTATAACCCTACCTCGCTCGTTACGTACCTTTATACTATTTATAACTTATCTCTCTACCGGAGACGGATTTAAATATCCTACTTAATAAGGAAATTAAATAAAAGTTATAATTTAATAACGTAGCGACCGATAATTAGAATTAATAATTAAAGTAAATAAATAATTATAATACATAGTATACTATAAGCCCCCTAATCCTTTTTATAAAAAAAGGATTCTCTAAAGAGGAGTTTGAACTAATTAACAATTAAATTACTAATTAACCGAAAAACTAGAGCAACTATTACAATAGTTCGCAATAATACTAAATTAGTTTAATCGCGCTATATTTATTTCGACCCTAACGTTTTAAGAAAGTATATACTTAAAGATAGTAAACTTCCTCCTTCCGAAGTTAAATGTAAGTCCTTCGACCCTAACAATTTCGTCGGCCTTAACTATTATAAAGCCGCCTCTTATATTATCGATAATAATAAGGATAATAAAGAATTCGACTTCTCTAACCTCTCGCCTAAGGAAATATATAAATATTATATTAAGTACGTTCAACCTATCGCTTATCGCGCCTACTATTTCTTTAATAAAAAAATTCCTATATATAACCTAAAGGAGCGCCTACTTAGACTATTTAATTATATATATTATAATAACAATACCTTTATACCCTTTACTCCTATAATTTCCGAAAGTAAAGCGGACCCTAAAATTAAATTATTTAATAATCTTATAATTTATAACCAATTCGCCTCTTTAATCCAAGAGTCCCTTAAAATTATATTTTTTGAAATACGTATCCGTACGGGCTCTCTTATAACTACTATCGAATAGATTAATAATTTAATTAATATATAAAATTATACCAATAAAGATTTTTATATTATAGAGAGTTGGGTAAACCGTTTTAATTCTATTACATCTAATTTATTTTAGAAGGTAATTAATAGAAATCCTAACCCTTCCTTTAAGGATATTACTTTCTATACTTTTAATATAGAATTCTAATAAACTTTAATAGAGAATTAACGCTTTAAAAAAGAGAATAAATATTTATTAGCCTCCCTAAAAATTATATTTAATATTATTAATAAAATCTCTATATTAAACAGCGGAAATCCTAATAGTTTTAATAAAAATTCTAATACTAATAATCCACATAGTAATAGACCCCCTACTAATAATAATAATAGAGAACGTTTGTATTCTAATACTTCCGTTATTAATATTATTAATATTACTAACTATTCTACTAATAATAAACGTTCGGCTAAAAAGGAAAGTATAAATAAATTTTATAATAATAATATAGGGTGGTTCGTTTGTTCTTTTTTCATTTTCCTTGTGTGTTCTTCTTTTCCTTGCTGTGGGCTCTTGCTTTCAAATAATAGGTGGAAGTATCTGGGCCTTGGCTCATTACTCATTGAGGAGCAGATCTGTTACACTGGTCGGACGGGACCCTAGGAATATAATGAGTAGAAAGGGGATATAAGGAGGAGATCCCGACCGAAAAGAGAGAGGAAGGCAGGGACTCCAAACCAAACCAGACAACACCTATCCTCAATAATAGACCAAAGAATCCCGCTCCTACACTACAGAATTACCGTCGAACGCCCTCGTGATAGTAAGCTCAGTAACCCTTTTGTGAAAGAATTAACTCCTAGACCTATTTAGCCAACCTAAGACTAATGAGGAGAATCTTATCCTTCTCGTTGGTCTTTGGTGGTGGTTGATGAGTTGTAACTTTGCTACTCTATCTCAGTTCCTAAGGACGAAAGCTATATTCAACTCCGGATCTGCTCCTCACTACATTTAGGTGTAGTAGGGTGCTTTTCGTATTGGTGTGGTTTTTGCTCCATTTCAATAATAAAAAAGAAAATAAGGTTATTTTTAATATATGGTTCTATTAGATTAAAATTAAATTTAAAGTTAACGCCAACTATTTCGAAAACGACCGTCAAAAATTTAAATATATTACTAATTACTTAGCCGGCCGAACTGCCTAAATATTGCTACCTTATTTAAAGTCGGACTATTCTAATTAATTTACTACTTCGGACGCCCTCTTATAATATTTATAGAACGAATATTATAATTATAACGCTTACGAAAAAGCCTTCGCCAAATTTAATAATTTAGAAATAAAATATAGTAAGTATTTTCAAACTTTCAAAAATACCTTCTAACATCTAATTAATTAGTGCCGCCGTCCTTATAACTAGTAGAAGAGTAACCTTCACTACAAAATTATAAAGGAATTTTATTAAATGATTAAATTTACCTACTTAAACCCTACTAAATAGTTTAATAATTATATTCTATTATTAAACTTATTTAATAAGGGTAATTATATAGATTCCTAAAAAAGTCGCCTCCGCGAGGGCAAGTACCGTCGCCCAGGCAACTCCTCTTTTACTACTAAAATTCCTAATACCCCTAAGGTTACTAGCCCCTAAACTAGGGCCTTCGAACATCCTACGCCTAAAGAAATATACGAATTAAACCGGGAGGGCCGATATTTTTCTTATTATAAGAAAGGTTATATAAATAATAAATATTTTTATAAAGAAAAAATAGTTAAATAATTAGATATTTATTTGAATTTTATTATTAATACTATTTAGAATAAAGAATCCGCCAACATTAAAACCCTCTTTAATACCCTTACTTTTAATAAGGATTCCGATATTTCCGACGTCGAAATTGACAAAATAAAAGGAAATTAACTACCCTAAACTAAACCTCCCCTTAGGGAAGAATATTAATAAATACTAATAATTTATAATATCCTAATTTTAATCTTTAAAATTATTTAGGAAGACGATTATCCTTCCTCATTAATTATAATATAACTTTCAATAGAATCGCTATTAGTACCTCTAATACTTTTATCGATATTAGAACTAATATTTCTATTATTGTAAATTTTCCTTTCGCTCGCAAATTACGAAAATTATTAAAATTACTTATATATAACGATTTTAATCCCGGATATATTACGCTTTATAAGAAAGCCTAGCTAGATGTTGTAAAAGTAATTTTAAAAGGATATATTGAAATATAAAATTATAAAGTCCTTAATTAATAGATCCTAATTCTATTTAACTTTAAATATAATATAATTATTAGTAATATATAGCTAGTTAATAACGATATTTCTATCGACCCAATAAGATCCCGCCTCTTCTTCCCCCCGGATTAGAAGAACAATTAATTTTAAAATATTATTATTAATTAAAAGTATACTAAATTGGAAAAGTATCCCGATTTTTAAAAAAATATTAAAATTTATAAAATTAAATTAGAAATAGAAGATAAACAGCGTCGCGATAGTAAGAATAATACTAAGGTTATTTAACGCCGGATAGCGGAATTCGAACGCCTACTTAATTCTCTATTCGAATTTTATTCCAATTATTTCTAACGGCTATTAGAGATTATCCAACAGCGACTACCCCGTACCCTCTCTTTAAATACTATTAAATAATATTTTAATTGTATAGATTGATAATTATTTAATTAGGAAAAGGAATTTCTACCAGAATTAAAATTTCCCTACGTGCTAATTTGAAAAAAAAGACCCGAGCTAATTAAAGACCCCTTCCTTCTATATAATACCTAAGGTCGTTACTACTTAAAGTATAATTAGGGATAGATTAAAGAACGCCTAGCTAATTTCGCTTTTATTTCGGCCGATTCTTTTTATAAATTAATTAAAGAGATTTATATTAGGGTAATTAATTTATATAAAATCAATTATTTTATTAATAATTACTAATTAAATAATTTAGAAATAGATAAAATTGAACTTTGTTTTAAAATTATAAAGGAGGTACCTATTTAATACTATAATTTTCTCGAAGTATTTAGTAAAATTAAATCCAATACTTTATTAAACCTCCATCTAAATATTAATTACTATATCCCTTTTAACGAAGGCGCACACCCCGAGGACCTTAGTTATAGTCCTCTTTATAAAATATCGTTAGAAGAATTCGAAGTATACCGAAATTACATTATAAAAAACTTTAATAAGGGATTTATAGAGCTTAATATAGCTAATGCGGGAAGCATCGCATGTATGATTAGATCAATTAACTAGAGTAGACTAGGCATGGCTCTCACCATACCCACCCCCGATAGAGGTACTAGCGAGCCCTAGCACGTGCTTTGGCACGTGCCTTGGCCGCCCGGTCGATTGGACCTGCACTGTAGGCTAACGATAAGATAAGAGAATTCCTATAAAGGGATTCCCGCGCGGGGCGGCCTTCGGCCACGCCTTTCTTCCTCCATCATCTTCTTTCTTTACTTTTAATACTACGTATTGTACCCATTGTATCGTAGTATATAGAAGCACCCAGGTTACCCTATTAATAGCCCTATAGGCCGTACTAATCCTTTTTACCCTTAAACTAAACGGCGGTTTACATTTTTATATAAACTACCGGAAGCTTAATACTATTTCGAAAAAGGATTAATACCTACTCCCCTTAATCGAGGAAACTATTACCCAATTAATTAAAGTAAAGATCTTTACTAAGATTAATATTCGTTAAACCTTCTACTAAATCTATATATATCTAGACGACAAAGACTTTATAACTTTCCGAACGTACTATAATACTTATAAATATAAAGTATTACTATTCGGATTTATTAATAGCCCTATTACTTTTCAATGCTTTATTAATAAAGTATTAATAGGCTATCTTGACGATTTTTATAGCGCTTATATTAATAATATTCTTATTTTTTCGGAGATTAAGGAAGAATACTAAATTTATATTAAGAAGGTTCTAGAAAGATTATATAATATTAATTTATAGGCGGATATTAAGAAATATAAATTTTATATTACTTCTATTAAATTCCTAGGATTTATAGTCTTTATAAAAGGAATATCGGTAGATCCGAATAAAATTATTATTATTAAAAATTAGAAGGAGTTAATAAATGTCCGAGGGGTATAATTATTTATTGGCTTTTATAATTTCTATTATAAGTTCATTAAAGAATTCGGTAGGGTGGTCCGCCCTTTAACTAAATTAATTTGAAAAAACGAACCCTAGAAATAAATAAAAGAATATTAAGTATCGTTTAACGAATTAAAGGACTAATTATTAAAAACCCTTATACTTATATACTTCTATTATAAGAAGTTTATTTGTATAGAAATAGATTCTTCGGATAGTATATACATTAGTATACTATCTCAATTTTAATTTAAAGATAAAGAATAGTACCCTATAGCCTTCTATTCCGAAATTATACTTCCCACTAAAATAAATTATACAATCTACAATAAAGAACTTTTAATTATTATAAAAGCAATAGAAATTTAAAGAACTAAACTAATTAGGGTCTATTTATTTATAGTTATTATAGATTATTAAGCATTAAAGTATTTTTTAATAAAGTATTTACTTAATTTATAGTAAATTAAATAGGTTAAAATAATATTCTAATATATATTTAAATTTATTTACCGGCCTAGTAAGGAAAATATTGTAATAAACGCCCTATTCCGAAAGTTT